TTTTTTTTTTTTTTTTTTTTTTTTTTTTTTTTTTTGAATGAATGTAAAATTTATTCAATCAAAACAGCATTACATCAAGTGCATCATAAGAGTTCAAAAGAACAGCTACAAAAAAAATAAAAAAACCAAAACTGCAAACCAGACCCCTTTTACTTAACCATGAACAAGTTAAGTGTTTAAGAAGGCACATGGAATTTTCCTCATTAAAACCTCATCAAAGTAAACCCAATTGGGACAAACCTTTGATGAGGAAAAAGAGTAAAAATTCCATGACCAGGGGAGAAAGAAAATAAAACAAAAACATGTGAAAAATCACCAAACCACAACCAAAACCGAATCTCCGAAAAAGAGCAGCCAAGAAAAACCAAGTCTATCAACTCCAGCAAGACTGCTCCAGAACCAACAGACTGGTAACTTCCAACAAAGAGATACCAACAAACTCCCCCCGCAAAAGCCGCCAAACAGGAGGACAGCCACGGGAACAATAGGAACAGCCAAACAAAGAGGCATCAAAACTCCCAGACCCCAACTGATGACTTCCAAAACGAAGAAACATCAGCCACTTCAGCAACAAAAAACTCAAACTGATGACTTCCAAACGAAGAGACATCAGTCACTCCAAACCACACAACCAAACAGCAAAAGACCTACAGGCCAAGAAAAAAGAGCTCCAGTAGCAATCGGTCAAACAAAAACACAATTGCCACAAACCATGACCTGCAAGAAGCTTCAGACATAACGATATATCAACCCATTAGAATAATAACACCGCATCACTAGGCTATTCACTAGGCTATGGCCCTTGCGCTCTCACCAAGACCCAAACTGATGACTTCCAACCGAAGAGACAGCAGCCACTCCAACAACAAAAACCCAGGCTGATGACTTCCAAACGAAGAGACATCAACCACTCCAGCCACACAACCAAAAAACAAGAGAACCCACAGGCCAAGAAAAGAAACTCCCGCAGACAACAAGATCAAGACAAAAGCTCCAGAAATACGGTCAATCCCTTGAGCCAAACCACACTCCTAAACCTTCATCCAAGTACTTTTGGCCCTTACCCTGAACTGCAAGAAGCTTCAGTCTTATTATTTTATCAACCCATTTAATTAACAACGCCGCATTCTTAGGCTGCTCACCATGTCTACGGCCATTTCGCTCTCTCCAAATACTATGTAAAAGCGCCTGAAAGGCGTAACGCAAGATAAAGATCTCAGTAGCTGAGAAATTAGAATTAGGCTGCGATATAATTTCTAAGATCACATTCCAGTCTACTGAGAAAAACTCCTTCATGATGCCTCCAATCAAAGCCTTCCAGATTTCCTCAGAATAACGACATTTGAAAAATAGATGCGGGCAAGTTTCATCATCAACATGGCATAAGACGCAGATTGTACTCATTGAAACATTCCATTTCAGCAATCTATCACAAGTTTGCAACCTATTTTTCACAGCAACCCAGAGCATAAAAGAAAATTTAGGAGTAGACTGAGGAAACCATACTCCCTTGTTCCACAAACACACAGGCTGAGCTTGTCTCAAACACATCCAAGTTTTCTTAGTGGAAAACTTTCTAGCAAACCGGTTCGTATCTTGTCGCCATAGAGGAATATCATCATTCTCATTATACCTATTTCGCAGCACTTCAATCTCTTCTTCAATCATATTAAGAATGGCTAATCTGTGCCTTTTCCTCCGATGGTGAAGAATCACATCCCCAACCAACGTATGTTCAGTAATGCCAAGACTAATGGTACCACGCCCATCAAGAAGATCATTGAGACAACCCAAAGAAGACCAAGTATCATACCAGAAGGAAGACTGCTTACCACTATGGACTTCCATCCGAATGTAAGACTTTGCAGTTTCCCGGAGCTTCAGAATTTTCTTCCACATCCAAGAACCAATACTAGTATTATACTTAACCGACCAGAAAGAACCTTTTCTTATGAGATAGCAATGAATCCATTTAACCCAAAGAGAAGAGTGAGTAGAGAATAACCTCCATATCAGTTTAAGACCAAGAACCTTGTTGACTTCCTTTAATGGCCGAATCCCTAACCCACCTTCTACCTTAGGTAAACAAATGTCTTTCCAGCAAACCTTTGCCTTATTGGAATTCAGCGCAGGCCCCGACCACATAAAAGCTGAACAAAGCCTCTCAATCTCCTTCAAACAACTTCCAGGAAGCCGAAAAGCCGACAACCAGAAGTTAGCCATACTAGTAATAACAGAATTGATGAGTTGAAGCCTACCACCATAAGACAAAAGTCTACCAGTCCAGGAGCTCATTCTTTTCCTTATTTTCTCAACCAAAGGTATATAATCATTGATTGTCATCCTTCTAGTCAAAAGAGGAAGGCCTAAATACCTAACAGGGAGCTTACCAGACGCAAAGGGGAATGTAGTACGAATCTCTCTCACTTGATTCTCATTCAAACCAGCAGTAAACAAAGTAGATTTCTCCAAGCTGATCTTGAGACCAGAAATAGCTGCAAAATCTTCAAAAATCTTCAGAACATTTTCAATAGACCTTTTAGTACCATCAGTGAAGACCAAAAGATCATCTGCAAAGCAAAGATGGGTAAGCAGAATATTCTGACACTTTGGATGGTAACCAATAAGCCTTCTAGCAGCAGCTTTGTCAAGCAAATGAGAAAGAACATTCATACAGATAACAAACAAATAAGGGGATAGTGCACACCCCTGCCTTAAGCCCCTTTTGCTCTGAAAAAAACCCGCAAGCTCACCATTAACTTGAACCGAGAATGAAGGTGTGCAGATACAAAGCTCAATCCAGTGAACAAACTCCTCAGGAATATTTAAAGCTCTTAAAGTATTCAACAGAAAAGGCCAGTGAACAGAGTCAAACGCTTTAGCAATGTCAATCTTCATTGCACAGCGAGGAGAAACATCCTCTTTGTGATAATCTTTCACAATTTCAGTGGCTAAAAGGAGATTCTCAACCAGAAGTCTATCCTTAATGAAAGCAGATTGGTTGAAGCTAATGCAACCGGGAAGAGTACCTTTGAGCCTGTTAGCAATGATCTTAGAGATCACTTTATACAACACATTGCAGCAGGAGATAGGCCTATAATCTCTCATCTCAGTAGCCTTCTCTTTCTTTGCCACCAAAGCTAAAATGGTAGAATTCAGACCTTTCGGGAGGAAACCTTTGGTGAAAAAAGAGAGCACTGCAATCGTGAAATCCTTGCCAATAATCCCCCAAGCAGCTTTAAAAAATTCTGCAGTAAAACCATCAGGCCCTGGAGACTTATTACTCGGCATCTTGAAAAGAACCTCTCTAATTTCATCTTCAGTAACCGGCTTAATCAAAAGAGCTCTTTCATTGCTAGAACACCGGAAAGGCAGAAATTGTTGAAGCTCTTCAACCTCAATACCTTGGACATCAGGAGATTCAAAGGTTAAGAAATCACTAAAAAATCTTTCAGCCTCAGCTTTTATATCCTCCTGAGAAGTGGCAATAACCCCTGATTCACAACGAATTTCCCTTATAGCATTTATAGACCCTCTGATCTTCACAGCATTGTGAAAAGCTTTGTTGTTACCATCCCCCAGCTGAAGCCAATGCAGCTTTGACCTTTGCTTTAACACTTTCTCTTCAATCATAGAGATCTTTTGCCATCTCGCTTCAATCTCCAATTCATCCTGAATATTAGTCAAAGAGGGATCATTCATTAGTCTCTCTTGTTGCTGGCATAGGTCAGAATAAGCCTCCTTGACTTTCATAGACAGTTTTCCCAACTTCTCCTTACTGAGTTTTCTAATCAGAGGTTTAATAGCTTTAAGAAGTTTGGAAAGACGAAAGAGAGCAGAAGTGGATTGAAAAAGAGGCTGGTGTTCCTTCCAATATCCTTCCACCAACTTAAGAAAATCCGGCATCTCCGCAACAACATTAACAAATTTAAATGGTCTTCTCTTACCCACAGCCTCAGTAGTTAAATGAAACCGACCTCTAAGATGATCCGAACAACCTCCTGCCTCAAAGACTCCATAAGCTCTATCCCACTTTTGCAACCAAACATCATTGACAAGAAACCGATCCAGCTTCTTACAAATAAGCCCCTCCTCACGCTTATTACACCAAGTGAACTTAGGGCCTTGACTACCAAGATCCACCAAATTACAATACTGAACAATGTAATCAAAATCACGCATTCCAGAACTAGTAAATCCCGAGTCTGGATAGCTTGAATGCTCCTTACCATCAAGAATCTCATTGAAATCTCCCATAATAATCCATTGTTTCCCTTTAAACATAGCAGCATCCTGATGATCCTTAATATCACTCCATAACTCCTTCCTATCATCCATTAAGTTTTCACCATACACAAAAGAACAAAAGAATTCCTCTGTTTCCCCCTCAAGCAACACCGAAACAGTAATGATTTGACTTGATTTGAATACAATAGTAAGACAAGTCCGAGAATCCCAAAGAACCCAAATTCTACCTTTGCTATTGTACTCATAGTTATTAATCCAAGACCAATCCTTGAACACCGAAGAAACAATACGATTAGCCTTATTCTCCTTCACTCTAGTTTCCAGTAAACAACCAAACTTCAAACTTTTATTATGAATCCAATCCCTAACCACACCATGTTTTGAACTTTTGTTGAAACCCCTTACATTCCAGAAAAAACCCGTCATTGAGAAGGTTTACGAGAGACACTCTTTCCATAGTACCCAGGCACATTTTTCTCAAAAAAGACCTTATGATTAGCTTTCGAAACTCTCGGAAGAGAAGGCCGAATGCTATTAACTATATCAGCTTTTGTAGCTGGTTTGCGCAGAACTTCCTTGCTAGTGACACATTGTGGTGGTGGTGGAGATTTCACCATGTCACAATATGTTGGAGATTTCCCAACAACATCACTGCCCGCAGAATCTCCAACAACACGCACCTTAGTTATGTCCTTGTTGGCTACACTCTTATCATCTACATCGACCTTAGTAGATTCGCTTTGCTCAATTACAGCAGTATCATTATTGCTCACAGATAATCCAGCCTCAGAATCTTTATTCACCTCAGTGATATCATTCCCAACTTCAAGAACATCCATATTACAACCTTCCATAAACTCCACCTTTTCAACAAGATCATCCACAGTGCTCTCAAGTAGTCCAACCTCAGAATCTTTATTCACCACAATGATATCATTTCCAACTTCAAGAACCTCCATATTACAACCTTCCATAAACTCCACCTTTTCAACAAGATCATCCTTAGTGCTCTCAAGTATTCCAACCTCAGAGTCTTTCTTCACCACAATGATATCAGTCCCAGCTTCAAGAATAGCCATATTAAGTTCCGTTTCCTCAACATTAATTTCTGTCGAATCTTTAATTTGAGCAATCACCAAATCCTGCTCCTTAACCATTTCACCATCATCATTTATATCATTAAGAATCAAGAATCTAGATGGTGTTACCAGTTTGGTTTGACCAGAAACAAGCTTTGGACTTCTTTTCTTACCTGAACTAGCATCCGTCCACCCTATTTGGCCCTCCTCAAGCTCATCATTTCTCACTTCAATCGACTGTTCTTCAGTACCCCCAAAAGTAGAAGGACCAATCTCAGAACTACGCACATCAACTATTTGTTTCCCCGCAGCTTTATCATTCGGAGCTAAGCTTCTCTGAATCTGTTCAGACATACCAACACCATCTTTCCCATTCATAACACAGGATTTCTCGACATGTCCCCACTTACTACAGGTTTGGCATCTTAGAGGAAGCCAAGGGTAAATAAACTCCACTAAAAACGATTTACCATTCTTTGTGAAATTTATCTTAGTAGGCAACTCCTTGGACAAGTCTGCATTCACAAACACCTTCGCAAGCTTGAAATTGGAGCAAGAAGCAGTTTCAGGGTGTAACCTTACCGGAAATCCTGCAGCACTTGAGATAAAGCTTAATCCTTCCCATGAGAACATATGCACAGGCACATTCTTAAGATGAACCCAAAGAGGGATAGATTGGACTTCCGGCTTCTCTTTTAATTCATCTGGAGTCCATTTAGTAACCACCAATGGAACATTACCTATATTCCACATTCCTCTACGCAGAATCCTTGATCTCATCAGTGGATTTGAGACTTTAAACTTCATTGTTGTAGAGTCTACTGCAAAAACTTCAACCCTTTGATAATTCTCACGCTGCGTCCAGATTTTGTTAACAATGGCATGAACTCTTGCAATATGCGGAGCAGTATCGAGAAATTTACCAATTAAGAAATCCTCCCAAAGATGATTAGCATTCACCAGAACTTCATCTGGAATCTCAACAACTTTTTGGCCTTCCATCACACTTATATCAACCACGTAATTCTTCAGAGCTTTCTTCTCCGTCGCGACCTCAACCCACGATGAACCTTTAACAGGAATCTCCGATCTTAATCCTTCACCTCCTTTCCTGTCAACCAAACCACTTTTCTCTCCGTTTGCCACTAACGTTTCCGCAGCTTCCACATCGGCTAGATCTTGATGCTTCATACTCGTGTCCCGCAGATCCCGGTCTTCCTTAATCCCCGGATGAGACTCAGGCGAGCCCGGCGGATCCGCCGTAATCATTGGTAAACCTTGATCGCCAATCGCACAATTTTTCGCCCTATTCAAAACGGAGTCGTTTCCCTGACCTTATTGTAATCATTGGGTAGAAACGGAGTCGTTTCTTTCTATCTAGTCGTTATTATACTTTATTCGCTTTGAAGATAACTTATTCAAAAAGATTGGCAGCGTCAAATTTAATCTAAATTTTTTCTCTCGTTAGCCTCACGCATTTCATGATTTCTCAATAATTGCGCGACTGCTTCTGACTGTGTTCTGCGACCGTTTTTTTCAACCCTGTTGATTATGTGCCAACGAATGAATGGAGCTCCGTTTTTTTCAGGAAAATAGATTTTTGGTGATGGTCATTCGTGATTTGTTGAATTTATGTGAGATTACTAAGGGAAAAGACAATAAAGCTGTCATTGCCAGCAACATTATGTAAGTTTGATCCTTCATATTCTGCTGAATAGAATCATGGGTTGCTGTACGTCTAACAAGTTGTATATCCTATTTTTCTCAATACCACACCGTATTTATGCAAACTTAACTGAAAGATATGGCCTCTATGTTCGGCTTTGGCATATTGCAGGTATGTCGTCGGCCAGTATCCAAGGTTCTTAAGGGCCCATTGGAAGTTTTTGAAAACAGTTGTGAATAAGCTGTTTGAATTCATGCATGAGACACATCCTGGTGTTCAGGTAGCGCCTCCAAACTTTTAATGTTCTGAGATACAGTTATCCAGTTGTAAATTCATATAGAAAGATGATGTACTCACTGTTAAAGTCCGGGATTAAGATTCTATAAGTTCTCGAGTATTATCATATCGGTGGTAAATGAATGCCCATCTTTTCAAGCTAGCATCCGTTTCTTTTATGGTCCAGGTGTTCTTGCATACAATTTGCATCTTTCTGATTAATGATGCCTAATAGTCATGTTTCCCTTTCAGGACATGGCCTGTGATACATTCTTGAAAATAGTTCAGAAGTGCAAGCGTAAATTTGTTATTGTCCAGGTTTGTATCGCTATGTTCAACTCACCTTTCTTATCCTTCCATTGTCTTCTGAGTGAGCGCCTAGTTATATAGTTCATTGTACTTCCAGGTTGGAGAGACTGAACCATTTGTATCTGAACTTCTGACTGGCCTTGCAACAACTGTTCAAGATCTTGAGCCTCATCAAATTCACTCATTTTATGAATCTGTAAGTTCTCCAGATGCGTTTTCAGATTGGCAGTCAGAGCTATTTCTCTGTTGAGATTTCATTGTTTCTCTCTCTCCAGGTTGGTAATATGATCCAAGCAGAATCAGATCCTCAGAAGAGAGATGAATATCTACAGAGATTGATGGCACTCCCAAACCAGGTATCTTGATTATCTAGTGGCTTCTTAACTTTCGTTTACATAGTTGGCTAAAGATGTCCCGTTTTATAATGTAGAAATGGGCAGAAATCATAGGACAGGCACGACAGAGTGTAGAATTCCTCAAGGATCCAGTTGTGATACGTACAGTGCTTAATATCCTGCAGGTCTGATTTTTCCCTACTGGTGTTTAGATAAATGTTTAATTGCAAGGTGTAACTGTTACCATGTTTTTTTCCCATGCAGACCAACACTAGTGCTGCTACTTCACTAGGAACGTACTTCTTATCCCAAATTTCCTTGATATTCTTGGATATGTTGAACGTTTACAGGTAAATCCATGATACATTATTATAGCTTTTAATAGTTATATTTCTCGTTTTTGTGTTATTTTAGTTGGTCGCTCATTTTATTTTTTCTCCATGGATGCACCAGAATGTACAGTGAGCTTGTGTCAACCAGCATCACTAGTGGGGGACCATATGCTTCCAAGACATCTTTTGTAAAACTCTTAAGGTTTGTTGTAGGCATCGGATACACACGGTTCTTGATACCACTATTTGACGAACTGTGATAACTATATATATTGTAATGCTTTGTTGTACAGGTCTGTCAAGAGGGAAACCCTTAAGCTGATAGAAACCTTTTTAGACAAAGCTGAAGACCAACCACACATAGGGAAACAGTTTGTGCCTCCAATGATGGAATCTGTGCTCTGTGACTATGCGAGGAATGTACCTGATGCTAGGGAATCAGAAGTTCTTTCACTATTTGCAACGATTATAAACAAGTATGTCCCGTGTTAGTAATTTAGCAAGTGTACCATCTGCTTGATTCTTGATTGTTTTCTTCCTAATCATCATATGCTATTGCTAGAAGATTGGATTTGGAACTTTACTTCCCCTGAAGCTGGGCATGATTTGTTCTTTCAGGTACAAGGCAACAATGTTAGATGACGTGCCAAACATATTTGAAGCTGTTTTCCAGTGTACGTTGGAGGTAATAAGATTATGGACCGTTTCTTTGTTGCCCACACTACAGCTGTTAACATAAACGAGGAAAACGTACATAGAGGTGATGTATGCTTTGTATACTATATTGACACTTTCCTTTGTTTCATCCTTTTGCAGATGATAACTAAGAACTTCGAAGATTATCCGGAACACCGCCTGAAGTTTTTCTCCTTACTCCGTGCTATTGCTACATTTTGCTTCCCTGCCTTGATAAAGTTGTCAAGTCAGGTTTGTGAATATTTTTTGCATATATATTTGCTAAGTCCTGACTCATCATTTGGATATCTTCCTTACTGTCTTGTCTTTTTTGCATCAGCAACTAAAGCTAGTGATGGATTCAATTATCTGGGCATTTAGACATACTGAGAGAAATATCGCTGAAACTGGGCTTAATCTTTTGCTTGAGATGCTGAAGAACTTTCAGGTTTGGTGTTTGGTTCCCTACTTTTCAGCTCTGTGGTTATGGCAGATATTATTATATCTTGGTCTAACATTTTACCTCTTTGATTATGACAGCAATCTGCGTTTTGTAATCAGTTCTTCCGGTCTTACTTTATACAAATCGAGCAAGAAATATTTGCTGTTTTAACTGATACCTTCCATAAGCCTGGCTTCAAGCTGCATGTGTTGGTGCTGCAGCATCTGTTTTGCCTGGTAAAACCGTCTTTTCTCTGCCATTTTATCTTACTGGGTAGGCTCTATAGTTTTACACGCGTAGACATTTGATTGACACTATAAATTATATAGGTTGAGAGCGGTGCTTTGACGGAACCTTTGTGGGATACTGCAACCGTACCTTACCCGTATCCGAACAATGCTGCCTTTGTTCGTGAATACACCATTAAGTTATTGAGCTCTTCCTTCCCCAACATGACTGCAACAGAGGTAAGTAAAAGCTCTTTTTTTGTTTTATTTGTTCAAGATTCCTTTTATTTCTCTCAAGTCTGATATTGAATACCAATAATCAATCATACAGGTCACACAATTTGTGAATGGACTTTACGAGTCAAGAAATGACCCGTCTGAATTCAAGAAAAACATTCGCGACTTCCTTGTGCAGTCGAAGGAATTCTCCGCTCAGGTTATTATTATTAACTTTTACTTTGAAGATGCCTTTCCTTCCACTTTGCTTTGAGACCTCAAAGTCCAATTTGGTTGAATATAAACTTTCAGGACAACAAAGATCTATACGCAGAGGAAGCAGCTGCGCAGAGAGAGCAAGAGCGTCAAAGAATGCTTTCGATTCCTGGTCTTGTTGCTCCTAATGAGATTCAAGACGAGATGGTGGACTCCTAAAGCAAAACAACAAGAAAGAAAGCTTTCCCGATTCCATACGTTTTGGACACAGTGAAGAGTTGAGGAGAATGACATTAGTTTCCCCTGAATGTATGTATCTCTGCTTCCTAATTCGACTTTGAGTATTGGAATAGCCAAAAAAAAAAAAAACAGAGATCTACGGGGGTAACATTAGTTTCTTGTTTGGTTAAAGTAGATTTGACCTTTTTCGAGTGTTTTTTGTTAAAGCGGTTTGTGTTTTAGGTGCAAGACATTGTTTCAACTCAGTTATTGTTACCATTAATACAAACGTGTTGCTTTTTTTTTTCATTCGCCCAAACCTCAAAACTAATTCAAAATGTTAACAACTGCATCCAACAATACTTTGAAATTCTCAACGGAGCTTCCATTCACAGAGACAGCTTGGTGTGCTTGCTCTCTGAGCTTCTTAGCATTGCTCTTCATCTTCTTGCCATCATCTTGAACCAAAACTTTATCCAAACACTTCTCCAACCCATCTTTCGTGAAGACTCCATCGATAATCGTCATTCCAATCTCCCAAACAACTTCAACTGCTCTTCCGTTGAGTCTCTGATCACCGAAAAACGGCCTGCAAATCATCGGTACACCTCCGGAAACACTCTCCAGCACGGAGTTCCATCCACAATGCGTCACAAAAACACCGGTTGCTTCGTGTTTCAGCAGCTCGACTTGTGGAACCCATGGAACCACTATCCCTTGCTCTCTTGTCCGCTCCAAAAAACCTTTGGGTAACTGAACCATGCTCTTCTCCTTAAGCGACCAAATAAACGGCACTTTGCTCGACTCCAACCCTTCCGCTATCGCCACAAGCTCTCCGGGAGGCGGCGTCATGACTGAGCCAAAGCTAACGTACGCTACAGAAGCAGTCCTCTGCTTCTTGATCCAAGCCAAGCAGCCGTGAGGATCTTCTTGCACTGATTGTGATGCAGATGTTGATGATAACAACGCGAGAGGACCAATGTTTAGGTAAAGTTTGAACTCCGACTTGAGGTTATTCGTCAGTGTATTATCTATCTCTTCAAATGAATTGATGAAAACCGCATTGGCACGAGGTAAAGCAAGACCCATTCGGTGCAACGTGTCTGAGAAAACAGAGTCTAAGTTCCCAAACACAACTCCTTCTGGTGTGTCTTTGACTCTTACCTTCTCCATCCCTGAGATAAACCCTAATGTCTCTTCCATACACCCATCTGTATAGATCATGAAGCAATCAAAATCATTACCACAAATATAATATATAATCCACTGCACATTCTTCAAAAACACAATTTTAGTAACCATTCCTTTTTTAACTAAATAACTTTCTTTAATGGATTAAAGACAAAAACACAAGTGGTAGTTTTTTATTTTAATTATTACCTTTCCCAAATATAATATGTAATCACTGGCAGATTCTTCAAAACCACAATTTTAGTAACCATTCCTCTTTTCACTAAATAACTAATTTTTCTTTAATGGATTAAAGACAAAAACATAAGTGGTAGTATTTTATTTTAATTATTACCTTTCACAAATATAATATATACTCACTTGCACATTCTTCAAACGCACAGTTTTAGAAACCATTCCTCTTTTAACTAAATAACTAATTTTTCTTTAAAGGATTAAAGACAAAAACACAACTGGTAAGTTTTTGTCTTTTTTATTACCGTTTATAGAGAAAAAGAAAAACACAAATGGTAGTTTGGTCTTTTTAATTACCTTTCTCACGTGCGGATTGTCTGATGAGATCTGTGTAGAGATGAACAGACAACGAGTTTGGTCCGGCTGTCCAAAACGCAACCCAAGTGGCCTTCATCTCCGCCGCCATATCCGACGCGAACCAAAAGAACGCATCAGTTAACAAACACGTCACTTTCTTACCGGCGTCATTCTCCGCCGACGAGATCGCTTTCCGGAAACTCTCCGGCGCCGCTACGAGAAAAAGCTCGATCGCCTCCTGTGGTCTCCCGGAGAACACGTAACCCTCCGGGACGCCGTCGGCGACGTCGTGGACTCGAATGTTCGACGGAAGATCTGATGAGGGGAAGAGTGAGGAGTTGGATTGAGAGGTGTTGAAGAAGGAGAAGAGTGTGGTGGGAGAAGCGGTGGCGAGACGGCGCGTGATGGAGAGGAGAGGAGCGGCGTGTGTGCCGAAGGGGAAAGCGAGAATGGCTACGTGGGAGTCTTTGGTTGGCTTGCAGATGTTGGCCATGTTGTGAGTACTTAAAATGAAGGAGACAATGGAGAGAAGAGAGACTTGTAATAAATAGAGAAAATGTAATGGTCGAGGATGAACCACCGAGCAAGTGAATATAAAGCTCGTGATGGTGGTTGGTTGGTACCACTCTCTCTCTCTCGTTGAATTTTCTTATGTTTGACGTAACAAAAAATATAGAGTTATTATTTGACATTTTTTTTGTTATTTCGAAATTGGTTAAAAGAACAAGATATTCATTTCCTTGTTAGTGTATTAATTTTGCAAAAAGGACATGTTTCTTTAGTTTGTACATATATATTTTTCATAAAAACTGTTATACTATTTTCTTTTAAGAGATTTGTTATCTATTTTTAGTAATAAATCGAATATTTTAAACCAGAAAAAGATAACTATCATTTCTAAAAAGGAAATGAAATGTCGGTAGCATGATCAGTACGTAGTTTTAATGTTGAGTTTCTCGATGATATGTTACTGCCCTCCATGATAAAAGAAATAGGAGTACGTAAGTACGAGTCATGATGTGGTGGTAGGTAAAATTCGTGGTTCACATATCACGTAAAGACTCTGATGATGATCAGAGTCTATATGTGTGTTTACGTAAAGAAACCCAAACCCTAATCTCATAATTTGTCGGAAAGCCGAATTAAATTAGGAATAAATAATATGATTTGGGCCGAAAGCCCACGTATTGTTGACTTTCTCCTCGTTTATAGGGGTCCCAGAAATAAATTTATCATAATATGGTCCACACGCGTTTTTTTTTATTTTGGTAGAAAATTTTAGAAACAATAAATGATTTATTTTCCGGATAACAGATCTGTCACTATAGTGATGACCTTAAGAAAGTGACAACTACTCCCTCTTAAAATAATAGCTTTTTTAAAAAATTGTTTCACAAAAATCAATTTTATATGTATCTTTACTAATTAGTTAATAACAAAATATAAATTTCAAAAATAATTAATTGAATTTATTAAACTAAACTATTGGAAAGTTGGAAACTGATAGATGTAAACATCAGTGCATTTTATGATAATTTTTTAATATATTTTGTTAATACATGTAAAACATCAAAAAGTATTTTTTTTTAAATGGATGCAATATAATTTAGAAGACATTTTTACTCTATTTATTCTAGTAATATAATTTTCTAAAAATAATGTATTTTTTTGTTCAGTAGCTCATTTGATTGCTGCGTTCACGACTGAATCTGATATCTAAAGAGTTGTAAACCATTTTAAGAATTATAATAATTTTATAATTTGGTGGTTAGGCGGTATAATAATTCGCTAAAATTTGGTGGACATTACAAATAATTTAATCCGGCTATGTCAATTGGTTTTGGGCGAATAGTTTACAACGATAGAGCAACAAATTAATCATTTTATAATAACGGTAAGGATGTCAAAGCTGCTGGATTCACTTCCGTTGTACCATTGTTTCAACTATTTCTGGTAAAAAAAAAAAACTATTTCTGGTACTATGCAAAGACCTGAGAAACCCAACCAAGCTAATCAGTACAATAACTTCAGTCTCATCTTAAACTCGAAAAAAACTCTTTACTCCTTGCAGGTATTCAGGCGGTAATCATGCAAAATCAGAATCTCTAAAAATACTTCTGTTGGGGGGGGATAAATGATCCTCTCATGGTGACACTAACTCAACTAGCTTTCATTGTATTTACAGTTGATGAAAATTTGTATCATCTCAAAACCTTCCCGTTGACTTACTAGTAGATTATACATTCCTCTGAAATCATGAATTTGTTTTGTTTATACAACCAACGTAACTTTTACTATACTTTTCACTCTCATAATATTTGTTTTTTGAGGATTCACAAAGGCAATTCATTTTAAAATATTTTTCGTCTGAATTTGAGAATCAATCCAAAAATCTACACAAGAAAACCTTCATAAAACTAATACAGTGAAAGAAAGAACCACGAATATCTCCTCGTAAAACAAACATTATATTCGAGGTCAGTTTCAAAAGCTGATCATGTTCACACACTTGTCTCTCAAACCATACCGTTCATGTCACCCGTGAATCTCCCTCCTCGGCAGCCATTGAATCCGATGATGGTTCTGCAGCATCTGGCGAAGACAAGTAAATTAACAACTCAAGACAATAATAGTAAACAAAACATGCCTAATGAAATAATAATAATACGAATATACTTAACTGGTTTCACTTGGCTTCTCACTCTCACTAGCTGTCGTCATTGTCTCTGATGGTTCATCGATAGTTTCCATGTCAATAGTCATTGCGTCATCAACATCTGCTTCCTCTACCTCTGTCATTATCTCATCCTTGTCGCCTCCCACCACTGCTTCAGTTCCATTTGGTGTCCAATTTGCTGCAGCAGTTTTTGCGTCTTCCGTTGCTGCGTTTGCATCCTCAGTGGTTTGTGATTGTGGGTCTGGACTGATGGATAACATAGAAGTAACCAACAGATTCTGCAAAGAATCGGAAACAAAAAAAATGAACGAGGAAATGTTTATATCAAGTATAAAATCACAAAGGTAATGACTTCATATATGTACCTTTTCTAAAGCAAGAGCAAGCTTTGAGAGCTTTGGGTAGATACTCCTTGCAGCCAAAAGGATCTGTTGAACACAAACAAAACAACAAGCTTTGTGGTTATAACCTTCTAAAACAAATAAAAGAGGAGTTTTATGACACTACACACTAGCATGCATATTTTGACAATTACAACTGTTACAGATGGCTAATATATGTCTCCTGGTCTAGTTAGACGAGTATAAATTTTTAAACAGAGTATATCACAAAATTTGAGTTGGTTTAGGAATTGAAAAGTAAACAGAATGAAGATATGGAGTCAAGTAGACAACTGATTCTTTGTCTTATACACTGCCACGCAAGTGACTTTTTCATTAATCAAAGCGAGCTAATAAGAACATGACATCTCCACACTGACGTAAATCGCGATCAGCAAACGCATCTATTTACCTCACAGAGTCTCTGCAGTGTAAATGGAGGACCTTCGTCGAAACTAAGAAGGGCTGCAAACAAGACAAGAACAAAAAAAACAAAATTAAACATACTTCAAACTGTGAAACAAAAGGTTTCTGTAAAAAATAGAATACACAGAGTTGTAAAAACATATATAAATCTTGAGAGGGTCAAAACAACAAGAAACAGCTTAAGTAACTGGATAGCCAATCCACTGACACGTGTCTCAGCATATGTTTCCTACACTATACGATGACAAACCACTTCATTTTATTCACACATGTTACTTTCTTGATGCTTAGCAGAGCTTTGAGTGATAGGTAACTTTGAGAAAAAGAGGAGAAGTGGAGTTATAGATATTGACCTTCATCCAATCGACTAACCAGCTGTGAATATGTTTCGCCTAGGGCTTCCTTTTGTTGTTCGTCAGTCATCTTTGCCTCAGGATATTCTGACAGAACCTTTACAGTGCATCATATAGATATAGTAAGATAATGAAATCATCGGGATCAATGTTGAACGATGATATGTATTCTACGCACACTGCTAGTAAGTATACCTGAACATACCTTCTTCAACCACCACGACAGCATTCCCTTTAGTTTCTCCCAGTCCAGCCTGTAGTATTACAAGGTAAGAAGACAGTAGTCAACTAGATGAAGGTAAGCCAGACAGAGATGAAAAGCCAGCCACTCGTCAAATTCATATTAACTCTATACAACAATACAAACCCGGTAAAGGATAAGATAAGATGCCAGGTTTCAAGTAGAGAACAAACCATAGCTATTTAAAAAAAAAAAAAGTGGACATTTTACCAGAACTTTCCGGTGGATGCAACAGCTTCAAATGTTCCCTTCACTTCTTCCTCAGACATTTCTGCTTCCTGCACAGCCACTCTGCAACAACAACAAAGATCAACCTGCTATTTTAGCACACACTACGAAATTAGAACCACCAACAAGAAGGTATATATAGCCAGGGGGGAGTTTGCAACATAGAAACAAACGAAGTAAAATCTGAGGCTCACACTCAGAGATAGAGCCAACAATGGAATCATAACATAACGAAGATGTATGAAGCTAGAACTGGTAAGCTAGTCTTGCAACCTAGCAGCCTAAAGTGAACCAATCATAAACCTGAGTGTTAATCTTGCACTATCCTAACTAACACATACAACGGTTCAATTAGATCTAAACCTAGATATGGAGCCAAACATCAACGACGTAAAGGTGACTCGTCGATTCGATTCGAAACCAAACATATTTTTTTTCATATACACACACACACCTCAAGTACACTATATGAACTGGCATATACACACTTTGGGAGAAATAGTGATTGGAATCTCTGATTACGAGAGTAACGAACAAGAAGAGGATAGCAAAACGTAAGGATGGAGAGATAGAGATAGAGATAGAGCCAAACAAATGGAATCAATAGCATAATGAATGAAGCTCGAACTCGTGACCTCATCTTGCAACCTAAAGTGAACCAATCATTATCCTAACTATACATACAACGATTCAATTAGATCTAAACCTCGATCTGGAGCCAGACAGCAGAGACGTAGAGGTGACTCGTCGATTCGATTCGATTCTATACTCCATTAAATGAACTGGCATTATATACACTTAAGAGCGATTGGTTTGAGATAAATCAAGAGCACAAGCAAGTAAGCGAGAGTGATTCGAATCTTTGATTACGAGAGTAACGAACTACTAAAGCAAAACGTACGGATGCTCTGGACTTTGAGGAAGTAGGGCGTGATCCTGGCGTGGAGCTCCGTCGTCACTAGGAGGAGGGACGGAGGAAGTGTCTCGTGGAGTTTCATGTTCCGATGACGTCATCTCCATTTTTGGATCCCCTTCGAGACTGATGAGTGAGCAATCTCCGGATATTTTAGCCCTAAAATTCCTGAACGCCGATTAAAGAGATTTTTTTCAATTTTGACCCGACCCGACACCCCGTTAATCCTGATTATTAGCAGCAATGTAAATCACTAAATCTTACTTGTTAGTTAGATTAAACATGTTTTTTTTTATCAACAAATTAAACATGTTTAGATAAACATAAACCAAGTTGTGTATATAAATTAAGAAAAAAAAATTATATATTTTTATACAAAAAAAACATTATTTATCTAATTAACCATAATTCAGTCAATAAGAAAATAAATTACAAAATATAAAAAAACAGGGTGAGTTTTGCCTCTTTGTTTTTGAGGTTTGAACAAGAAAGCAGTCGTTTTTATACACATTTTTTAATTGCTAACTTTTATAATAGTTATAAGTTCATATTACTTTAGAAGGTTTTAAGTCTCTTATATGTTTGGAACGGCACTGCTAAATTAAAATGGATCATCTTTAAACTACTAAACAAAACATAAATTGTAATCAAATCAAGTAAATGTACACTATAAACTTACAGAAAGCGTGTTAAGAAAATGAATGGTTTTATATAAAGAGATCATTTCTTCTTTTTTTTTTTTTTTTTTTTTTTTTTTTTTTTTTTTTTTTTTTTGATAACTCAGGTGTCCGGGGCTTATTTAGAGACCCGACTATCCCCCGAAGGGGTCCTGAAGGCCAAACGGAAACCATGTTAAATCCGCTGTGGCCGGGGCTCGAACTCGTGATGGCGGGCACCTCAGCTGAGGTTCCTTTACCACTAGACCACGAGGCCCGGTTTCTTCTTCTTTTGTTTATCTTAGCGGACTTTCTCAGATGATTCTCTTTTAAAAATATTAGAATTCAATTACAACAAAGATCGTCCGACTGGATCTTTGAAGAAGGCCATGGATCATTTATACAATCCACGAACATGAAAGAAACATGGGTAAAATGTACAACTTTATGCATACATATACCACATATACTTGAAAGAGGTGTGGCACATACAACATGCTAAGTTAAATAGACTTTCTATACAAATACATATGGATGCTATCAGGTTTTATGGTTCAAGAGGTTACAATGTCGTATACAACTTAATTTTGAGATTATGAATTGCCATTGTTGATTTTTCTACCACACTTTCTTATAGCCTAATTACCTTTTCATAAGATAAATTCCTGTTTTCCATTTAATTTTTACTACCTAATAGAAATTTTTTTCTCTTTTTAGTATTATATTTTTCCAAAATAACAATTATGTTTTGCTTTTACTTAACTTTTTAATTTACCAATTATTTTTATTATTTTTAATAATGCCAAACACATTGCCATTTCAAGAGAGAATATGTGATGTTTTCCATTATTCTTCTGTTGCAATTCCTCTGCCTTTGTTCCACAATCTCACATTGTGCGAGCGATGGAGTGGTTCTCTCGTGGTTGTTTCTCAAATATTATGAAGATACGTAATTAGAAGAACCAAGAAAGTAATACTAAAGATCGTGATGTGATGATACGTGGATGTGTAACTGTATATCGGTTTATTTGTTTCTTATAATTTTTTTTACTTAAATTTGTAGAACCTAAAGCCTATGCTTTGAAAAGTAATTTTCGTGAAACGAATAATGCGACCGCTGTCTTTATCGTTGAGAAGTTGGAAACAAAGGGTCCGGTTGGTATCATTGTCGATGCTGATCCTGGTTTTTGCAATATTAAAAATGTAAGTGAAAGATGAAGTTTAATAGTAAAAAAAAAACCAGAAAATAATTTAAGTATTGCAAACTATTTCTATTGAAAATGTGGGAATCGTTTCATGAAGTTTTGCTTTTACGCAAGTCACCACGAGAAAAAAATTGTCCAAGACATGCACTTATCATTGTTGCCTATGGAAGCACGAAAGATGGAAAGCTCTTCTTTGTTTTGCAGAACCCTTGGGGAGTCACTTATCTTTGTTTTGCAGAACTCTGATTCGTATTGAAGGTTTCCGAAGCTGTCCACGTCCCACTCTGGTGGGTATAGACGGCGGTCCCTCTTCGCTGTGACACCGCTACTTTTCATGGTGATCATAGTCGTCAGAGAAACGAACTAACCCTAGAAGTTTGGTGGTCCCAAAGCAGGTGACAACGAAAAATGATGTCGGATATATTTACAGATATGACATTTATATATCCCTGCCCATTAAAGAGTAATTGGGCCCGTCCATAAAAATCAAGTCTCTAAAATCTTTTCTGTTTTTACGGCCCACACTAGTAAGTTTATGTAACAGTAAGTGGGCCCCTTACTGTTGCATTGATGTGTACAGTTTACCTATGTAAAAAGGACTGAACTTAGTTTTACTATTGACTTTGACCAAAATAAAAAGGTTTTACTATTGACTATTGATTGCTCAAGCTTCAGTATACAGAGTCAATCGTGCGTTAAGGAGAACGAATCTATTGAAACTGAACAAGTGAAAGAAAGTTAATACACAAGAAAATTATATCTGGCTTTTATAATGATGACAAGATGGAAGATCTTTACCAATTTTGTTCCTTAATTCGAATATTTTTTTTCAAACCAAAAGTATCATCTTCAAAGGAACACACATAGTTTCATAGTTTTCTGTTTGACATGACTACAACATAAGAAAAAGAAACGCATTTTTTGAATCACCAGACTACTCGGCAATCTGATTATTACCAGGCAACACCTGCAATGCTGTTCTGCTGTTACTGCCTTTAATAGAAAGCTCCTTCACCAACTTCACAAGTTGCCTGATGCTAATATCTTTCAAGTTCTCTTCATCGAACTCCACCTTCTTCTTAGGCTTCTTATCCTCAGCTTTGATCTCACTATTATCACTATTGTTAACAACAGTCACCATCATCTCCATGTTGTTCTCCTTGTTATTATTGTTATCGACACTGACTAGCTTCATGGCTGAGTTCTTTGATGGGGTTGTTGCTGCTGATTTGTTTGGTCTTGGATACTGAGAAGAGATTGATTCTGCTGCAAATGGAGATAGTGGAGCTGTTTTGACTTCAGCCTCTTCAAGCAGAAGAGAAGGAGGTGTTGGAGCAGTTACAGAACCTTCTGATTCAGATAGAATCATCTCTTCCTCAGCAATATCAGATCCATGTACGGCTTGGTTTGAGTCAGCCTCAGATATAGTGCCGTCAGAGTCAGCACCAGAATCATCTTCTTCAGGTTCAGTTTGGTATACCATTGTAGCTTCATCAAAAGTGTTGATTTTCACAGTCTCTGAATCAATCTCCTGAATCGCCTGTTCTGTCTCTTGGTGGTTGGATTGGTTTGAATCAGCTTCAGAGATAGTGCTGTCTGAGTCAACACCAGAATCATCTTCTTGTGGTTCAGTTTCTGAATCACCATCAGGTTGGTCGACCACTGTTTCTTCATGGAAAGTACTGATTTTCTCAGGCTCTGAGTCATTCTCCTGGATTGCTTGTTCTGTCTCAAGGTTTCCGACTTCCCCTAAACTCTCGACAGCTTGAATGCCATTCATCAACTCTGCCAAAGAAAATAAAGTTTGGTTTATAATATGTAAACAAGAAAAATGGTTAGAGCCCTTTATTTTGTTGCATACCTTTATTCTCATTGTTTGTCTCGGTGTTGGCATGTTCCAAGACAAGAATCTCATCAAGATCAACGCAATTCTCAAGATCTATAATCTTCTGATCGTTTTCCTTCTTCTCTGAACCTTCCTCACCAATAGTTTCATTAGCCTGCAATGTTTCTTCTTGTTTGTCTCCTTGGACTAAACTATTCTCTGATTCTGTGAAAGAAAATCACATGGCTTAGAAATGCAACACAAGAGAATAGCAGACAGCATTGTTGCCATGTTCAAAGACGGGAATCTCACCAAGATCAACAGAATTCTCAAGATCAATAATCTCCTGATCATTGTCATTCTTCTTCAAACCTTCCTCACAAATAGCTTCATTAGCCTGCAATGTTTCTTCTTGTTTGTCTCCTTGGACTAAACCATTCTCTGGTTCTGCGAGTGAAGGCCACTTAATTTAGAAATGCAAAACAAGAAATCAGCAGACAACAATGTTGGTATAAGAATGTTTGCATTACCTTTCTCAGCACTCATAACTTCCAAGGTCTCAGTGTTTTCAACAGATATCTCAAGACCTCCAGTTACATAATCGCTGTCATTCTCCAACATCTCCCATTCTTTCTCCATGGAAGCACTTAAATCTCTACCTGGGGCAACTTCAGCTCCCTCACTCCTCTCCTCTGAACCTGCACAATACCACAAAACGCATTATAGACCAACCAATCTACCTGATGCACAAGAATCATAAGAGATACAAGGCCTTGTATCTAACCATCTAGCTTCTTCTCCTGGACAGATACTTTTTGCTCTGTTTCTTTAGTCACCAAACTCAGATCAGCCATACATTTCTCCAACAGCCTTGTTGATCTCCTCGTGCTATACACAGACTGCACCAATTCACTCTTCTTACTCTCCTGAACTTTACTACTACCAGAAGCTGCTACTACCCCCTTTCTTGTACTTCGTGCCGCAGGAGTCTTAGCCACATTGACACTGTTGATCTTCTGTTCCTGAACAGCATTTTCTTGATCCATTTCTCCATCAAGAGACTTGCTCACCAAACGAGACTGAGTCTCAGCTTTCATCGCCGTCTTCCTTCGAGTTGTTCTAGCTGCAGTACTCGGCGGAAGCTTAGCTACACTGGTTGGAGACTGAAGAACATTGGAGTCGGCCTGGCTCATGTATTCATCAAGACCTTCAACCTATCAAATCCCCAAACAAATCACATAAACAAAGTCATTAGTGAGATCAAATCACATAATCTCTGTGCGTTAAACAAAACCACAAGCAATGAAACTAGTCTTATTAGATTCCGATCATTTACAATCTCAAAATCAAATAAAAATCGAGATCCAGAATCATCGAGAGAAAAATCTAAAGAGTAGTAGTTCATCGCTCCTATTCGATTTCGACTAACTAAACGATCCAATCACGATCTAAATCAGCTAAGAGTAACTCTCTCGATTCATATAAACTGAATCAGCTACAGTCTCGACGAAATCGAGCTGTTAGAGGAAGAAAACTTACGATCTCAAGAGATTTGAGAGCATCGGCCATGGCGAGATTGGTCATGTTGGCAGGGATTTTGTTCCTCTTGCAGAGAAACTGAAGGTCTCTTCTCAGAAGGCTGTGGAAATCCATTTTCGCGGAAAATAAGCTTGAGTTTGAGAGGTAGTGAGAGAGAAGAAAACAAGATGTTTTTTTTTTTAATTTGCCTATGGAATTGGATGGGTGAGGGATTTATTTATACCATTTTTAACGAAGAGATGCCAGTGAATGTAACCTTAAGATTGGAAGTGAACGTTGAGAGCGGATGTTTTGAATTTTGAATTTCCTGGAAATTAATATTTCTTTATTTAGTTATCTTTGTTTTACACTTGAATTGTATCTGCCAGAAAAAGCAAGAAATATTCCTGTTAAGGACAAAACTGAAAGTGTAGTCAATGGGCCATGAAAAGGCCCATATGTGATAGTAAAAGTTACAAAAAGCTCCGTTACCGGGAATCGAACCCGGGTCTCCTGGGTGAAAGCCAGATATCCTAACCGCTGGACGATAACGGATGTTACGCTTAGGAAAATCAATGAAAGAATTTAAAGGATCCAACCGATTTTGAAAAAACTTTTGAGAAAGATGAGAAGAGTGTGGTCAGAGTGGACCGTGCATAGCACACGAAAATGGTGCCATCACCACAAGAAGGTTATCCTTTGTAAGCTTTGACACCTCATAAAATAAAAAAAGCTTCTTTGTTTCGCTTCTTATTAAAAACGCATGCAACAACATCGAAGTTGATATATCTTCCCCAAATCAAGAATCAAAACAAGCTTCTTATTCGTTTGAGATGGCATCCTCTGGTGCGGTTTCTGGAGCTACTGTCTCTTCCTTCTTCACCAAAACCTCTTCAACTTCAAACCCATCTCTCAAACTCCACTCCTCGTCTCCTCTCTTTCCCCAGGTTTCATCTCTTTCCTTAACCTCTTGAAATGTGATTTTGGACTTAGCTTTATCCGCAAGTATAAATCTTTTTTTGTGTATAGAAAACTGGGTTTCAGGGAGTTTCGTTGGAAGATTCGAAGAAGAGTGTATCAGAGATCTTCGCAGTATCCGACAGAAAGATAGGTGTGTTAAACGTGTCGAGAAGATTCGAAGTCAAAGCGAGGACAGCAGCTTCGAAGACTATAGAGGTTGAAGTGGACAAGCCTTTGGGTTTGACTCTTGGACAGAAGCAAGGTGGTGGAGTTGTCATCACTGTGAGTTTTCTTCTTCTACTACCTCTACAGTGGAGTGGCATTATGTTTTTTTGATACAGTTGAGAGGGTTTATATTTTTTAATTTTTTCAGGGTGTGGAAGGAGGTGGGAACGCAGCAAAAGCTGGGCTTAAATCTGGAGATCAAGTTCTGTACACAAGCAGTTTCTTTGGAGATGAGCTTTGGCCTGCTGATAAGTTGGGGTTTACTAAAACCGCTATTCAGGCTAAACCTGATTCTGTCTACTTTGTTGTCAGCAGGTGAGTGTGTGTGTGTGTGTCTTTGCCTCTCCTAGTTTGATTTAGTTGGTAATCTTTCTAGAAATGTTTCCTCTTTTGTTCTTAGGATTGATACTATCAAATATAATAGCAGATGGGTTTTTGTGTCTAGCTTTCATTGGCTAATTCTGTCGTTGATATGCTTTCATATAGTAGTACTTGAGGTGTTCTCTGTGCGGTACTTGATTGGTTTAACGATGCAATTTTGTGATCTTTGATCAAACACAGAGGTGGTGCAGACGTTGATGTGAAGAAACTAAATAAGCGTCCGGCTCCTCCTCGGTTTGGGAGAAAGTTAACGGAGACTCAGAAGGCTAGTATAGTACTCTGTGTTCTAAGATTAACACTTTTCAATTGCTTAGATTAGTCTTAACCTTTTTCTATCTCCCTTTTGCAGGCAAGGGCTACTCACATTTGTCTTGATTGTGGATTCATATACACTTTATCAAAACCTTTTGATGAACAGGTGAGTCTGAATCCTTCACTTTTGGAAAAAAAATCGGTTAAGTTTGGTTAAGAAGAAAAGTAAATGGCATAAACTTGTGTATTTGTGTACCATCAAGCTGTAGATTTCTGATCTGATAGCTGAGTGTCTGATTGTGTTTTCTGGTGGTTTTTGCAGCCGGATACATACGTGTGTCCTCAATGTATAGCACCAAAGAAAAGGTTTGCGAGGTATGACGTGAACACAGGGAAGGCCATAGGAGGAGGATTGCCTCCGATCGGTGTTATCGTTGGCTTATTGGCTGGTCTTGGAGCTGTTGGAGCTCTGCTTGTGTATGGTCTTCAGTAACATTTTATAAAACTTGTATAATTGTCGGTCAAACAAGTCCTTAATTAAGTTTTGTGATTGTAAACCAAAGTGGTCACTTGATGACATCAACTTGAGAATTTAATTCAGCTCTTTTGTGTTGGTTCATGGCTTGGGAATAGCTGCACTAATCATTATCCGCGAATTTTAAAAGAAAGATTAACTACTCCTTCCGTTTATAAAATTTAAATTTTGTCGTTTTATATTTTTAATTTATATTTAGTTAAATTTTTTCAAATTTATCCTTATTCTTTTACTTTATTAGTTAAAATAATTAAAAAAATTAATGTATTAAATATAGATAAAACAAGAAATTTAATAGCTTTTAATATGTGTGCAAAAATTTAAAATGACATATAAAATTAAATGGAGGGGTACATTGTATGGTTTTCAATAACGAATTTTATTAAATTATTCAAAAATGTTTATGGCCCTATAAAGCTCAGGTACTAAAGCTATAAAACAAGAGTTTTTAACTCTTTTTGTCAGTTGATAAAAAAAAAAAAAAAAAAAAATTTCTCCAAAGTTTGTTTATTAAGCAGCAATAACCGAACCGAAATATATCTTCAACCATAATAATTTCCTAAACCGTCTGGTTTACTCATAATTAAACAAGAAAACCAATAAATCCACGTTCCGTTTAATACGGGCCGAAAGTAAGCCCATTAAAACCCCGACGTGTTGAGACGCGTAAACCACACAACCGCCACGTGCTTCACCCTCCGTACACCTTCCTCCTCCTTTTAGTACCAAATCAACAAAGCACAAAGACCTAAAACTTGCTCACAAAGAAAAAGAAATTCTACGCCGAGTCAGATCTACTAATTCATCATCTTCAACCTCTCCGATGGCTCTCGAATGGGTTGTATTAGGCTACGCAGCCGCCGCCGAAGCGATCATGGTCATCCTCCTAACCATGCCTGGACTCGACGCGCTCCGCAAAGGCCTGATCGCCGTCACGCGTAACCTCCTGAAACCGTTTCTCTCGATCATCCCTTTCTGTCTCTTCCTCCTGATGGATATCTACTGGAAGTACGAGACTCGACCTTCCTGCGACGGCGATTCGTGCACTCCGTCTGAGCATCTCCGTCACCAGAAGTCGATCATGAAGTCGCAGCGTAACGCGCTCTTGATCGCGGCGGCGCTTGTGTTTTACTGGATTTTGTATTCTGTTACGAATCTTGTTGTTAGGATTGAGATGCTTAATCAGAGGGTTGAGAGGCTTAGGAAGAGGGAGTAAATGCGAAAAAAACGTCGTCGTTTTGGGGGGGTTTTAATGGTCTCTGCTTTGTTGTGTTTTTTTTTATGTGTTTTCGTTTTTTTTATGCTTTTATCTTGTGGAGATTGTAAGGATCTATGCTACTTTTATATGTTCTTATACCTTTAGTTTAATCCTCTGTGTTTTGGTCTCTTATATTTGTTACAGTTTTCTCACTTGATTATACTTTTTTTCATCAAACTTCACACTGGTTATCTTGGGTAGTATAATGAATCTGTTTGCAACCATGATGAACACTGTCACATGTATGTCATTGACAGTCTAAATCACTTGATACTTTCTCTCAAAATATTTACACTTGGGACCTTTGTTTGATTGTGCTAGATTATCTTCTTAGTTGATATGACGCATGTATCAGACTAAGTTATTTTGGTTGCATCATGTTGCATCTGATTTGTGAAGGAGTCCCATGAACTTTAAGATTACCCAATTACTAGATTTTGACCCGCCCTTCAAAGGGCGGGTATATTTTTGTTTTAGTTTTTTTGAGAAATTTAGTGTTTTAATTTTTGTTTTTTAATATTTAATCATTTATGAATAGTATTAAAAAGTTAGTGTTATTGATAGAAAAAATAATTGAATAATAAATATTTGGACCAAATATTTATCAATTAGCATGATCATATTTTTATAGAAATAGTTAATATAGATACTAATTAAATTCTAAAGATATTGTTTATTAGCATAATTTATGACAGTTATAAGTTTCTTTCTAATAAAAGGTTAAAATCGAAATCAAAAGAGTTTCTTCTCATTTAATAACATTGTATTGGTTTTAACACCAAAAAATATAATTATTGATCACATGTTCAAATATATTATGTAACTGTCTATCTTAATTTGTATACAAATGAGAATAGCTGTAAGATAAAATGATGAGAGTGATGGGTTCCGAAAATCTAGGAATAAGGAGAGGTTTATAACATATATCAATGCTCGTAATAGGTAAGATATGTAAAAATAGTTATTTTATTTAATGGTAGTCTAATGGCACAAAAATAATATTCCAGGATATACTAAGAATAAATAATAAGAGTGATCATAAATTAATAGTATTAATACCCGTTTTTTGAAAGGATGAATAAAGATATAGTTTTTAGTTATTTTAGGATAAATTTGAATAATATTAGTATATTAATTATGATATATAAAAAAGATATGGATATATTTTTGTATTCCTTACAATCATAAGTATGTTTGTGTTAATTGGACTATTTTATCATATAAAGAAAATTTAAGAAACTTAAGATTATAATTTTTGGTTAAGTGAAAACATCAATCGAAAGTTCATTCAAGTCTGTTTTCACGTTTAAAGCTGATAAAATATCATTTATTACAGTTATTTTCAAAAATAAGTTTACAAATGGAAATTATAGTGGAGTACACGTGTGTTGTTGCAGTTATTTTCAAAAGAATCTGAAGAGTTTCACTTCACAAAACTTACATCTCAAATGCAGTTTGGCCCTAGAAAGTTTTCGCCGCCGACGTTGATCGCGTCTTCACCGTGAGGCCTCTGTCACTTGCACCAAATTGCAGCATTTTAGGATGATAACCAGAAAAAAAATTGGAAGAATTTGTGATCTCCACCTCAGGATTGTCTTAAAAGAGAGTATTCTTGTCATCATCTAAATTATCGTATTCTGCTCTGAACCAACCTAACCATTTTAACTATTCACCCAATGAAAAGTTTCACCGCACACTCGCTTATAGTGAGAGTGAAAAGTTACTTTCATCTGTGAGAGAGATTATAGTGAAGATAAATTGATGAATAGAACTTTATTACGAAAGTAGAAACATAACCGTTTTTATTAGATAGAAGACGTGGTTAGTTTTAAAATAAAACTGAATGCAATTATATAAAAAGAATAATAAGAGGATCTCAAATAAAAAGAATATATACTTGGACACAACATAAATCAATTGGTCATGTTCCTAATTTAATAGTATTGATTCTAAATCATTGTGACAAAACTGGGGAACTCTAGTTTTCAAAGTTAGATTAGTCCATAGCTTCCTATAATAGATGTAGTGTAGCTCTAATTAAACTAGTTTCCCAATCGATGAAATTAGTTTGATCTAATTCAATACACATAGAAAACTTTTGGTACATAGTGAAAGAATTTTTGATCTTTTCCTTGTCCATAATCTCAAGATTTGTATTGATTATAGTTTGGTACTTTTTATATAACTCGGAGCTGTCCTAAAAGTCTAGAACAAATCCACTGCTTTTTTTTTGTTCTTCCAAGTAATGGAGTTCATAGTGAAAAATGCAATATTACTCTTCTAATGCTTTTTCTGACAGCTAATAAGTGAATCAAAGTACTTCCCATGAACATTCTTGCAAGAAGCTAACACCTTGTGACCTGACCTCGCTGAAACAATATTCACATGGTTCATCACGATATCTACACATCCCAAGTCCGCATCGCAGTTCATCGTTATGGCTTCATCGCTCGCTGATGAACCGTGTATTCTAGTGTAACTCACATCGCTCACTTTCACGCCTCTCCCATTACCAGAACCAGACAGAGTATGGTGAAGGCGATTTACATGACAGCTTTGAGAGTTACTATATTCAAAGCTAGCTTCTGCGTTATTGGCCCGATCGTGGTAGTTTTGTTCGATGATGATAGGGTTCTCTGAAGCCACCATTTTGATATCCTCAAAGGAGATTTTCCTAGCGAATCCTGATCCGTTCTACAAATCATTCATACAAGAAAAAAAAATGAAGAGAGTTAGTTTAATTAACATGCTGAATAAGATTATTAATGAAATAGACAAACCTGGAATGTCTTGATTCGGACACCGTTCATTGTGTTTGTCAAAGTACAGTTCTTTACTCTCACTTCTTCAACCGCTGAAAAATATCCATTTTCTCCAAGGCTCCCTACGCTATAATTATACCAAATCCATATTTCTACATGATTTATAACATATCCAATATAACTTAATTATATTTTATGATGATTGTTCTAGCTTGGAATATAATCACCTAATGCCATGACCAGGACCGCAAAAAATGCCGGTTATGTTAATATAAGAGGACCCTCTGTTAATGGCAATGCAGTCATCACCAGTGGCAATCACAGAGTCACGTATGTCGACCCCTCTACAGTTCGATATGTCGATACCATCCGTGTTGGGACTATCACCAGGTGCAAACATATTTAGACCAGAGAGGTTGATGTTCTCTGAGCAGCCTAGACTTATGTGGTTCCGAGGACTGTTCAAGTGTCGGAGATTATAGATGTGAAGACCATTACAGTTGTTGAAATGCATTGCCTAAGAACAAAGAAAAACCACATCAATAACTTGTATAAAATGGTTTGGTTTACACTTCACAATTTATGAGTGTAACTGTGTAAGGATCTTCAATACTTACAGTGGGACGATGATGAACTTTTCTCCACCACACAGAACCACGACCGTTGACGGTGCCGCCTCCGGTGATGACTAGACCGTTGATACTGTCAAAACTTATCCATGCAGGGTAAGTTCCCGCATGCCAAGGGTGATTAGGTGCAACAAGATTGCCTCTTATCTAATGTTAAATAAATCACCAAATAAAAAATTGGTTTGTGTTATGGTCTGATAAAAGCTATAAATCAATAATGACTATTAAAAACAGTTTTTAAGTTGGGTTTCTAACTTAAGAAGTTAAAACTAAGAAAGAGTAAGAGTTTTGATGTATATACCAAGAAGAAGATGGAAGAAGACTTGCATGGACCTTCAAATGTAAGAGGCTTAAGCATGAACGTCTTTCCTCGAGGAACTAGAAGCTGTCTATTGCCTCTACTTCCTCCGTTACATACAGCTTTCCATGCATTAAGAAATGCCTGAGATATATTTATACATATCATACAAATACATAAAAGAGAATTAAATTATCATCATTTACATACATCAATGCAAAGATTATAGTTTATGATTAACAAAATTAGAAAAGATGTTATTTATAAACCTTAGTATCATCGGTCTTGCCATCGCCGACAGCTCCAAAACTAGTGACACTTGTGACTCCACGGCGTTTCAATCCATTGTTACCCTTATGAGCTTTTCCTTGTAAGCATAAACCTAATTTGCTTATTTGAAGCAAGCATATGCATAACAAAACGAAGGAAAACAAAGACTTGTTCATCTTTGCACGACCTGAATATTTTATGATAATGATGATGATATATATATTTCAAGGAGAATAGCGTGCAAATATATTTGTATAAAGAAAGGTGGTTAATTGATAGATACTGCGTCTGATTATTGTGTGTTTTCATTTTTTGGCAAGAGATTATATAGCTTGTCGTCATCAGTTTTCTGTGTTGTAAAAACTGAAACTGATCGTTCGGAATATAATAAAGAAGATAATGTCGAAAATCTTTTATTTAACTATATGGAATAGTTTTAAGAGCTTGTGTAGCAAAACCTGAAAGAGATCAACTTTATATTTACTGAACGTGATGTTTTACTGTTTTACTTATATGATTGGATTATTATACGTTTCGATATAACTACATGACTGATTATGGAAAGGAGTAATTTATGGATCATCTATAAATAGAAATAGATTCATTACCGAAGAGAATTTAATAGTTTTCTTTATTCTCTCTAAGCCCAATAATAAATTCTGCAAAGAATGATGAAATAATAGGCCCATCTAAGTATACATGTTTAAGTTAGGCCCATATAAATCTCACGTAAACCTTGTTGTGATACTGTCGAATACAAGACGTTGGTGCTGAGAAACGAAAGGAGGTGAAGAAGAGTGGAAGAGAAAATACCGGAAGTAGCCCTTACGCGTGGAAAAGGAGAGGCAAAAGCAAAATAGAGTGCGGTTGTGTCTTAATGGGTTTGTCACCAACTTTATTCTTTCTTACAAAAACGAACAAGAAGAACCCAAAAAATTAAAATAAAAGGATAACAATACTTGCGAGTGAGAGAGAGAGAGAGATGGAGAAAAGAAAGGTAGTGATGTGTGGTGTGTTATCTCTTCTCGGTTTATTATCAGCTATTACTGCCTTCGCTGCTGAAGCTACCAAAATCAAGGTCTTCTTCTTCTTTTTTACTTGTAGGGCTTCTGTTTAATTGTTCTGCTTTGTTGTCAAATTTGTTTTTTTTCCTCATGATTTTGGGTATACATTAATCAATAGATAGTTGCTGAAAAATGGTTGTGTTCAAAAAGAAAAACAAAAAAAGTTGCTGAAAATTGGTTTTTTATTAAAAAAAAAGACAATATTTTCCAATTGCTACGGACTAACTTTTTTGGAAAGTGACTTTAGTTGTGCTGTTTGTTTAGAATGCGTCCCTTGAACTGTTGTCTGAAGATGAAAATTATAGTCTTTGAGATGTTTTTTTAGTTAAACTCTCTTAGTTTGGGATTTTTTTCCCAAAGAACATTGTAGACTTTTGGTAAAGAAGCAGAAAAGACTTGATAAGCTCTGTGTTTTAAGATTTTCTATTTGTGTCCTCGTGGTATATCTAGTAATCGCATAAGTATTAATATTTTTAATGTCCTGTTATTGTATCTTAGTAATAGCATAAGCATCTTTCTCTCTAGTATACAGTACTCCAACATAAATCACATTGCTCTGCTTTCTCAATGATACAAAACAAGTTGTAGATGTTAAACTTCTTGCAATTTTCTTGTGTATATATATAGCTCATTTTTGTTCTCTGCTAATGCAAGCTTTCAAACTTGTGTCTAAAAGTTTCTCTCTTCTTATTCTTTTCCCTCTTAAATAAACACAGAAATCTCAGGTCAATATCACCACCTCTGATTCACTCACAACATGCTCTTATCACAGAAGCCCTGCTTACAGTCTCGGCTTCGCTTCAGCTGTCTTTCTAATGATCGCTCAGATCATCGTGAGCATTGGAAGCGGTTGTTTCTGTTGTAGAAAAGGTCCTGCTCCTTCAAGATCCAACTGGATCATCTCCTTAATCTGCTTCATTGTCTCCTGGTAATTCTCACTCCTTATCTTCTTCTTCTTTTTTTTTTTTGCAGTCACTCACCTTCCTATCTTGTAATGTGCGCTTACATTGTGTTACGTTTAGGTTCACTTTTGTTATAGCTTTCCTCGTGTTGCTATCTGGAGCTGTACTAAACGATGAACACGCCGAGGAGGCAACGTATACGGACACCTACTTCTGCTACATTGTCAGTACAGGCGTTTTCTCCACCGGTTCTGTGTTGTCGCTTGTTACTGTTGCGCTTGGGATTGTATACTACTTATGTTTGAATTCGAGTAACCAAAACGTTGGTGACACAAGGACAGTGGCTAACCAAGGAGGAGGAATAGCAATGGGACAGCCTCAGATTCCAGAGAGAGTAGAAGATCCTGTCTTTGTTCATGAAGATACTTACATGAGAAGACAGTTCACTTAAAAAAAATACATAGCAAGGCTTGCTTGGAATACACGTTAGGTTTAGGAAGATATATTTAGATAAAAAGAATGCTTTCTCTTATTTTTACCCCATTTTTGTATCGTTGTAATCTTTTTGTAAGTGAAGTTATAACTACTAGATTCGTTTTCCGCGCTTCGCGCGGATTATATATTTTTAAATTCATTTCTACTTTTTTATAATTATGATAACTATTTTTAATTTTACTAAATTTTAAAAACCATAAATTTCCATAATTTTTGAATAATTAGACAATGAAAATTTTTGGTCAAAACACAAATTTTAAAAATAGGATTATATTTTATGAAAAATATCACGACTATAAAAAAACATGAGAAAAGTAGACTGAAGTTGTTTTTCTATTTATCTTGAAACCCACTTCTTGCCTTTAATTTTTCTTTTAAATGCCGAACTATATATAAGTATATTTGTAATTTTCTTATGAAAATTTATATGATGATAATGTGTATCTATTTTTATAGATTGACTAATATAAAATTTAGAGTTTTCATGTATATTTATGGTATAATGTTTGGATTTAAGATTTAGAGTTTAGGATTTAAGGTTAAAATTTGCATTTAGAGTTTAACTGGCGTATTAAAATTGCCGTTATCTTTTTCTTTTTAAATACTTAATTATTTTTGTTTATTAATCTATGTGGCATAATGAATGAATATTATAGCTGAGGTGAATTTTAAAGTTACCTAAGTTTTGTTCTATTAAAAAGTATACAAAATGCAAAAATCCTAAAAGTTCTTCAGCATCTATAATGACAAATACGACATAGTCACATGGCTAAAATTAACTTTATATACATAGGTACCAGATATATTTGCACATATATGTATAGCCATCGGCAAAATCTTATGAACCTCCATATATAAATAAGTAGTTCTTCTTGAATATATTGAGTAAATAAAAGCTAGATATTAAAATTTATGTTACCTAAGATAATAAGTCATTTTTAATACACAAAAGCCCTAATATCTAACTCAATGTAAGCTAGCATTGAAAAATAAACTATAATCTTCTGAAGGAGCTCGTCGTGAGTATAATTTAGAACAGTGATGATCTGCCTGAGTTGAGAGTGAGTGTGAGTGGAACCCTTTCCAGCATTCCTTAGAAGGCATGAGACTGCATTGTTTGCCATGACAGTAGATGAGCCTTTTTCCCCGGCCGAATCATGAAGCAGCCAAGCGAGAGTGGTGTTGCAACAGGTGAAACGCCAGCCAATTGGTGTGAGATACGACGAACTGGTTGCAGAAAGTTAGTGACCATTTACCTAATACAGGTAGATCCTTTTTGAGTCTCTCATTTGTTTCCTAGCTAGCCTCGCAGCTTTTCCGAGGTGAACTGTGTCCAAACACGTTATATACAAAATGTACTTCAACCCATAGATTGGGAACATGATTCAGAACCTGCAGCTTGTCCAATTTTTAATGTTGTTGCAGGGGTCGTAATATAGTTATTTTTTTACTATGGCATTTTGACCTCTGAAACATTAAAACATGGAGAACACATAGAATATTAGCTAAACGTGTAGGCATCTACTAAATATTTGTTTCAGTACCTTTCTATATCTTGGCAAACTGTTAAGGTCCTGCTGATACCTTCATGAATTTATGTTCTTGGCATTAGACATCGGGATGACTACATTGAAAAATTCAACGGTCATTACCGTTGATAGTAGTTACTTCATGTTTTGATGCATGACGAAAGATCTGTTGATATGCAAATATTGTGTTTGAATTTGTTTCTTGTTGCCTTCTGAGCTCTTACTACATTACCAAGACTCCTTTGGACTCGTTGTCTTTGGCTTGTGAGGTGTGGAAGAGAACAATAATTCCCTCAGCTGTCCCTCAGCATTTTGTACTGATGTTGCCTGCAAATACAGAGTTCACCAGAAACATTAATCTTAGTGAAATTTTTATGTCCGCTCATGGGCCTGATCTTGTGATACATCGATCATTAAATAGAGTTTACGGACTTACTCTTGTCAAGAATGCAAACCTTAATTGTCTCAATTTGCATCCCCGAGCAAAGTCTGAGGTCGAAACCAAGTGAATCTATACAAATGAGATTCACTTCCTACATTGCCAACATAATAATAAATTTATGTATGACCATTCCTAAAGTCATGGTCTCAGACTCTCAATATCTAGTTTAAGTCTTCTTCTAGAGATAGATGACACAGAAGATGAAATAAAATTTACAAACCTCATCATCATCTTTGTCTTCTTCTCTTTCATCTTCATCATCATCCCTCTTGTTTTCATCCACTACTTAGTTATACCATCTTCTGTTTCTTCAATCTCAAAACCAATACCAGAAGGAGTACTCAGCTCCATGTCCTTGATGATCTCCATCGTATTAAAACCTACTCAGCTGCATTGCATACGTTACTTAATGACAGCTCTATCTCCATACCTGAGATGACAGAACTGGATCTAGAAATGACGGAAAAAAATAGTCAAATTTGAAACCTTGGACTGTACAAACTGTAAGCAAGACAATTAACCTGGAATAGCTTATCCTTGGTGTAGAAGTCAGTGTTGGCGAGGTGAATTTGTTTTTTGAGGGATATTTGGTGGGAAAGGGCGAGCAGAAGTAACGGAGTTTAGTACCATGCGATCGAGCCCGGGGACATATAGCTGGTTAGAAACGGCGCGTGAGGGGAAGCTGAAAGAGAATCCATCGCCGAGAAGAGAAGATTTGCACCTTTAAGACAGGAATATGAGAGTTGATTTGAGAGTTCACGTCATCTTGTTACAAAATGCTTTTGAACGGAAGATCCTCCACTGGGTCATCTTTAGATCGCTTGGGCTTCTTGTTATCTGCCATTCATAAGAGAATCATAGAGGAAAGAAGTATGTGAGCCACCTTCAATCCATAAAATTTCAAAGAGGAAACATAAGAAAAAGGAGACGGTCGATTATTCTAGTCAGCGAGAAGTAGAGGTTTGGAGTTAGGAAGATGATGGACTTCAGAGGTCAGATACGATGAAATCTGAATAACTGCAAAAGGGATGGCGTTAAAAGAAGATGAAGGAGGAAGCAATCGTATATGAATAAAGAAAAATTGAAAGTAATGTGTAAATGACATGGCTGTTTCTTATATTTTGATTGGTTGATTTTATCATCCGACGTGGACACCCCCATATGCTTTGATATGCGACTTTTAATAATAGTAGATGAGACTTGGTAGTTGGTAACATAACCACCGGTCCAACCAAAAAAACTGTATTTGTTATTTTTATATTAAATTTTATAGAGAAATTTGAATGGGATTCACTATCCACGGTTAGTGGAACACCCACCACATGCTCTACCAACCAACCAGTCACAACCAGGGCCGGCCTTGAGATTTTGGGGGCCTGTGGCGATTTCTAAGCGAAAAAATTTTTGGGGGCCTAAAATTTTTTTTTGAGGGCCTATGCTCATGTAATTTTCTACAAAATTTTTGGGGGCCTGAAACAAATGTTTCATTAGGCATTGCCCAGGGCCGGCCCTGGTCACAACAACAACCAGCTCTTATAAATGGCAACACATCTACTCTCACTTCTCACATATGTTATTAACATTTATTAAAATATAGTTACAAAGTTAACTCTACAAAAAATTTATAATGGTTGTGAAACTATACGGACAGGTAACTGCAGTTTGTCCACAAAGAGTCTTGCTTTGTTTTCTCGAGAAAGAAATTGAGTTTGAGATTGTTCATGTCGACCTTGATACATTAGAGCAGAAGAAACCAGAACATCTTCTTCGTCAGGTATAATGTTTCATTACTCTTAACTATATAAACAAATGGTCTGCTTATTATAATCTTTAGTATAATTTTTGTTTTTTTATGTAGCCATTTGGTCAAGTCCCAGCCATAGAAGATGGAGATTTCAAGCTTTTTGGTAACGATTCTAATTTTATAACGTTTTTTTGTTGAGAATTGTTTTCTAATCATTTATCGTGTGTTTGAAGAATCCAGAGCCATTGCGAGATACTACGCGACCAAATACTTGGACCAAGGCACGAACCTTTTGGGCAAGTCACTAGAGCATCGAGCCATCGTGGACCAGTGGGCCGACGTGGAGGCCCATTACTTTAACGTTCTGGCCTTCCCCATTGTGCTTAACCTACTCATTAAGCCCAGGTTAGGCGAAGCATGTGACGTCGTTTTGGTCGAGGAGCTGAAGGTGAAGCTCGAGGTGGTCTTGGACATATACGAGAACCGGCTTGGTTCGAACCGGTTTTTGGCTGGTGATGAATTCACTATGGCTGATTTGACGCACATGCCGGCCATGGGGTACTTGATGCGTACCGATGTAAACCGGATGGTTAAGGCTCGAGTGAATATGAACCGGTGGTGGGAAGAGATTACCGCTAGACCGGCTTGGAAAAAGCTTATGAAGATGGCTGGTTTTTGAATTAGCCTTGAGTCCAAACCAAATAAGCGTTTCATATTTTCTGTTTTAATCTATTTGTCAGAGTTTTTTACATTTCAGTAATAAAATCAATTTACTTTTAAAGTTTAAGCCACATATCATATAAACTCTGTTACTGTTTTTCGAATTCAATAACTTCTTTTTATATATCACAAAACTACATAACCAACCAACCAAAATATCCCTACTTCTCCATTAGAGAAATAAAATAAAAGAAATTTACCTTTTTTTTTTACATGGAGGAAAATAATTAAACATCAGAAGAATTTATTTCCCCCCATTATATGTAAATAAATATTAGTTATCATAAACTTGATCCTAAGTTTCTTCTTTTTGCACAAAGGGCCTCTCAGGTTTGTTCATCTTACTTCTCTCACTCATCTTGAAGTCTTTAGTATTGATTTAGCATAAGCTAAAGGCAGAGCTGCAATTTTCTTGGCTTTACCCACATAAGCTCTCTTTGTAAAGTTATTGTAATCATTTGCTTCAATCTCGTCCAATATCCTCCTGTACAATAAGAGCGATGCCCATACCTAAAAAAAAAATCAAACAGACAAGTCTTTCAGGGTTAAATTGATCGAAAACAAAGTTCTGGGGTAAAAATGAAACAAACAATAAACAGTAAACCGGGGACTTGGAAGTGTTTAGAGACACTTACTGGCCATCTACTAGCTGCGTCAAGCTCGGTAACACCTTTCTCAGCTTCATCAAAGAACATTCTTGCTCGCTTAAGCTGCATTTTCATGAAGTTTCTCCATTTATCAGTGACTTTTCCAGCGAATATGTCTTCATCTGAGAGACCAGCTTGAGCTAGTTCATCTTGTGGCAAATAAACCCTTCCTCTTCTCGCACTAAGAAACAGAGATCAAAAACCAGTTCAAGAATGAGACACGAATAAACAAACACGTTCTTGAAAATTGTGAAAAAAGGAAGACAAGACTCACTCTTCACCAACGTCTCTGAGTATGTTGGTAAGCTGATTAGCTATACCGAGAGCCAAGGCAGCGTTGTAAACACTCTCCGTCGTTGCTTTGGACTTAGGATCGATTCCCATAACAGGAACACTCATCAAACCAACGGTTCCAGCTACATAGTAGCAGTAAAGGTAGAGATCATCAAAGCTTTTGTATCTTGATTTCCTCAAATCCATTCTCATTCCTTCTATCATGTCTCTAAATGGCTGCAAAAAAACAAAGAAACATTTAGAACAAAACCTTTATATATCAAAAATGTATTTGAATGCAGACCTGAATATCGACGGGGTATGTAGCAACAGTATCAGCTAGAGCAGCGTCAAGCATATCGAAAGGACGGCCACGGAAAAGATCTTCTAACCTTGCTTCCCATCTATCTAAGGCCATTGGTGTTATATGTGATGCATTTGGTCCATCTACGAGTTCATCAGTTCTTCTACACCAAACTGCACACAAAAAAAAAGAGATTATTACAGTGAACAAAACGAAACAACCAAACATAATATCACTCCGTTTCATTTTACTTGTAGTTCTAGATTTATACACATATATTAATAAAATATTTAATTTTGTATATTGTTAATAAATTTTATATGAAAAAACAACAATTATTTTTGAACAAAAATTTTACACTACAACAATATTAAAATGAAACCAAGGGAGTAGAAACTAATGGTCATGAGCTAATTGTTCATGATGAGTAATCTCTAGCTGGGCCTTAAAAGCCCAATAAAGAACTATATTAGTAACTAAGCTAAACTATTATTTGGGTCTTAATCTTTGAAAGTCTTAAACACAGGATAAACACACAAAGCAACTAGAGAAGTCCTATGAGTGCAAGTTTCAAGAACTCAAATTATGTCTTGGGATTAGATGCAAACTCCATTTTCAATGTAACTTTTGAGCATTCATTTCTATCTAGAATTCAAATGAATGATGACAATGCAAGATATTCTAAAACAGTAGTAGAAGCAAACTCACCATAGATAGCCCAAATGGCCTTTCGCCTCTCGGGTGTCATAAGCAAAGTTCCTGCATCAAAACCCAATAAGAACACTCAAGAAAACAAAACGAACCAAAAGCTAATGAAAAGAAGAAGAAAAAGAAAGAAGAGATGCTAACCGAGATAAAACGTTTTAGCATATTCAGCGCAAACTTCACCACATCGATCATAAGCATCACCCAACAAACTCAAACTCCCAGTCCCGGGAGGAACAATAACATCTGCCTCTGGTTTCTTCACATCATCATCAAGGTCTCTAAGCTGTTTGTTAACCAAAGCTGCTTGTCTCAACACAACATTGTAAACCTTCTCTTCAGATGAGAGTGTTATATCTCCTGCTGCAGGACTTGCTACTAAGCTTGAAGACACAACAACAACACTACTTAATCTTCTTCTTCTGGAACTCATTACACAAGAAGAAGAAGATGAACTCCTCCTACCATTGTTGTTGACTGTCTGAATCAGACAAGGAGAAAGCAATCTAGAGGACTCTAGAACCTTTACTAACCCATAACTGTTCATTGGGTCTGGATTCGGAGAAGAAGCCCATACAGAAGACATACTCATAAGTTCTTTGACAGAGAGAGATGGAAAAGATCTCTACTCTGTTTCTTCACTTGTGAAGAATCAAAAATCCAAACTTTGATGGATCAAACTGGTAAAAGATGAATGCTTTCCTGCAAAATGGATTAATTACAAAACCGAGGTGGTGTGAGAATTCGAGATCTCTAATTCTCTTGAAACTAAATAGACAAAGAGATAACTGGAACATAGTACGAGAAGAGTAAGCTTAAACCAAACACGAGTGATGGAAACAAGATTCTACCTTTGGGTCTCTCTCTAAGAGCAGACACACCTTTGATACAGAGAAGAAGAATAAAGAGGAGGAGAAAACCAGACGGTTGTTTATGTAGAAGTACGGAAGTGGAAGATGTATCTTCCTCTTATCTTACAAACAATCTCACCCACTCAAATCTCTTCTTATTGTCCCCCTTGTCTTTTTTCTTTTGTGGATTTAATGAGAAGCTTGAATAGACACAAAAGTCGTTATTTTCTGTGTTATGTTATATTTTTAATTTAATTTTGACTGGCTACGTTAAAGAGTCTTCGAGTCTCTCGGGTGACGAATACTCGTGTCATGTTGTATCTTTTTTTTTCTTTTTTTTTTGTCAATGTCATGTTGTATCAAACATTTAAAGTTTCATAGAAAGATCCCGATTTAAATCTTCCTTAAACATTTTTTTTTAATGGACAAAATCTTCCTTAACCTTTTTTTATCCATTTTCTCCATTATGGCCAGATTTGTTTCCATTAGTTGAGTTTTTATATTTTTTAGAAACTGTTATTATTCCATACTGTATCTGATTATTAATTCACCAATCCAGTGCCAGATTGTGTATAGCTATAATTATATATGAGGATCTTTGCAATTGATAATTCAGTTATTCATAAAAAAAATAATTATATGTATTTTAATTGTTTAAACCAACATTTGAACTGACGTGGTATTTGAACACTCAAAACTAAGACTGCTTAAAAACTTTATTTCAAACAAAATTTTGGAGTACCACTTAAGATGCATATTTTCTAATAAAAATGTTAGGGAGATTTTGTACAGAATAATTATGCAGCTAAAGTGACATATCTATAATATGGTCAAACTACCAAAAAGCGAGACATTTTGATTACGGAGATTGAGATCACCAATCGCTATTAGTTATAGAAATTATAATACGAATTTTAAACATCTAATTAAAAGAAAATATAATAAGACTAAATAAGTATTTGTTGGTAGAAAGGACCATCGAGTTTTAGTGGGGCCATGCCAGTTTAAGTAAAGGATTATGTCAAAGCAGAAAGAGAGATCGCCGAAACGCCACGTGGACACGATAGCCAATGAGAGCGATAAGTTTATCAAGAGCGTAAAGTGGACGACGTTGCTTTTCTACGTGTCATTATATCACTGGTACAGAGTGTAAAATGCTAGATTTCCTCATTAGGCAGCATTTGGGTCCCACCTTCACTCTCTCTCTCTCTAATTACACTCGTTGGCAACTTGCTTTCTTTCCTCTTGTCTTTTCTAATTTTAAACAGTTTATTTTTTACTTGAATGTCCATTTCTTATCTTTTAGCTTGGTCCGTATTTTCCTCCGTATCTTGTGTAAAATACGTAAATACATGTTCTTGTACGTTATATACGTTGCTGAGAAACGTTTTTGGTTAAGAGACTCCTTGGTTAAACGGTGGGACATTGCTGAATAACCCTATAAGCTAAAATATTGAAATGTAAATTGATATGGCAAAACTTTGATGGTTGACCAAAACGTCTCACGTAATTTTTATTGATTGTTTTGTAGTTATATAATTATGGCACAGGATTCTTGCAAATTTTGAGTTATTTTCACTCAAGGGCAGTTTTATGTTTTTTATTACATTATAGGGCAGTTAGTGCTCCTGAGGTAGTTTTTTAAAACTATAAGCTAACTATAGAGTAACTATATACATTCTCGTCTTGAAACTAAATGAGTTTTGCAATTTTTTTATTTTATTCTTTATTCTTTCTTTATAATATTTGAAACAATCTTTCTCTCTCTATTGCAATAATTTTAATGATTAAAAAGAACGAAGAAATGGAGAGCTCGTCACTTTAGCTTCAGCCCAGATCTGTGTAAAAGTTTCTCATTTTTTCATACTTCTCTGAATCTCATATTTGTCGTAATTTCTTTTGTCATCTTCTCCCACATATTGATTCATCTCGTCATCTATTCTTTTCGTTTTTACAACAATCCTAGTGTGGTTACTTCATCTCTCTCGCCATCACAACACTGTAAATCCTCGAGAACATCAATGGCTACTTTTGAGTTTTTTATACTTTTAGTCCTTAATATTTTGTATAATTTCGGTTTTAAACCAAATCATATTAGTTGTGCGTTTTGGTCCTTAACATTTTCTAATGTTTCTTTGATTTATTTTAAATCAACCAATTATGTATTACAACCCTCTGTTAATGAAATTAAGCAATATATACACATAATTAAATGCATTAGAAAATAAATTAAATGAACTAAAATCAAAGCTAAAGATCATTAGAATATGCATAACACACAAAATCATGTGTACATCTCTTGTCATGTACAAAATCAATTTTATCTTCGATTAAGCTCAAAATTGACTAGTTAGGTATTACAACTCTCTATTAATGAAATTAGACAATATATGCACATAATTAATTCTTAAATGCAGTGGAAAATAAATTAAATGAACTAAAAAGGGCTAAAAATCATTAGATATGAATAAAATACAAAATCATGTATACATCTATTGTCATGTACACCATTCAATTTGACTTGGTCTATTTATTATATATTTTGATATTATTTTAGTAAGTAACCACCAGTCCACCTATATGTGTACAATTTCTTTATATATATTGGTCTTTTGTCGATGTACATGTGTACACATTCCAAAGTGTACACAAAATAACAATATATGCACATAACTAATTCTTAAATACAGTGGAAAATAAATTAAATGAACTAAAAAAGCTAAAAATCATTAGATATGAATAAATTACAAAATCATGTATACACTTATATATTGTCATGTACACCATTTTCAGTTTGACTTGATCTATTTATTATGTATTTTGATATTATTTTAGTAAGTAACCACCAATCCACCTATATGTGTACAATTTCTTTATATATATTGGTCCATTGTCGATGTACACGTGTACACATTCCAAAGTGTACACAAAATAACAATATATGCACATAATTAATTCTTAAATACAGTGGAAAATAAATTAAATGAACTAAAAAAACTAAAAATCATTAGATATGAATAAAATACAAAATCATGTATACACCTATTGTCATGTACACCATTTTCAGTTTGACTTGATCTATTTATTATGTATTTTGATATTATTTTAGTAAGTAACCACCAATCCACCTATATGTGTACAATTTCTTTACATATATTGGTCCATTGTCTATGTACACTTGTACACATTCCAAAGTGTACACAAAATAACCTGTCTATTTTTCTTAAACTTATAATTTGTTCAAGTTTCTACATGTGTACACGTCATAAAGTGTACACGCATGTCGTTTGTTATTCTTGCTCAAAAACAAAAACTAGTCTTACATGCGGTGTGTTAGCATCGGTATATATGTGGACAATATTATACAAGTGAATCATTGTATATGATAGTAAATTCTTATGTACACATGGACATTATATGGTTGTACACATTTTGAAACTAGCAAAATGTTCCAATTAGATAGTGTGATATTATGGTAATGTGTACACATATTTCTACTATCTTACTTCTAAGTCAAAGTATACGTCTTGAAACTTGTTGATTCAGATGAGTAATCTTATGATATAGTAAGAAGAATATATTGTTAGTTTATTTTAATCATTTTAAGTAACATTTTTTAGTGATTTTATGATTTTAATCATTTTGAATGTCTTTTGTTAGTTTATTTTAATCATTTTAAGTGTATATATTGTATTTGTGTATTTAATTTAATGATTTTGAATATCTTATGTTAGGACACATTCTCAGCTCTGAAGAGTATTGAGGTTTAAAGTGAATGATATAAAAATTAAGGGACTGAACGTGCAATAATTTCAAAGTTAGCCATTGTTGCTTTTGAGCTTTTTCTGATGGTTGAAGGGTTCGTCAGTGAGGAACAGAGGTCACAACAACGATGAATCACGACAAAGAAGAAGGAATTGGAACACGGCACGAAGGATTGAGTCGAGTGAAAACGCGACGGACCAGATTTGCCGTGTGATGTCGCGATGAAGATGAACACGGTGGCCTACAGATCGAGCTTGCCCGAGGCTCGCCAGCGGTTTCGGAGCAATAACAAAGCATAACGACATGAGAAAACAGAGACACCATGGTTGAAGCTTGAAAAAATCTCCGCCGTTAACATCCCGTTAGATTGCCATTACACTGCCATGAAAGATGTATCTTCACATATCTCAAAATAAAAATTAAATGATATATATAATGATTAGTTACAAGATTTCGTGAACAAAATTTTGAAGAAGCAAATTTGATTTTTCAAAAAAATAGTGAACAAGGGAAGAAGAAGACGAAGAATAAAATTATATGGGGTTTACTTTGTTTTAGTTGGTTAAGGTTAATTGAAAGGTAACTATCTGGTTTAGAAAAAGAGGAATGAAAGAGAAATAGTTAGAGTAAACTGTCTTGGTAGCATAAACTGCTCTTTTATGTAATAAAAAACTTAAAACTGCCTTTGGATGTAATTGTTTCTAATAATAGTAGTTTGTCAACATATATATATGTCATAAATAATCAGTTTCATCAATCTTTTTATTGAGGATTTGAATATGTAAAACGCAGACGAATCTTGTTTCATCATCACACACAGACGTATACATAAATTACATCATTATCGCTGAAAACTCGCGAGGAAATCACTAAGATTCGATGGAGACGTGGTTGGAAACTGGAAGCATGTGCTCGCAACTTGTGTTATCTTTCATGGCCCATAAAATTTTAGTCTGAGATTGGAAATTTATCGTTTTGTACTTCAATAATATAATTGAACTGAATACGTTAAGTTTTATCATAAAAGTACCAAAGAAATGGACCGTAGTCATCATTTAAATGGTTACGTGATTCGACACGTAGTGTTGCTTACTACTGCAAGTTTTTTTTTATTTCTTTGCCTCCCACCAATATATTAAAATTGTCGTTGTATAAAATACTTTTGATGACGAGTTTTTGTCACTCATAGTTTCTAAAGTGGTCTAGAAAAGGTTTTAAATGTATAAGAAATTTAAAAAACTTCGTTAATGGCTACGTATAGAGTGAGTCAATCACGTAAACACTAAACGGACGTGTCATGTGCATGGTGCGCTTCCATAGTTATATATAGTTCTATTATATCCATTGTGTAAATTATACAACTCAACATAATCTTTCTTAACCTATCACTGATCAACATTTTTAATGAAGTAGCTAGCTAATAGTTACTAATAACCTATTAGAAAAAGATTTCCTAATGGATTTCTTAGTAAGAAAATATATTTCATATAAGATCATGGTTAGAGGAAACTGGACAAAAAACACAAGAAATTTAAATACTGAATTGCTTGTTGTATTGGAAGACATGATCATGTTAATTAACTACATTTTCATTTCAGTTGGTGGTGAAGAAAATGGCGAAACCTTCCATTTTTTAAAAAAATTAACATACACCACAAAGATTTGCTAAGTTGCCACTTTTGTTCCTAGTCGTGCGAAACTGAATATTCCTTCATCTGATTTTGCAGATCCTTTGTACTTGTTTTGTTTTTTCTCTCACGTTCTTATTTTGTCTAGTCCACGCATATTCACCCTCAAAAGTCATTTCCCTTAACTTGTTTTCTCCACCCAAAATCATACGTACAAATTATTGAATGTATTGTGACCAAACGTGTATATTAGTAGTTTTTTTTGTTGTCTCGTTGATCAGAATCTTCTTACCAACAAGTGTTACAAGTCACAATAACCAATAGAAATTTCATAACTGAACAATGGTGACTGATATCTATTCTATTTATAGTCTACATTTAGCAAAACGTATCTCTAGAGACAAGAGTTTAGTTAGTCAAGGTAACCAATTAGAGATCTGACTTTGTTCACCAAAAGTAGATCCAAAAATAGATCCAAAAATAAACATAGTGGTCGGCCCATTAAAAAAGATACACAGATTTGTACCAAACCGGATTAAACCACTGCAAGTAAAACCGGTTAAGGCATTTTCATAATTGACTAAAGAATCAGGGTTTAAGGAAGAGGAAGAAGAAGAATAGAAGTCAAGAATGGAGTCAGAGCACCAAACCATGGAAACGTTCCTACGATGGGCAACAGAGCTCGGCATTTCAGACTCCATCAACCCTCCTCGATCTCACAATTCATGTCTCGGCCATTCCCTTTCCGTCGCCGACTTCCCCCTCGCCGGCGGGTGCGTATAAACGAAACAAAAAATTCACATCTTTAAAATCATTCAAATCCCTAAAACAAAATTGTCTCTTTTTTCCTCCCAATTGGTGAAAAACTAGGAGAGGTTTAGGAGCTGTTCGTGAGCTCAGAAAGGGAGAATTGGTTTTGAAAGTCCCTAGAAATGCTCTGTTAACTACAGAGTCCATGGTGGCGAAAGATCAGAACTTGAGGGGTTCTATCAATCTCCACGCATCGCTTTCTTCGACCCAGGTCCTCTTTTCTCTCTCCAGTGATGCCCTTTTGTTTAAAATCTCATAAAGTTTTTGGATCTTTGAAGTTTTTTTTGTTGCAGATACTGAGTGTTTGCTTGTTGTATGAAATGAGCAAAGGGAAGAGCTCTTTTTGGTATCCTTACTTGGTTCATTTGCCTCGTGACTATGATCTCTTGGCTACATTTGGTGAATTCGAGAAGCAAGCTTTGCAAGTTCTGTGTCCCTTTCTTTACTAATTTATTGTGATTTTGACTCTAAAAATGGGGTTTTTTGGGATTTTAGGTTGAAGATGCTGTTTGGGCAGCTGAGAAAGCTATAACAAAGTGTAAGTGTGAGTGGGAGGAAGCTGTTACGTTGATGAAGGAGTTAGATCTCAAGCCCAAGTTTCAGAGTCTTCAAGCATGGAACTGGGCTTCTGCCACTGTAAGAAACTACTCCATGTTCAATGATAGAAACTGGTCAGAGAACTCTTAGGCGTCATGACTCTTGCTTGGATTCTGCAAATTTACTACAGCTTCAAACTCTTTTTTTTCTCTGTTTGAAGATATCTTCACGGACGCTGCATGTTCCATGGGATAGTGCTGGGTGTTTGTGTCCTGTGGGGGACTTGTTTAACTATGATGCTCCTGGGGATGATAATGCTGAAGAAGCAGGACATGTTGTTGCGACTCAGTCTGAAAGGCTCACAGATGGTGGATTCGATGGAGATGCCAATGCTTATTGCCTTTATGCAAGAAGGAATTATCAGCTAGGAGAACAGGTAACAAGTTCTTAACTAGCTTTGCTACAGCTGTGAAACTAGTGAAGCAGAAGCATAAAACTAAGTGGCAGAGAACTTGTATTTTTGTGGTGGGTGTAGGTTCTTCTATGTTACGGGACTTACACGAATCTGGAACTTCTTGAGCACTATGGGTTTACGTTAGAAGATAACTCAAATGACAAAGTCTTTATTCCTCTAGAAACCAGTCTTTATTCTCTTGCTTCTTCATGGCCTAAAGATTCTTTATACATTCATCAAGACGGTAGGCCATCTTATGCGCTTGTGTCCACGTTGAGACAGTGGCTGATCCCACAGAGCCAGCGTGACAAGTCGGTTATGCGCCTCGTCTATGCTGGATCTCAGATATCTGTGAAGAATGAGATTATGGTCATGAAGTGGGTGTCAGAGAAATGTGCAAGTGTTTTGAAGGATCTGCCAACATCTGTACAAGAGGATATAGTGCTTCTTCAGGATATTGACAAGCTCCAAGACCCTGAATTGCGTCTGGAGCAGAGAGAAGTAGAAGCTTTAGGCAGTGAAGTACGTGCTTTTCTTGATGTGAATCATTTGATAAATGGGGGATTCTCTGGGAAAATTAACAGGATAATGAGTAAATGGAGATTGTCAGTGCAGTGGAGGCTAAGGTACAAGAGAACGCTTGCTGATTGCATCTCTTATTGTAATGATAAAATAAATCATCTCTCAGGTACCTAAGATAGAGGATATGAGACTTGTAACATCTATTTATCAATGCTCAATAGAGGATTTTCTGAAAATTGTTTTTGCATTCATTCATAGACAAGTAAAAAAAAAACAAAAAATCTACTGTTATAGCTTAATCAGTTGCAAGTATGAATCAAAGATAGTGAAATGAAGCCAAACAAATGAGGAGATCAGTGAGTTAAGTTCCAGGATCATGCAGGGTACCTATATGGAGTGGATTCTATGCCAATGTTCAGGTGCCATACACTGCATGATCCTGGAACTTAACTGACTCAAAGAAAAGAATAGCAAGAAGATGTCAAAAACGTAAGCATCAGCATTCCACGCCAAGAAAATGCGCAATGAGAACTTCCCAATCATCTTCGTAATGTGTTGGGAATAAATGCACAATGCGTCCGTTGGAAGAGCTGTGTCCAAGTATCATCACCAACCTTTGCCCATTTAGAACTAGCTAAGTACAGAGAGAAAACATTCAAATTTTACTGTTCATGCAAACTCACAAAACTAAATCAAAATGACGGAGTGAATCAAACAGAAAGCCGGTGGCAATCCACTTGGTTTTTGAATATGTGTCCATCTCTGGACTCAATATTGCCGGTGAAACCAACACATTCAAGATGATGAAAACACAAAGCGAACCAGAAAACGACGTCGTGTATTACATATAACCGAGTTTTATAAACTGCGAAGAGGTGTTTAAATTTTGATTAGAATGGGGATTATCAGATTCAGCTATAGATTTGTCTAGTTTGTGAGTTAACTAATATCAGTTTTAGCAGTACAGGGATATTGTTTTGGTTATTGTTCAATATTTTTTTGTCCACTCGAACCAGGTTCTCAGTCTCAGAGATTTGTTCTAAATAGTCCAACTAGTGTAGTCAATTCTACACTTCGATTCCGGTTTAAACAATTATGTCCACCTGATTTGAATTGTTAGTTTTGTGTCTTCATCACTTCAAATAGTGCCTCAATACAACAAAAACTTGGAACTCTAAAAAAAAATGTATTATTTGAATCAAAGTTTCGATTTAAAAGGCAGTTAAGGAGAAGGATCAGAATATTGGCTTGACTTCCTCTTTGATGAAGAGGAAATAATAATCGCTTAGTATAATCAAATTCGATCATTTGGGGAAATTGTCATCACCTCCATTCTCCATTGGAAAACATTAAAATATCAATGAGTTATTAATAAAAACATTCTCTAGAAACAAATAAAAGCTTTAGAAAAAAATAAATCATTAGAGGGAGAGAAGGATCAGAAAATAGGCTTGACTTCCTCTTGATGAAGAGGAAATATAAAATCGCTCAGTATAATCAGATTCGATCATCTGGGGAAATTGTCATCACCTCCAACTCTCCATTATTAAATAATTCAAACAAGTAATTAAAAACACACAGACAAAAATAAAACCAAATGTAATTCAAAACAAATAAAAAAAAGGGAGAAGGATCAGACTAATTGGCTTGACTATCCTCTGATGAGAGGAAGTTCTATTCGCTCAGTATAATCAACTTCGATCATCTGGGGAAATTGTCATCACCTCCTTTTCTCCCTTTTTCACTCTTTTTCTTAATCAGTTGACAAATAAAAAAAACCAGTGAAAACTACTTTCAGACAATACAATACTAGATCATAACTTGTCTAGAAAACAACCTTACGAACAAAATAAATTGAATTGAAAACTCAAATCAGAGAACAAACATAGCTAAAATCTAGCGGAAGAAGAGACGTCGACGGCTGGGTTTTTTCTGAGATTGGGGTTTAGTCGAATGTTATTTATAGGTACCAATGCGATGAGGCTGTTGCCGCAAAAACCCTAACGCACGTGTTATTCACGTGACTCGTTGTTTTAAGTTAATTTCTATTGGGCCCTCGTATTTTCTGGAGATTGCGGTAAGTAGCAAAGACTTTTAAATATTGATCAATTCGTTTGTTTTTTATGTTTTGGGAAATTAGATTCTTTGAAAGCGTTGACAAAAAGAAAGAGATTCTTTGAAAGCAGAATAGATTATGAGAAAACTCATGAACTACTACTAACAAAGACTTAACTAGTAGTCATGTCAGTGTGTATCTGTTTGATCTTTTTACGTTATGAGATATACGAGTGTGTTTTTCCTTCCAAGCCTTTTAAGCTACACAGCAAATACTGAAAATGAGCAAAAACATAAGGATTGGTATTGTTTTAGTGAACAGATAACGACAGAGAAAGAAAATAGGTATTATGCATGTCAGGCATCATCTTCATATTGAGATGCATCTGTAGAACACAATCAAACAAGTATAAACTAAAGTTATCATTGTTCAATCCCCACAATACTTTAATTAGTACGCTTTAATATGACTACACTGGATAAATGGTAACATATGTGTGTTTGTGTGTAGGCCACAGTAAGCTTCTGGGAAAGTGAATGAGCTTGAAAGTTGCCTTGAGGAAGTGAGAAAGTTTATTCAAAGAGTGAAGAGATTACTACAAATACAAAAAAAAAACATGAAAGAAGAAAAATGCTTTGTCACCTATAGATAAGTTATATCTCTCTCTCTGCTTTCAAACTGTTGTAACATTGGTCATTTTTGTTGTTGAGATACAACATTGTTCGCGCAAGTGATCACGGTCTGAATAAGCGTTGACAAAAATATGTCGTCCATGTCGTTGGTCGTGGATTGGCTTCCTCTCCACCAATTATAGCTTGACACGTGTGATATTCTTACCGTCAACCAATTTTGACTTTGAAAAAAATAAACTAGAAAAAAGAGACGAAAAGTCGTTGATATATTCGTATGGTTTGTTGCATCGCCATCGTCTTCAAGAAAATCTCGATCGCCACATCGCCGGATTACAATCACCTCCGGAAAAGCCTTCAGGATGTGCTTCTGAGCATGAGATTTGGATTAACCCGAGATCTCCTTCTAAAACGATCATCATTCGCCTACTATTCCGGATCTCGAGAACAACATCCCATCACCATGGCGACCAAGAGCGACAAGACTTCGACAACGGAGGTGAAAGATAAGGTAGTGGAGGATAAGAAGAAGGATAATGATAAGAAGGAGGAGGTATCACTCCCTCCGCCGCCGGAGAAACCAGAGCCTGGCGATTGTTGCGGCAGCGGTTGCGTCCGATGCGTTTGGGATGTGTATTACGACCAGCTCGAAGAATACAATAAGCTTTCTGCTTCCACTCCTCCTGGAGATTCTAAATCCAATTGATTGAATTGCTTTGTTCTGATTGTTACACTGATTATTGTTGCTAGAAAAAAATTATACAATTGCTTTGTTCTACTAATAAAGACTGGTCAAGTACTGATCTACCATATTAAACATTTTTCCAATCAAAATCTGTTTCTTTCACTGTTTTATCTGAGTACTGCTTCTTTCAGAAACAGAACAAAGTTAGATGTGTACAACAAATCATTTCATCTTTTCGGCTTCTAAGATCAAACGAGAATGATCACATATCGATGCATAGCCTTACTTTTGTTTACCTTTGAGGAGCTTTCACTAGAACAGAGATATGGAGATAGAATTCTGGGTTCATCAAGTTATTTACCACCCACGAAAACGGTATCTCTAGTTTCATCTCAATCCCTTGTATCCTTACCATTTTGATTTCTCCCCTTGTCTCCTGCGAGCCATCTGCTTCCTCCTCCGTGGTTATTCCTTCACCCTCTTCTCCACTCGTTTGAGCTCTGTGTCCAGTGTATTCCGGGAGGAGACTTTCAATGGCGTCTCGTAAAGTAAAGCATTTCCCTGTAATTAGATACTGGAACTAATCAGTTATCTAAAGGGTGACTCAAAAACCAGTTGAATTCACCATAATGCCAAGTGCAGATCATAAGAACAACAATGCAGCGGATCTGCGGATCTTTAAGATGATAAACTACTACCTTCTTCTCTGAGGAACTCAACAGGGCGATTTAGGTACGAGATCTCATCCCATGTATCAATCTCAGGAACATCTTCAAGATTCTCGAAATCTTTACTTACACTTCGAACATACAACCGAACAGGAATCCTTGCTGACAAAAAGATTATCAAGGGTCAGGAAAAAAGAGGGATAAATATGGAGTAGAGCTTATAGTTGGCAAACCTGTCTTTACTTGTCCAGCGACTTCTATCTCAGTGCCACCTTGTGTAGATTGTGTAGATGACAAGCTTGCTTTTCTTGAAAACTCATCTTCGATATTCCCCATTTTAATCTTGGGTGATAATCTCGTGTAGGCATCAAGATCACCTGCCAAACCATCGGTTTTCAGACTCGATTCTAACTCAGTCATTGATATCCAAAAGTATTCTGTCGGCATAGTGACATTTAACAAGGATGATATTAGTTTATATGCCTAACATGGACCACTCGTACCGTTCATGACAGAGGTCCACAGATCCTCTTGATCATTCTGAGACATATTCATAACATTCTTGCAATTTCCATTGATAATATATGCCGCCTGCAGTAAGTAAAGCATTGTTAAAATAGCACACAGGAGAAGCCTATGACTACTCCACTAGGGAATGACCCATCAATTTTCAGCAAAAAACTAACAGAATTAGTCACAACATCATTCACCATATATATATTATATATGTCATTACGACAGTATACACCTACAACAGCCTATGAAATTTTTATAACCTTGGCGGCTGATAGATATATAAACGAGATTGTCCCAAGTTAGTAATACATCGAAATGTGGAAGAAAGCCACAACTTGTGCAAGGTACCAATCAATGTTCTACAATGTGAAATCTAATGTAACAGTGTTCACATCGGGAAGTATAGACGTTTAACTTAGAGTGACATCAAATAAAGTAGACAAATTAATATTCTCAAACCTCTTTCAAAGAATTAACAAAGTTCCACTTGACAGAATCTTCTCCTTCACATGGTATCAGTACGTTGCTAGGATATCCTCTAAAGTGTATCTGCAAGTAAAAAAAACAGTTTCTCAAAACCTCATCTCTCAATTTGGTTTGTGCATCCGGGTTTCAATTTGCAGCTGAGTACATCCACTATCAAACAGAAGAAGCTGATCAAACTTGAGAGAAATTAAACTTACAGTGAGATTCCAAGGTCTCTCTGGTTCTGCACATAGGAGATCGAAAAGAACACCCGTTGGTATATACCTGCAATCACCAAAACAAGATTTCACCTCTTTACATAAACATATCACCAATATAAAACAGTGATTCCATATTATACACTAACATAATCACAACACTAACACATACCATTTCAGAGGCAATCCTTTGTAATCGAACCAAATCGAATCTTCTCCAGGAGGAAGTGAATCCTTGAAGTAAGGCTTTATAAGATGAACTAACAAAGGCAAGTATCCTATTCGTGGCGCTAAAACCTGAAAAAAAAATCGATGAATCAAAAACTCGGGATGATCCTAAACCATAGAAACTCGAATTAAATCGTGATCCAACAACAACAAAGCAACCAGAGGAATTTCAACGATCGAAATAAGAAAAGCGAAAAAAACTGAAGAAGAAGTGAAATGGAATTACGAGAGAAGGAGGAGGAGCAGGGTGAGAAGCGACTTCGGATTTGTGGAGATGAATCTGCAGTGGAATCGCTCCTTCCCATATATACTTCACCGCTTCTTCCTCATTCGCCGCCATTCTCTTCTTCTTCTTCTTCTTCCCTTCCGTCGCAGCTCTAACGACTTGGAAAAAAAAAATTTTTTCCTCCGCTCCCAAAACGACGTTGTTTAAATTAATTTCCTTGTGACGTCATCATTCTTTTGAGTATACAATAAAATCTCTATAAATTAATAATGTTAAGATTTTGAAATTTTATTAATTTTTAGAAATATTAATTAACTATAGTTTTCTAATTTAGATATTTTTAATATATATTTATTTTAAGATAAAAAAAGATTTGATTTTAGTATATAAACATTTTTTTTTTGAAATTTAACATTTACATTAATTTTATTATATTATTTGATGTATATAATATATATTGCATATAATTTAAATTTAATTTTAAATATATATTACTTAATCTCATCAAAATATGTTAAATTTTAAAAGACAAATATAATTCTTTTGTGAATATAAAACAAACAATATAATGATAAGTTCTTGTTTATATAAAATATCTACATAGAAATTATTAATATATAAATTCAATGGGATCATATATTTACATAATTTTTTTTCTAAAAATAATTATTTTATTGATTTGTGTTAAATTTTGAATCGGCCTAAATTGAAACCAATAAAATTTATCAATTTATAGAGATTATTAATTTATCGAGTATTAATTTATAGAAATTGTATATTTGCACCACAGTCTCTTGCTGGCTAGTAGGGCTGGGACTTAATATTCGCTATCCGCTATCCGATCCGGGATCCGTCCCGATCCGCTCCGAAAAACGGATATCCGGGGGGTCCGGATCCGGATCCGGATAGTGATTTTACAGATCCGGCGAATCCGGATCCGGATCCGGATAGTGAAAATTTTAGTCCGGATATCCGGATCCGGATCCGGGCCCACTAAATATTTTTAAAATATTAAAAATATAATTAAATTTATATTGATATATTATATATAATTTTTATTAAAATAACTAAAACTTCGTTTTATTAAATTTTTAAACTTTTTTGAAAAAAAATAAATTTTTAATTGAATGAATATTTGTTTAATTTTGAAATTTTAAATTTAATTTTGATTTTTTAATTTTTTTTTTTTTAAAAAAACGGATCCGGATATCCGCGGATATTCGAGTTTTAGTCCGGATATCCGAACCCCGGATATCCGGAAGGCCCGAATCCGAATCCGGATATCAATTTTACGGATCCGGATATCCCAAAATACCCCGGATATCCGATCCGTCCCACCCCTACTAGCATTTATATTTTATACAAATGTGCGTGTGAGTGTTTCAAAAAAAAATAAAAATACAAATGTGCATGTGTATATCGGTTTAGTCTGGTTTAGAAAGGGAGCATCTCAATTTACCTGGATCCAAACAAAACCAAACCAACCTGGACCGATAAAACCAGCTTCAATAGTTTTTTTTAACTTTCTAGTTTAGTTCAGTGTACTTGATTTTGATTTTGAACATTTGGTCATCTGAGGCAACAAAACTGTAATAACAGAATTAAAAGTTGGTTTGGTTTTCAAAGCGGTTCGATTATCCGGTTAAACATCGCTCTTAGGGCTATTATTGTTCAAGTATTGCTTTCATTTGTTGGTATAACCCTCACCATTGTCTTCCTTGTCTTCAATCTGAAGAAACTCTTCGCCAAACCAATTGCAATTTCTTGCAAACGATTTAATTTTTGTTGAGCAAATATATCAATAACAAAGAGCTCATAGCACTATTTAAGTTAAAAGCAAAACAAAAACAAATTTGTACAAGTGTTTTACAGTTACAAAATATGCATAACGTTAGCCTAAACAACAAACAGCTCGTAGAAAACTATGAAAGAAGGAATACTTTTATGAACATTAAGGAAGTTGAATTAGTATTGAACTTAAAAGACTTTTTTTCAGGTTTTAGCGCTAGTTGTCCCAAATTGTTTTTCTTCTGCTTCTATAACCATCTTTCTCTTCTTGTACTGACCAAATCCTCTTGACTTCGATTCGAGTGGTACAAATGTCAAAGTAGTAGTAGTAGTAGGAAAACAATTTGGGACAACAAGCGCAATATGTATGGTTGTTAGATAAATGGAATTAAAGAATTTATTCATTTCAAATATGTGTATGAAACGCTAAAGAACAGGGAAGGTGTTTGAGAAAATTATTAAACGATATAGCAATAACAGATTATAGTTCTACAACATTAATAAACCACACAAACATGCCAACAAGCAAGATCATAAATATTGCTTTTTTTTTTTTTTTTTTTGGTCAAACATAAATATTGCTTATATATATAAAAGCATCCCTTAAGTATTATGAAGTTTTAACCAACCATATGTAAAACATTAAAGGTCTGAGTATAATTCATTAGAGAATCATCGGAAAATAGTCTTCTCACTCAAAACATTATTTATTATAATTATATATTATATATAACGAACCAAACGGGTGGATTAAACTCTCACTTATCCTCGTTGCAGTTAAGCATGGCTTTGATCCTTTGAATGGTGGATGTAATCAAAGTATTGACTGAGGTGGTAGATTCTTCAATTTGGAGATCTCCAGAGAGATTCGGACCAGAGGCGAGGATCTGGAAAACTACCGTGAGGAGTGTCTTATTACAGTCACGGCCATCTTCGAGCTCAGAGGAGGTGGAATAATGGCCATCACGGGAGATGATGAAACCGGAAGGGAGGATTGGTATGCCTGAAGGATTGACTTGGCCAGAAACGGCAGCGTCTGCAGTGTTCAGGTCCATTGGAGCATACACCACCATACCTCCTAATGCATCTATGAAACTGTCTTGTATTATCCTCATAGCACCATTCTCCGTTGCACTCGGAATCTATATTAATAATATATACATATTCAGATAAACCAACATTAGTAAACGTTTAGGTCAAAAAAATCACAAAGGATAGTTCTGGAGTATGACATTTTTTGATAAAAAATAATGCCTTTATAATTAGTTTTTTTTATTAAACTTTTGAAATCTTACATACAAATAACATTTTCGTATAAAACTATGATATCTTAAATGGTCGGTTCCTTTCTCTATGCTTTGAGTAAGACATTGTATTTGAGTAAAATACCTGGAGGATGTTCACACGATTCCTATGGTCTGTTCCAGTGACAAAGCCAGTGACCACAGCTGCTGGCTTCCCAAGGCAGAGAATGTCCCAGTTTTTTTACATTCAAAAATTAGTTTTGTTGTTAATTACCCAAAATTAACAACGATGTGAAAATAACGAATTTAAAAAAAATAAAAACAGTGCAAATTAAATTTGGACTTGTGTATGAGCAAGCTAACTATATATACCTGGTGACGAGTCTCGATCTTTGTAAGGGTACTGTAGACTTGGAGAGGAGAGACAGGGAGACACAAAGATGAAGCGGCGCAGACAGTAAGACCCATCGGTTGACCAGCCTCTGAGTTTACCCGCACCGAAACACTAACTCCACTACTTTTGGTTTCAGCCAATTGAGAAAAATCGTCATTTCCAGACATCTTTAGTATCCATGCAAAGTTCTTCAACATTCTTTCTCCTAAATCCATGACGCTCCTTCTTCCCTCTATAGTTTTCACAACTATATATATAAAAAAGAAAAAAAGAGTTTTACATACTAAAATTTCACAAACTAGCACTTGTCACACATGGTTGTTGCATATAAAGTTTTTGTCAAAGCTCAAACTAGACTAATAGTTAGTTTTCTTTGTTAAAACATTTTAAGTAATTACTAGTTTATTTATATATATATATATAAAAGTACCTCCGGCGTTGTCGGTGGTGGGAATGACGGAGATGGAGGACAGAGAGATCCTCTCACACATTCTCTGAAGAGTAACGGCCCAACGGCGAGCTCCGTAGCCAAAGCCACCGAATAAGAGGTCTCTGTAAAGCCTATGTGTCCGCACTTTATCATTTACTTCCACATGCTCCATCCACGTTACCTGCTCATTTTTGTTATTCATGGTTATAGTTTTAGGGTATTGCAAATATCAGGTGCAATGAAAATGTTGTACATATTTTGATGAACTTTCAATAAATATGACATAAATAAAAATTTTATGTTTTCTTTCTACCCTCACTAGCTATATGAGTAAAATAGTAGATCTTATGGAGTATAGTAACCATTTCCCACCATCAGTTTTTTTCTACTTTGATCGTTTTATGATTTTATATGTCTAATTCAATGTGTTCATAAATTATTTCAGAAAATACGAGTGACACAAATACATGAAACTATTTTTTTTTTAAAATGCATACATATATATTTGAAAAGACAAAAAATGGAGAAGAGAGTGACCTTAGAGAAACCATTGGGCAAAGCTCGGATGAGACAGCCGGAGGGACGTTTGGAGCAAGTCAGACTCTCAAAGCCAACGTTTACATTATGATACGACACGTCGGCAATCACCCAGAGATCGTCTTCAACTTGTTGGCAACATCTTAGGATCATAAACTCTCTCGGTGGCACCAATGGTGACAATATGTGTAGTTGCTCATACATCTATTTAGAAAAACGTACAAATATACGTATATCTTATATATTAAAAGAGAAGTCATGACTTCCTTTCATGTATGATATTTTAAAATTGACCATCTAATAGAATTTATGACATTTCATTATTCAATCATTAATAACATTCATTAGATTCACTAATAACATTTATTGGGCTTACTAGAAATTTTTATTGGGCTAATAAAAATTAGATGATCCATTGGATTTATAAATATTATAATAAAATACATGTTTTAATTAAACTTATATAATTTAATATTGTAATAGTATAAGTTAATTATTTATATATTTTTGATGTTAACTTTAAAAATTATATAGTTTATTTTTAAAAATAACAAAATCATCATTTTCTTAACAATAATTAATCTATACTATATAATAATTAATCATCATTTTCGATATACACACCTTATATAATATATACCAATTTAGAAATAGAAAAAAATGTTTATATAAAAATAAATGAAAACAAATACCCGCGCGGTTGCGCGGGTTAAGATCTAGTAATTTGTTAAAACATATCTAAAACAGAAAAAAAATGTTATATGATCCATACCAGTTGCGAAAAGTTTTGGCTATGTGTGTCCTTGGAGAGCACGTGAATCGTTTTAGCTTCGTTCACAATTGTTGAGAAAAGCCTCTCCCATTTCTCCTAGATTTTCATATCATCATGACAACTATATATTATTAATAAGACTATTATAATTTCTATGGAATATTACTTTTTCCTAAAATCAATAATTTTTCATGAAGATACGTACCGTATGAAAGAACATGTCCACCAAGTCTCTTGCATCCATTGGAACCACCACGACTTCCTTAGAGGATTCAATACGAGCGCTTGGACTCTTCAAACGGCTAATCTTTGTAAACGACTTTTCATAGTTGGCTTGATCAATGACGAGTCTATCATCAATAGAGGACTTGATCCACATCGGTTCTTCGATATCAATCAGTCTTGAAATTTCTGCTACGGCATTTACCATCGCTTCAGTCATCATCATTTCCTCCATTTGAGATAGCGGCTGGAAATGCTGATGAGTCGGTTGGGCGATGTTGATGTGTTCACGAGTGTACGGTTCTCTTTCCAAGATTGGTGGCTCGACGGGATGGTTCGAAGAGGTTCCATAGGAGAGATGAGGATTACTGGAAGTTGATGCGTAGAGTGATGGACCTTGGCGATAGGCTAGGGAATTGATGTTAGGTATTGAGTGGCCTCCGTTATTGTTTAGCAAATTTGAGATTTGTTCAAGCTGATACCCATATTTTGATCAACTAAAATATTAGTGGTTTCATTGGTAATGCAGATACAATTCAAAATGAATATAGTATAATCAGTTTCAATATAACTTTTCTGTATCCAGTTTCCATCAAAGTTAACTAATGTATTAATATATTAAATGAATTGTGAACCATGATGTAATCTAGAAGATTTCATATCCAAAGGTCTGTATATTTCTTCAGGGCAATATCAAAATATATTAAACTAATTCGCTTTATGAAAGTAAATCTTTTGCGGAAATCGAACTTGTGACTTTTTGGATTTTTGATTAGGTGACCTTAGAATTTTATCCACTAAATCACGGCTTCTCTTATTATATTGCATGTTTAACAAGTGAAACCAAAAAATGAAAGGCCAAAAAAAATTATTTGTTGTTTTGACTAAAAACACTCATTAAGAAAAGCATTTTTGTTGTTGAAAGAGCTTGTATATAATGTATAGTTTACAGATTTATGTTTCTCCCATAAAGAGACTAAATTGAACATTAATCAATATTTTTTCTTATGTTAGGAGTTCATTTGATCGATCAAATTAGGAATTAAAAATAAAATATACGTGAAAACACACCTGTTCTTTGAGATATGCATTATAAGCACGCAGTTTTTGGATATTGAGTCCTCGTTCTTCTCTCCCAAGAGGAGGACCTCCACATGGAGGGCAAGTCACAGCTTTTAGTGCCTCTTGCATTACTTCATTTTCATGTCTTATTTTCATGTTTTCTGCTTTAAGTGATTCGTTGACTGTTTTTTCAATTTGAGCCTACAATTTCAAAAAAAAAAAAAAAATGTAATAGACAAAATTTCAAGGCCAGCTTCACTATCTTTTTTGGAAGATAATACAACTAGTATAAACTCCATTGTGGTGCAAAACAAAAAATCCAATCATGCATCCATTTAAAATCAAACTTTAATTTTGGCGAACAAAATGATGACTTGTAAACTACTTCTTTAGATTAACTGTCACATCATATGATGTACTAAATTATAATAGATAGAAAATAAATACTAGATACGAAAACACATTACTTTGGCTTGTGTTCTTTTGTTTTGAAACCAGAACTTTACTTGTTTCGGTTTAAGTTTCAGTTCTTCGCCCAATTTATATCGCTGTGTATCATCTGGATGAGGACATTCCTTGAAATACCTTAAACCAATTTACAAATTAATTATTAATTAAAACTCTTAATAAAAAAACTAATATAAACTACGGCCAGATCTTACGCTTCAAGCTTTTGAATTTGATGAACAGAATGGCGATGATAAATCTTATTATTCCCATTGGTTGTGTTCATAGAAGTTTCCAGTCCATTGCTTGAACTGCTATCATGATTAGAATCCATTTTTTTTCTAACCCAAATGAAAACAATTTACATTATATATTAACCACTTAAAGACTATTTATATAAAAAATATATAATAGGAATATATACTTTCATATTTTTTAACATATGTTTATTTTATGACTTTAAGATTTTATCAATAATAAATGGAATATAAAAGGTAAAGCCTAAAAACAAACAAAACTATTTATGAAAGAAATCTCGTTACAGATTTTCCTTTTGAGAAAAATCTGTAGCAAAATTTCTTTTATAAATAATATTAACGTTATAAAACCAAAATCTCTTTCCATTGTATTAAATTATTAATGAAATATTTTAATATTATTTTAAGCCAAAATTGTATTATATTATATTTTAGATTTATAACCATTTTCATTTAATCTATATATCCACGTGCAAGTTATAGATGTTACTTGATACCACAAAAAGGATAAAAACAAAATTTGTAAGCTGTGTCCAATAACTGAAACTGACGTATTTGGTTGAGAAAGTCATCACTGAATCCACATGTGTTCTAGGTTTCCAGATGACTCTTCTATTATATTTTGACCCCTCAAAAAAATTTCTTGGGTTCCCTGCCCACATATAGATAATAATTGCCACACAAAATGATCTAGCTACTAAATCATGGTGAGGTGTTGAAAAACAAAATGTTAAAGTGACATAATGGATTTTCTAATATAAACTGTTGACAAAAAAATGGTTAAAAACAACATAAACTTAAGTCTGGATGTAAAATTTTGATAATAAATATGAGTTAATTTTTAATGATTAAAGTTGAATATAAATATTCTATAATTTTGAAAACTTATTTGATTGCAATTTATAATATTTAGAGTTTAGATGTTTTTTAAAAAATTTAAATGATTTATGTTAGGAATTTTCATGTTTTTAACAATACATTGTAGGTAATAATAATATAGCTTACACATCAAAACTTATTTTCACTTTATATTTTTCAAAAAAAAAAAATTGCATACACATATATGCATTACCAACATATTTTACACTGAAGCTCTGAATTTTTAGCCGGTACTGTTTAATCGACAATGTATGATCCATTTCCGAATATGATTGTTTTCCAAAACGTTTGGATGTTGGTCAGTGATCTGGATAGAGTTGTGTCACATGTCTGAATTGTTTAATTTATTATATGTTTTTGCCTAATATATAAAATATAGTGTCTATGGATAGGTGGAATCTATTCTGCAACTTGTATTTATTTTATCAATTTTCATATATATACTCTCAAAGATGGACGGGTTTCTCATTTTACAGTATTTTAAATCTATTATAATACATGTGTTTTTTCCTTTAGTAAGTTACACTTATTAGACATTATATATTCAATAAAAAAGCATATTAGACATCATTATAGACATGTTTACTTAGTTTTCCTAAGTAACCTCTACAAAAGCTTCACAAAAGTTTAATTAAGAGTGGTATAATGTAAACAACACTGAAAGTTACATGGGATTGATTTCCTAATATTAATTTTAACAATGTCTTGAACTTTTGTGCACCACTAAAATACCAACATTTATTGGTAAAATTTGGCTGAATATGATTGTCATAGACGCAATGAAGATATGTCAAAAACCCCGCGATACAATACAAATTTTAGAACTATAAAATTTACCTTTTCTATAATTACTATGTATATCTAAAGGAAAAAGAAAACCAGGTTTAGTATAATTGTTTGGTTCGTAAGTGTTCGATATCCGATGAAACGATCCTAGACTAGCGTTTTTAATCATCTGAAAAATCTTCAAACCGAATGTGTTACTTTTACGACTACTTAGTTTTTAATCATTGGTTGTTTTATTATGATATTGATCTTATAGAAATAAAGTATAAACTGGTCCTTATATTACAACAATACTGTTAACTTGACAATATCAAATATTTAATTTTAGTGTATCAGTCCTCTCTTGGTGCCATCTCTACTTTCTTGGCGCCTTCCATCTCCAACACAATGAGCATTCCTCAGAATGCCACCCTGCAAGACATCTATCACAATGGCGGGTTTGGTGAATTCCTCCTGCAAGATCAGACAAATAGGTTACGGTTCAATCTTTACGTTACTCTATTACTTTGACAACATAACCAAATACTATCTATTTGATAAAAAAAAAAAAAAACAAATACTATCTATTGGTGCATGAACGATTCTATTTGGGAAAAATATAGCACATGTGGGATCTATAACTTACTAAAAATCATGGTAATAAAGTATCTTGGAGCCAAGTTGTCTAGGCTAAAGGAGGAATCCCCAAGCATAACTTCATGGCATGGCTTGTGACTCTCAGTCGTCTCCCTACTAAGGACTGTCAACTACAATAGGGACTCAATGTCGATCCAAACTGTCTTCTCTGTTCTACCCACACTGAATCCCGCGATCACTTGATGTTTGAGTGTTCTTACTCAACATCTCTGCGGGCAATCTTCTCTAGGCGCCTAGACCTCAACCCTACTCGAGATTGGACTACTTCGATCAACGCTATGCAATCACTCATGGGCCTGCTTCGTGGAAGAGGCTATGTTGCTTAGTATGGAAACTGACACTCTACTCCCTCTGGACAATCACTCATGGGCCTGCTTGGTAAAGAATCCATAACACTAAGACTTTGGCTAACCTGTTTTTTTTTTCTTTCTCATGTTTTCAGTAGAAAAAAAGTTATAAAAAGACCTAAACATAAGTCACGATTCATAATGAGGTGCCCATGTGTTGTCACATGATTGTTTGCGGAACCATCGTTGGCTCCACTAACCGTGCCAATTATAGGTCACCTTGTGTTTGTATTCTGGAATTTTTATTGTATAGTATATACACATCATGATCATTTTGGGAATATATTTTTAGTTCCCCAAATCGTTGTTGGTGTTGCTCGTTGTTGTTATCGGTACAATTGTCACATGTTTAATATGTTTAATTTATTATTTATTTTTTGCCTATGTCTTTTAATCCTTTTCATATGATACATTAGTATAATATATATAGTATACTGTATACGGGTAGGTGCATATGGAATATATGTTCCACCTGTTATTTCTGTTAAAAAAATCGAACATCTATGATTTCCCCCCGGAATAACTATACTAGGGGTAGGGGGCATCTTTCCCTCAAAGTCTCCGAGATCACCAAGCCAAAATCTCACCATCCACATAACTATATGTATCATGAGGAATCCTATTTAATTTCGAAAATACTTTTCTTTTTCAAAAATTTTAAATGTATTAAATTAAACAATTATCCTCGATTAGTATCTACTTGTTGTATGTAGTATTAATATTAATATAAAAACATGCTGAAATAATTTTTGATAGTTTGCAAGGACCCAAATTTATAATGTCCAAGGCATATATATAGATTGGGTTTATCGTTCATTCTATTTTAAACTGTAAATCTTTATAGTGTATATGTTCCATCGTATACTATTTATTGTATAAACTTTTTAAGCAAAAAGAAAAACATATCTGACAAAAAAAACTAAGCGAGTATAATAGATTACACTTCTTTTGCTAACGATACTCTTTCATTTTTTGAATAAACGATGAAAACTATTAAAGTCTATTATGCATTAGGCTGACTCAATAATAGCAACAAATTGGGTAGTAGTGAAACACCAACTGTGCACTACGTAATATCTTATATAGCATATGATGAAATATGATAATCTTATTCGCATATCCTGCATATATCTGCAAATGGTTCGTTACTGGTTAAAATATACTAATGATGATATGTTTGTCTAATTAAAATAAATTTTCTTAATTTATCGGTATTTTAAAACTCTAAATAATTATATCACCAAAGTAACCCACATGGTTACCATTCAATATCATTTATTATTGATATAAAACCCCCATGAGGTGTTTCTCCATTTCCACCAATTATCTCATTCATAACTTTCCCTCTCCTCCTCATCTAGTGTTATTCTCTCTATCTCATATACGTGATGGTGCTCTCTCACACCGCATCGGATACGGACGTCTCCGTCCACTCCACATTCGCATCACGATACGTCCGAACTTCACTTCCTAGGTAACATATAACTAACTAACAATATATATAACAATATTGATCATGTTAATATGTTATATTTTTTATAACCTCGATTATAATGGAAGGGTTGAAAATATTAACTATATCAGGTTCAAGATGCCGGGAAACTCGATTCCGAAAGAAGCTGCGTATCAGATAATTAACGACGAGCTGATGCTTGATGGCAATCCAAGGCTAAACTTGGCCTCCTTCGTGACTACATGGATGGAGCCTGAGTGCGATAAACTCATCATGGAATCTATTAACAAGAACTACGTCGACATGGACGAGTACCCTATCACCACCGAACTCCAGGTATTGTGATAAAATAATATATATATATATATATATATTTATATATATATATATATATATATATACAGGATTGGGGTATAAATTCATGGTCGTTTCAGAATCCCATCCAACATACTTATATATCAGCTTATATATGGTCAGAAATGTTTATAGGATCTTTTTTTTTTAAAGCTAACGACGACTTTGTCATAGTATGTGGCCTAGATATTACTGTATGTTTTGAGTGATGCTTTTGGATTTCTGTTCATACAATTATTGATTAGTGTTATTAATAAAATGCACTGTTATTAAATTATATTTTGTATGTATGAATATGTATACCAACTACGTTTAACGTGTTGACATATTTTTAGGGTTTTTAATTTTTTTTTCTAAAGTTGTTGGTTGTTAGTATTTGATACTATTATTAGTTTGTATCATCAATATACACACATGCACCAACTATCTTGTCTTTCTACGGCCGCGTTTTTCAGTTTTGTATTCATTTGGACTGAACTATAGTAATTAGGGGGAATATTGTTACTACTTTATTTCCTCAAATATGAGACATTGTGTTCCTACTACTATTTAAATTGATAGCCGGACAGAAAAAAATTATAATTATATTTCCTTATCAGGCCATCACTAAAATTAAAAAGAATAAAATAGAAAATTCAAGTTACACTAAAAAATGGTTATATTCCACGTAACAAAAAATTTTAAGAGATCTAAAGAGTTTGCTCAAAAAAAAAAAAAGATCTAAAGAGTATGAAACAGATAAAGGTTACATTTAGCACTCTTCATTATTTTCAAATTAAAAATATGACAGTAGTTTTCTTCGTCAAGTAGTTTTTATTATAATAATATGACTAATTAATCACCACAACTGTGACTTTGTGAGTGTATTATTACTTTAGTTTTACTGTCTACAGCTCTGTCACGTTGTAACTCACTAATATTATTATAGTTAAGCATCAATCTCCATGTCATTAGTCAAGTACTGGGTTTCACTAATTAATATTTATTGTTTAATAAAAAAAAAAAACAGAACCGATGTGTGAACATGATTGCAAATCTGTTCAATGCTCCGTTGGAAGAAACGGAGACCGCCGTCGGAGTAGGGACCGTTGGGTCATCTGAGGCCATAATGTTGGCCGGTTTAGCCTTTAAGCGGAAATGGCAGAACAAGCGTAAAGCTGAAGGCAAACCCTTTGATAAACCCAACATTGTCACTGGAGCCAATGTTCAAGTAATTAACGATTCTTGGAGATCAATAATCATAATCAAATTTGTGCTTTTGATAAATTCTTACAGAACCGAATCAAAATGTTAGGTGTGTTGGGAGAAATTCGCTAGGTACTTTGAGGTTGAGCTTAAAGAAGTGAAACTAAGCGAAGGATATTATGTGATGGACCCGGAGAAAGCTGTTGAAATGGTCGATGAGAACACTATATGTGTTGCGGCCATTCTTGGTTCCACTCTTAATGGAGAATTCGAAGATGTCAAACTCTTGAACGATCTTTTGGTCCTAAAGAACAAAGAAACCGGGTAATTAAAAGCTTCATATCAATTAATTATTTACAAAGTACGTCACTATATAATAATAAGTTTATAAGTTCATTGAAAGCTATTACACTAATCAAAACATAACATATATGCATTTTTTGATAGATGGGACACACCGATCCATGTTGATGCAGCAAGTGGAGGATTCATAGCGCCGTTTTTGTATCCGGAATTAGAATGGGATTTTAGGTTGCCATTGGTGAAGAGTATAAATGTGAGTGGTCACAAGTATGGACTTGTGTACGCAGGGATTGGTTGGGTGGTTTGGAGAACCAAAGATGATTTGCCTGAGGAACTCATCTTCCACATCAATTATCTTGGTTCAGACCAACCCACCTTTACTCTCAATTTCTCTAAAGGTAATTTACATTAATATTGGTTTTAGTTATCTATTGTTTATACTTTATTTTATTTTCTTGCTATTGAATTTTTTTTCCGACTTATATTATCTAAATAGTAAATAGACGAACATCATAGTGATGGCTTTATATATTTCTATTTTAATTTATCAAATAAAACATTTGCAAAAACTCCATATTCGCGGTACAAAAATAACTCTTCACTTATTATATTTTTTGGTAAAAACATAACTCTTCATTGACATTACTCTCTCAATTCACGTAGGTTCGAGTCAAGTCATAGCTCAATACTACCAACTTATCCGTTTGGGTCACGAGGTAAGTCGGTCCATGATTACTGTAAATACTACTTATCATGCTAGTGCTCAATAATTAAACATTTCTTAATAAATAAAATTTATCAAACAGGGTTATAGAAATGTGATGGAGAATTGCAGAGAGAATATGATCGTGCTAAGGGAAGGACTTGAGAAGACAGAAAGGTTCAACATCGTATCAAAGAACGAGGGAGTGCCACTTGTTGCTTTCTCCTTAAAAGATAGCAGCTCTCACACTGAGTTCGAAATCTCCGACATGCTTCGTAGGTTAGTTAGTTGTCTTAAGACTCTTAACCAAGATATGATATGTCATATGTGCATGGATATTATGTATCGACATTGAACTTCTCTATTTATATTTTAAAATGTAGGTACGGATGGATAGTGCCGGCATATACAATGCCTCCAAACGCACAACACGTAACTGTTCTTCGAGTAGTTATCAGAGAAGATTTCTCAAGAACACTGGCAGAGAGACTTGTGATCGATATTGAGAAAGTGATGCGTGAGCTCGATGAGCTTCCTTCTCGAGTAGTCCAAAAAATTTCGCTAGGAGAGGAGAAGATTGAAGCTAATGGTGATAACTTGATGGTGACTGTGAAAAAAAGCGATATGGAGAGGCAGAGAGAGATCATCAATGGCTGGAAGAAGTTGGTTTCCGACAGGAAGAAGACAAATGGTATCTGTTAATTTAATACTAGTGAAAATGTCTGAACTGCTTTATTAATAAATGCAATTGCATTGATTCGGAGATTTGAAGGTTTTTCCTTTGTTGTTGTTGAACTAAGTGTGTTTTATTTGATTAACTTGTAATGTCTTTTGATATTATTGCAGCATTATGAAAAAAGTTTGTGTGTTATTTGTTACTAGTTTTTCATCCATTGCTTATAGAATTAAGTTAGTAATCTCATTGTTCTTCAAAATTTATTTTATTCCGTTAGCTGGTAAGATAACATAAGAAATTGGGTGATCAGTTTTTTGCAAAAGTTTTAATCCTAATAAACAAAACTGAAAAGAATAACCAAAGAATAAAATTTTGACATATCAAATAAATTTTTTTTAAACGTAAATTGTGCTTCATTAATTCCTACGTTGGTTAAGAGAAACACTCTTAAAAGCAGTAAACCATGAAAACAGTTCACAAGTTATAAAAGCACCGATATTTTTATTAAGAAAAAAACTTTATTTTCTTGAAGCTTAACCTGGCGAAGCCTAATTAAAAAGAAAATAAAAACCTACTAAGAACTCATTATTTATAATTTTAATAACTAATTAAAACCCCCTAAGCTGGGGAAGGAGCAGAGGGAGTAGATCCGGCTTTGGTGGCGCAATGTAGCTTAACAAAGCAGTCAAAGAAAGGGTTATGGTAAGCTCCAAAGACGGTCTTGTCACAATCAACATCCATCTTCTGTATCGAAGCGCAACATTCCGATCCAATATCAGGTTTGCGGGTGAAGAAAGCTTTGTGGATATCCATCATACATGTCTTTACATCCTTGCAATCAGCCAAGCACTTGGTTACTACCGGCGGTGGATGGAACGGAGCAGGGTGGAAGTGGTTGTAGCCGGCAGGGAGTGGCGGAAAGGCCTTTCCGGAAGCACATGGGTTCGGCCATTGTGGCAGCTTAGGGTGAAAGTAAGGGTAGGAATGGTACCATTCGAGCTTATTGTTATCCAATGATGGGATTGACTCCAAATCATTTGCTGTGACTTGAGTTGTGACGTAGCATGAGAAGAGTATAATAGCAACAAGGGTTGCGAGATTCTTCATATTTGGATTCTTGGGAGCTTTTATGAGGTTTAGATATGTGTAATGTGAAATGGTGTATGGGTTTATATAGGTGTCATAGTTAGGGTTTATAGATTACAACTTTGTGCGATAATGAGTTCGAATGATGTATATTATTGGCATATTCCCTTATTGACTCGATTTTTTTTCTGACGACGTGATGTTTGTTATGATTCTCCCATCTTTTTGCGCAACAATCATCGTACCACAATTATTATTTCAGAGGCTTTATTATTGAACTGATTTGATTTTTCAGGCTTAGGTTACTTGACTTATTTGTCAAAATGTTAAATACTTGCAAATTACTTGACTTATTCAGCTACTTGTTCAAATCCATTACTTAAATTTAAAATACTTTACTACTTTAATCTATCCTTGAATTTAAATACATGAGACTCAAAATACATAGATTTTAAAATTGGAATAAATTATTAGGCTTCAATATTTTAAAAAGATTTCAACTTTTAAATTACAAATATTTATTAAGTTTTGTTTATAGAAACATAAGTGTCAACAAGTATATTGAGCTTTGTTAATAAAGACATAAAGGTTAACAACACCAATTAATGAATAGTATTCTCTCTGTCTCAACTCTCAATATAGTCTATATTTTAGAAAAAAAATTGTTTTTAAAAGATACATATTTTACATTTTCAATGTATTAGTTAATGTTAAATTGTAAATTTCAAGAGATTTATTATAATCTTGTTGATTAAAAATTGTGGTGAATAGTAAATTACAAAAAATAATGTATTGATAATTAAAAATTCATATGTTTTCTTAATATATGTAAACAATCTAAAACATACATCTTATTAAAACCAAGATAATACTAAATATTATTATAATATAAAAAATGAGAAGCAAATAAACGGGTTAAATCATTATAAAAAGTGAGATTTAATTTGTATTTGTACTTGCAAATAAGAAAATTTAAATACTTATTACCCGATTTGAATAGCATGTAAATATTTTTTTAACACCGAGCATAGAGCAAGTAGCGGCCACAACCTGAGTATCTAATAGTTATCCCAGTTTACTTGCAGCTAATGATAAGTGATAACAGTGGTTTTTATCGTCACATAGTTGGGAACTGGACTACTAGAGTGTATTTAAAGGGCTGAAAATATTTAAAAAATTACAAATCGGCCCATTGTACCACGTTTGAGTTATGTACATTTGATAAAAAGAAGTGGTATATGATGAGAGGATCACTCTCTTAATAACGCCTTAATGGGCTAGATAAAACTCCACTAAGGGGATTTTAACAAATTTTATAATTGTTAAAGTTGTCAGAAGTTGTTGTATACGATTTTTTAATAAAATAAAAAACATTCTTAAAATTATTACTCACTAGAGAGTAGAGACCAAAATCATGAAATTTTGGGAAGATCATATCATGGCACACAAAACTCAGTGGAGAAAATCACGAGTGGCAACACAATTTGACAGATTCAAGGGAAATGTTGGATGAGAATCATTATAGTTAGTCTAGTACATGTATCTCGTCTATTATTATTGCTTTCAGTCTTGGAACATATATTTAAAAGTTTAATTAAACATCTTAATCTTACCGAAGATATGCACAATATGAATTGTTTTATCAGATCGTTTACCTTTTTCAAGTGATTTTGGCACTGAATCTCATATCATAGAAAATTGATACGCAGCAGTAATCAGAATGTTACCCATGCGAACTAAATCGTTTTTTTTTATATGTGAAGTTGTGAACGACCTACTGAAATGAAAGAAAAAAATTAAAAGGACTTTTAAGCCTAATTTTCAACAGCTCATACAAAAGAAATTAAGAAAGAAGCAAAGTGAACCAAAGCTCAATCACCAAAGCAGAAGTTAAAACACAATCAGACCGAGAGTAAAGCCAGACCAGAAGATAGTACAAAACGGTTTTGCTTCACGACACCACATGAGTTGGATTGGCATGTAATGCGATTTCATATTAGATAGGGTTTTGAAGATATGTAAATGAGAGACATGCACGATTGTAATGGGCTTGATCATGTTGATGGGAAGAATTATTGTTCTTGATTACTAGAAAAACATACATGCATAAGATTCAAGAACCGAATAAAGTAATGATGCATGTTCAAGATTCTGGTGACCACGATATCCTAAATATGACTCCAGTATAGTGATTTTAATTAGACATTTTGAAAAATGTTAAATATGACTCCAGTAGAAAGTTCAATAAAGGTGTATTTGAGGTCGTTTATATGCGAAATTCGTTTCTGTTATATAGTAGAAGAAACATACAACTGCACGGACCCAATTTAAACCAAATATACAAGTTGGTGTGTCAAAATTCAACTAGTTAATGAGTTCTTAACAGTACAAAGATCATATGATCTACAATGTTATTCTGGTCGTGGAAAGATACTTAAGATACAAACATAATTTTTTGTCAAAAACTAAATAAAAGCCTAATAGGAGGTATGGATCTGCAAGTCAAAGGATCCTCCAAATAAAGGTTCCGTAGAGCAATCATCAAATCGAAAGTACGGAGGAAATGAGGGATGGGTCCTACACTACATAATAAGTGGAAACCTAACTATTTTATAAGTATCATTAATTTCGCATTATTATTACTGATTAATATAAAATCTTTTTTCATTTCTAACTTGTGACTTGTGAGGTAACAACTGGAAGTAATAATACAAATATGTTGCGTGCTTCCTTCCATACTTCCAGCATCAGGTTACTCTACTCATATTACGTGATAGTATGATTTTAAATCTCCTTTAAATCCAGTTTGATGCATGTCGAAGCTATCATTAAGTCAAGATATATAGCGACGTGGTTCATACTAGTATCGATGTTGCGATTGTGGATTCAAATCCACATAATACATATAGTTGACCGATCATTATTTAAAACAACAGTTCAGTTTAATGTTGTATTTCAATATATATTTATTTTCAGTATTTACTGGAAAAATTCTGCACAAAAAATTATAGCGACAAGAAAGAGAGATCTGAACTAAAGCTAAATCATTATTTTGCAAGATTATCTATTAATCTTTTAGGCACTATGCTTGGCTATATGACCACCACATGTACAAGATCCATGTGTTCCTTGGAAATACTAGATTATTTATTGTCGTTATGGTGTAAATTTCTTGTGAATTCTAATCCAATGTCATCTATATGGATAATATAAAATTGAAGTTAAGTCAGAAAAATAAATAAATATGATCATTACGTGCAATATTTTCTGTTTAAACTTCAGCTGAAAAAGCTATCACAAGAAATAAAAATTATTCCTATGAAATACTAGATTATTTTTATTGTCGTTATAGTTTGAATTTTTTTGTGAATTTTAATCCTATGTCATCTATATGGATAATATAAAATTGAAGTTGAGTAAAATAAATAAATAAATATGACCATTACATGCTGCACTTTCTGTTTAAGCTTCAGCTGAAAAAAACTATTACAGGAAGCAAAAAAAAAAAAAACAGAACAAAGAAAAAAGACTTTTCAGATTAGTTTTTATTTTATGATTTAAGCTTATTATTCTTCTAATTTCTGTTAAAGTTAAATTAACATAGAAAAATAACCATAAGTTGCATAAGCTAACTTCTATTGACAAAATCAAGAAAACTATTTTATAAGTTAAAGACTTATTTTCGGCCATTTTCAACTTATATAACTTCCATGTAAAGTGATAAGAAGAAACAAAAAAAAAGTGATGGTCATAGAGTTATGAAAACACGACAATATATTTGTGTTATAAAATAATTGAAAAGACGCGCATTCAACCATATAAATGTCAATCTGTATATGCACAACTGTATATCTCCACTCGTTAATATTTTATAATCATAATCTTTTTAACTATATCTTCCGCGAACATTCTCTTGTATATATACACACTTATGTCTTCTTAAATCCTCTCCTAAATAACACACATCCTTTCTATTGTTCTCTCTAACAAGAATAAGTCTTCCATCTTTCTTCACGTAATGGGAAACTATGTTTCTTCCGCTCTAAGCAAAACGTCGTCGTCTTCTTCATCGGCGGCGAGAGTGATTCTCCCGGACGGTGAACTCCGTCATATTCACGAGCCAACTAAAGCCGCAGAGCTCATGATGGAGATTCCAAACTTCTTCCTCGTCGACGCCAAGTCTTTAAAAATCGGTCGGAAGCTAAACCCTTTAGCCGCTGATGACGATCTTGAACTCAGAGGCTGCCACGTGTACGTAACCTTCCCCATGACGCGTGCCACGTCAGCAGCCAACGCTTCGGACATGGCTAGGTTATTAGCAACCGCCAAGAAACATCAACGCCGACGTGTCGGAACCAAATCTTCCGCTGTCGGAACGGCCGTGAAACATTGTCATAACGGAAGGGTGTCGCCGGACGGTGAAGTGGATGACGTCGGGGTGACGTCGGCGGGATCGAAGCTGAGTTTGGAAGATATTGAAGAGTTTTCAGCGGCGGAGTTTATGCATAGGATATCGATTTCGAAGTCTAAGAAGCCAAAGTTAGAAACTATAGATGAAGAATCTTTGTCTTAACGTACACAAAATCAAACAAAAATGGAAATTTGATTTTTTTTTTTTAAGGTTATTTTTCTTTTTTTATATTGTTTTTTTTTGTTCATTCATCCTCCCTGCGCAAGTAGTTTTTTCTCTTTTTGTGGTATTTCATGTACATAAAGAGATATTAGTCGAGAATGAACATGTGATTTTTTGTTTCTTTCTATATCTCCAGATTCTTAAATCACCCATCAACTTTTAAAAGTTTATGATTATAATTATCATGGAAATTTAGCTTACGTAATGTAATGATGATTCATGGTTTATAACAGACAAACGGTTTGTAAATATCCGAATGTAGCTGAAATATCTAATTTCGAAAATTCAAAACTCGATCCAAACCAAACTTGAATGGGAATTCGAACACACACTGCTAGACAAACCTCACGATCATGATAAACAAATGATTGTTTAAAATATGTTTCAGGAATTTAAAACTTCCACTTGCACCTAACAATGTCGTAGGTTTCCTTATGATTTCGTTAACAAATAATTGTGATATTATAATCAGATAAACGTTAATGAGTAATGGTCAATGGTTCGTCTTGTTAAAAACTTCATTGGAGATAAACATTAATGGTACGTATTAGACGTTAAATAAACGTTAATGGTACTTTCAAGGAAGGTGTTTAGTCATATTCTACAAATTTAAAAGCATAAACTACTTCTTTTGATAAACATACGTAATATGCGAATCTGTGACTTAATATAGTTATAAATTTATAATAGTCATTTTTTCACGTAGACATGTGTAATCACTAATCAGTAATCAGTCGTGTTGGTCATGTCGGTTAATATTATATTTTTGCAAGCGGTTTGTCAGAACATTTGGAAGTAATGCCGTGAGCTCTCTCTGCAGAATGTAATGGAGGGTTGAACTGTTGCTGTAGTGTCAACGGATAATACCTCATTGATACTGCATCAAGAATCCTTGACTACAATTGCTTGATCGTCACAACAGTGACACATTCTTGCATTGTAATAAGCTTTATTGTTTTGTCTACGTTGACCTCAATGAGGAAGCTATAATCATATAAACGGAAAGATTGTCATCATCAGTTGCAGAATTATCAGTTTTTTCAAGTATTTTGATTGAGTATTCTTCTCCAAAATTCATTCGTATTGTAGATGGAAGAAAGAACAAAAGAGATATGCGGGAGCATTTTGACTACTTTACAATTTCAAAGCAACTGATCCTATTACTGTTACAAGGCTAAACAAAAAGATCTTTCTATCCTCAAGATCATGGTCCCGGCTGCAAACTATTGGATATGAATCTCTCGCAACATCTTCCATTGTCTTAAAAACCTTCTTGCTAAACAGTGACTATCTTAAAACATGTTGAACATTGCTTCACGCGATCCAAGCCATGCCCTATGAACAATGCTATCATTCGACTCACTTTGCCCTGAAAAATCCAACATTACAAGTTTCTGATTTCACCAAAGATAGTAAACAAGTCAGTCAAGGAGAAGGATCAGTGTTTAAGTAAATTACCTTCAACAGCAGACCAACACACAACTGAAGGGACACAGTTGGAGAATTTATTTTCACACAGAAGTTGACCAGATTTGATACTCCAAATGCGAGTGTAGCAGTCCTCTCCTCCTGAAACAAAACATTACAAAGACAAAACCAAACTCAAATCATGTCATAAGGTTGGGAACAAAGGGTTACTTTTTATTACCTGACATGAGAAACGTTTCTGATGGATCGATGCCAAACTCGATGCGAGTATGAGAATTTACATGTCCTTCATATGTCTGTACAGCCACCCCTCCCTTAACCATTCTTTGATCGTATAGCTTAATCTAAGCAAACAGAAAATTTTGGCTCTTTAGATAACAATCTCTTAGTAAGTATATGCAGAATAGTAGCTGCACTCACCGTTCCATCCATTGAGCTTGCCATTAAGTACTGATCATATGTTTTCAGTGTCTTCATGCTAGAGAGAGAAGAAAGGAGCGAATGATAGAGCCATTGAAAAAAAGCTAACAATAATCTTCATATATGGTTTCAGTCGTTTACTAACCATGTAATAGATGAAGGCATATAGAACACATGAGATGGGTTTATGTTTCCACTGAGCTGCACAATAACAATTGTGAGGAAAGCCAACGTAATGATGAAAAGTTTTGTGATAGGATTTAAATATTACCTTAAACCATTCCTTTTTTCTAGTAGCTTGACTGGTTCTACTCGATGGTTGAGATCGTATCTGGTGTCTCGTGAGCCTGCCTGGTCTCTCACGTACATCAACTGACACAATAGCTCCATTTCTGAGCCCGCACTGAACAATGTTTCGCTTCTGTATATTCCAAGACATGTCAGAAGAGAGGTTCGCACACCTTTGGCAATATTTATATAACAACTAAGAGTTGAGAAACAGTACCGATTGATGAAACTGAAGCGCCAAAACATCACTTTGGCTTCTGAGGAAGTAAGAACCAGCTCCTGTTTCCAAATCCACCAAAGCGGCTCCTAGGTTGGTACCAATAGCTGCACGACTCCCACTCACACTGCAATCAGCTGTCCAAATAGTACACTCAGAGGAAGCATTCCCTTGGAGGCTTCGCGGAGAGACTATGTACGGTTCCTCAGCAAGATTCAAGATAAAAATCGACCCTTGACCAGCTGATCCAAGTGTAGTTATCCTGTTTTTCTAGTTGTCAAGGTTTTTAACAAATGGAGAGGATAAATTAAGAGAAAGAAAGGGACACGTTCAAAGAGGATACAATGCTCGCTTGACATGGTGGGAGTTGTCAGGTCTTCCTATCAACTGAATGGAAGAGATACTTGACAAAGCATGTAAATGAGAGTGTTCAGGTCGCCAAATACGCCTAGGTGCTTCCCTTTTTTCTTTGCGTGGAAGAACAGAAACTGGATCACACTCAGTTCCACCATATAAAGCTTGAGTTTCAGACTCATCAAAGGGTACTTGTCCAGCTTTGGAAACTCTCAGTATGCTGAAAAGAAACAAAACATTCCACTGCACTTAGGTTTGGAACGAAAAATAATCTTAACCTAAATCATAGAAAAAAACAGTGTTCTAAAAATCGGTGTAGACGGCGCCTAAGCAGGCGTCCGCCTAGTTGGCAAATCGGACCTAAACAAACGACTTTTCTAACCCAATCTAGACACCTGACTAATCAATAATCTTATATAAAGTGCCTAACAGCCGCCTAGCGATTTCTTGAACATTAATAAAAAACTATTAAATATAAGACTGACTTCATACACACCTCAAGCAGCCTCCAGAACTGCCAGCTACTAAGATGTTCTTTGTGGTCAGACCTTCTGATGTTTGTAAATCAACCTGAAACTCTTTCAAAGCAGCATCACCTATGTTTTCAGTTGAATCATATCTCCATACCTAAAAGCATCAATTACATGTTTACTTACATACCGGTCTTTTATGTAAACTTTAAATTGGTAACAGAGAGGTAAGTTAGTAACTACCATAGGGTTAGAGGCGTGTGTCTTTTCAATCTCATCCTTGAAGTTAGACTTCTTCTTATTGATAAAAACAACATTGCCACATAGCTCTCGGGAACAAAGTAGCTTCAATGCTTTTAGTTTGTTTCTCTTCTGGTAATTAGGTTCCTGTGATTAAATTAAACTGATTAGTGATTACACAAAACAAGATACAGAACAGTAACTAAAGATTAGCTGCAAAGACAGAGTAACGGACCTTGAAAGGCTTTGGTTCAGGCTTTTGTTTCGTTTTTGAAGAAGAAGGTTTTGAACCTGGGATTGGACCTTTAATTGCGAAATATTTCTTCTTTTCCTCGTCGAAATAAAATCCAGGGAGCTCTGAAATCAAATTTAAAAAAACATATTAATCTCGGGAACGTAATCGAAAATAGAAGAATTGTGGAGGGAGAAGAGGATTCAGACCTGGTCTCATGTTGTTCTTCTAGGCGGCAACTCTGTTCTATGTGTTCTTAACAAACTCCATTAAAAACAGCTTTAGGTTTTGTTTAACGATGAAAGCTTAACCGGAAACGTGTTTTTATTCAATTTTGGTTTTATTTTAAAAGGGACCGGCCATGATCCGGTTTAGAGTATTAGAAACTAAAAACGATCGTTTTGTGTGTTTGTATCATCAAAAGCTTTTATAAAACTTCTCATCTTTAGTGATTGAAACAAATACTAAAAGCAAAGAGGCTTTTCATATATTAATGAAACAACAAATGTATCTGACAAGAATTATTAACAATTTTCCTCTATCTTCATCTTGTTACACCCATTAATGATTCCCATCTTCTGTTAATCAACACAACACTTTGTAATGTGAGCGACACTTCTTGGTTCTTACTGTTTACTGACCTTTTCTTTGTCAAACTTGGTTCAAAAACTACTGAACCCAATAATGTTTATAAGCAATCCTGTGAAGCTGATCATACCCTGCAAGCACTCCAGCTCCAGCCACTCCAAGAAGCATGTTAGCAGTAACTCCTCTATACAGCGCATAGAACCCTTCACTTCTCACTATCTCTCTCAACGCATGAACAGAGTTCCTGTATTTAACCGCCTGTCCTGACGTAAGCATCATTCTCCTCCTAACCGTATCAAAAGGATAAGCAATGACACCTGCCGAAGTAGTAATACTCCATCCCAACAGAAAGCTAGCCAAGAAGTTCCCCTCCAAGGAACCAACTAAAACAATGGGTTTAATAGTATCATACATTCCGAAATACATCCCCCGGTAAAGAGTGATTCCCACTATCGAAACCCCAAACCCACGGTAAAGTCCTTTAACACCGTCGGTAGACAAAGTTTTACGGTACACATCCACCATCCCTTTGAACTGTCTCTTCCCAGTCACCGAACACTCCTTCGCATCAGTGCCTAGACGTGTCCGCGCGTAGTCAAGATGGTATAGAAACAACGAGGTCGTGGCTCCAGCAGCGCTTCCAGAGGCTATGTTACCAGCGAACCATTTCAAGTAACCGTCTTTCTCCTTGGAACATCCCAGAAGGTTCTTGAAGTAACCTTTAAACGCAAAGTTGGAAGCCTAAATAAGAGCAAAGTGACAAATAAGAATCTTAACACAATGCCACACAGACACAAAAAAACAAATAAGTTCGGTTCGGTCGGTTCGGGTAGTTTGATTCGGCTCCGTAACCAAATAAGAATCGATCTTTTTTTTCCAGGTTTCTTTTTGGTTCCTACTTTTACTATCCGAACCGAACAGAAGAACATGAAATAGTAAATGGATCCTCTAACCCTTTACCCGATACATGATCTTTTTTGGTACCTGTGTTGGGAAATAAGGTATGACAAAAAAGAAACTCAACACAATACCACACAGACACAGAAAACAAGTAAATTTCGGTCCCGTTCCGGGTAATTTGGTTCAGTTCCAGAACCAAATAAGAATCGATTCCTTCCCAGTTCCTAGTTTTACTACCGAACAGAACCGCCAAGTAGTAAATGGATCCTCTTCTATGTTCCTAGTTTTACTATCCAAACATAACCTCCAAGTAGTAAATGAATCCTCTTCCCTGTTCCTAGTTTTACTATCCGAACAGAGAACCGCCAAGTAGTAAATAGATCGTCTTCCATGTTCCTAGTTTTATTATCCGAACAGAACCCGCCAAGTAGTAAATGGACCCTCTAATCCCCTACCGAAACTACCCGATACCGATACCTGAAATACTGAAGGATAGCCGAAATGCCAAGGCCTAGACGTACCTGTGTAGGGAAATAACGTATGACATTGGCTTGGTTTCCTCTCCAAAAGGAGAAAACACCTTCTTCTCTGAAGATTCTGAGGAAGCAGTTGCCAACACCGGAGTAAGGTTTCGTGAGGTGTCCTGTCTTGATCATCTCCCCTTGGTTCTGGAGTAAAAGCTTTACTCTTTCTATTGGTGCGGCTGCGGATTTGGCTACGATGGCTGCTGCGCCTCCCATGAAGAAATCCGTTGAGAATTTCTCTGGTTTTCCCACCGAAGTCATCCTTCCCTAAATTCAAATAACAATTAGTTAAATAACGAATCCATCTTCAAAGAAAACAAGAACGATGAATAAAGGAAAAGAGAAGGAAACCTGGAGGTTATGATACGATCTTCGCCGCCGTAGAGGGAAGGACTCGGCGGCGAAAGATCGTTTCCAGGTCCCAGGAGGAGGAGAGATGCGAGGACTTCTTTTTTTTTCTTTGTTTTTTTCGTTTTAGAATCAAATCCAATAAAATTAGAAAAAAAGAGATATAATCATCAAATCTGTGAATACCAAAAGATGCGTTATATTTTTCTTCTTTTAAAAATAAATAAAGGTTTTGTCATTTTCTATTCTAGAAATTTATTTTCTAATTTCTAAGATAATCAACATATATATATTTGCCGCCAAGAAAAAGCCACCAGCTAATCTCTCTCTCTCTCAGCTTGAAGGTGTTATGAGATGTGAGTTTGTTCAGTCTCTTGTTGTTTGTAGATTAAAAAAAAAAAGTAGAAGAAAGTCTCAGGCTATCTATCTCTATTAAAGTTTGTGTGGTTTCAGAGCAACTAAACTGCTTTCAGAAAATAACCTTGCTGGTTAATCTACAGCCAACAAAGCAAATCCAAAAAGACAAGTGAAAGCACTCTTGACCAAGTAACATAAGAGTTTCAGATAAAAAGGATTTTGCTTCAGCAATTGATTCCACACATGGACGTCTCAGGTCCTTTAGTCTTAAGCTTTGCGCATCTTTGTTTTTCCCTCTAGGAATCCATCTAACTTGAATCAACTCAAACTCTGATAATAGGCTAATAATATCAGAGACTACTCCATAGATATCTGGTGTTGGTTTTCTTGATGAGATTGCTTTATCCACTCCCTAGCAGAGGCTATAGCTCTTGATAAAACATCTTCCGGTGATGCGCTTTTTTGGTTGAAGAGTAGGTTGTTTCGAGCAATCCATAAGGACCAAAGGAGCCATGGGGTGAGGGTTTCAGAGACTAATCCAGTAGGAGGGAGACAGTTTAGTTTCAACAGTGCCGACAAAAAAAATGTTTTGTTTAGTATCAATATTTCACCTAGAGGCGAACCTAACTGATTTTTAAAATAAAGAAAATTGTACATATGGTTCAGATAGTAGATCTAAAAAAAATAACTATAAAGAATGATACTTGATAGGATTTGTCAAAATAAATCAAAACTAATTAAATCTCATAAGAAACTTACCAAGAAAGAAAGAAAAAAAAAAAGTAAAACAGAAAAGAAATGTTGACATGACACAAAGCAAACAAAACTAATTAAATTATTTTTCCAAGTGTTTCAAACTGTAAACTTTGGAGCCCCTTCTCCACCACCTTCCCCACGACAGTACATATTAGAGCCAACATTACTCGAAATTGCCACCTGAAAATCTCCTTGCAGTTACTGAGCAAAATAATAATGGTTTCTTGCGTTGTAATCCATCTCAGCTGCAACCAAGGCATCACAGTTAACGGATGATCCAACCCGGACTGCAAGTCCTTGATAACTACCATAACCAATGACATTTTCACAAACAGTAACAGAATCACACGGATCGATATTAGTCATGAGGCTTGGCGAGTTGCTCAAGAAATGGTGTTGATCTTCCTGTTCTTTAGCACTCTCCGAAGACAAGTTTCCTCCATTGTAATAATTATTGTACCTCTCTTGATGTTGCTGTAATAAGCTCAAATCTATTTCATGATGATGCTGAAGCGCAGCGTTTTGCCAACCGTTAGTATTATTTTCACTCTCTGAAACGTTACTATTGATCATCATACTTGGAACCGGATGGTTAACTTCCTTGAGACGTTTTGCAGAGCTACCAATGGGAAGACTCGGGCTTTGGAGGATCGCTTTAACGTTGTACCTGCTCATTTCGAAGTTAGTCACTGCGCTTAATCCTCTGAATTTGATTGCTGCAATGTCGTATGCCTCTGCAGCTTCTTCTTGTGTGCCTTCATATACCATATGTACAATTGATAATGTGTAGTTATTATTTATTGTTATAGATTTGATTGCAAAGAGTTAGTATAAAAGAAAATTAAATATACCAAAAGTTCCTAAGTAGAGGTCTTTGTTACCGGCCACTCTTCCGATCCTAGCTTGCCATCTTCCATGTTGGTGATGCCTTTTGGACACATTAAAAGAGAATTTCCATTTAATAAAATGGTGAATTAGCTAAATACCTTATAGATATTGAGATGGTGAATTAGCTAAATACCTTATAGATACTGAGATACCATAAAAGAGGGGGAAAAAATGATAAGTGGGGGAGGAGAGATATAGAGAGAAATAGGATATATAACTAATTTGGTGGTTTTGTGTGTATACACAATGCAAATACTCAAATGTGGTATTTTGTATACATCAAACAAAAATGGATTGAAATATTGTACGTGTTACTATAAATGTCTACCTTGTTACTCCTCGATAAATCGATGCACCACGAGAGAAACCACTACTTTTCCTGCATATTTAAATGTGTATTTTATATATATAGATAGATGTATACTAATTATTAGACATGACGAAATATTAAAAGAGTATGCGTGAGAGTTTCTCGAATATAATACTAGATGTCATATGCAATAAATACAGCAGTTCCATTATATACCTGCGTAGAGAGGCAACATACTCTTGCCTCGTCATGTGGTTCATCTCTTCTCTCTCTTTCTCATATTCACTCATCTGCATATAATAAGATATTATTTATATCAAACCTCCCAAGTTAAAAAAAAAAAAAAACTAAACATGAAAATTAATAATAAGATATTAGCTGTAAATGCATAACTAGATCAGAAGAAAAATAAATAAGAATAAAATTAATTAGATGTTGTGAATTTTTGTAATATTTATTAAATTGACTTACAGGGAAATTAGTACTAGTGGTGGTTCCCCAATACTTGAGTGCGGCTAAATCATAAGCCCGAGCTGCTTTTTCTTCTTTGTCATAACCTCCTGCATGCATGATCAGATTACAAATCAATTAGACTATAGATCTATATTTAATTATATTAGTTATTCAAAGCTTTGTCCAATTTATATTCAAGTACTTACCCAAATAAACTGAGAAGTGAACCATCAGGTGAAGAGAAACACATGTAAAAAAGAAACCTAGGTTATTAGTTGGAAAGTACATGGTGTATGAAAAACGATCAAAATTGTTACTAATTGAATATTATACCTTGTCTTCCTTTGCGAGCTTGGCCTTCTCTTTTGCAACTATTGTCCCATAAGTGTGCCTCATATCTTCCTGTCCACCGATGCCTGAACATTTAATACAAAAACATATCATCTTAGAGCCTACCAAATATATATATATATATATATATATATATATATATATATCTTTATTAGTATTCTACATGAGCCCATATAAATCGAGGAACATTCCGTAGCATTCTCTCAACCAAACCATTAAAATACCCCAATCTTTACCAAGAAAATCACCGTTCAAGCAACATTTTAGACATCAAACTAAATAATGAAGGGAACCTTGTAACACCGCGGTATATAGATGTCCTTTGTCCAAAACTCTCAATACTTTTCTTCGGTGTGGCTTCTACGCAATCACCAATAGTACTCTCTTGGAGAACAACAATACTATTGTTGTAGTTGTTGCTATCACAAGTAGTAGAAGAGTTCATAGAGAGGGACAAGCCTCTTGCACCAGTACCATTATTGTCTTGATGATTCACATTAGACACCGGCTGATTCCTCAGCCATGTCTTAATCATCGAAAGGCCTAGTGAGCCACCAGAAACGTCTCCTCCTCCTCCTCCTCCTCCACAATCACCATTTCCATCTCCACCATTTTCGCTGGTGTTGTAAATCGTGGTGGTGTTGCCGAAGAAATTCTCAAGCTTTGGTCCATTTGGGTCATTATCGTGGATGTTATTGCATGCACCACCATTGATGTCCCAATCTATATAGGGAAAACAAAGAATGCCGTAACTAGTCATGATTTGTTGAATTATATTTCATCACCGTTCTATAATATAAGAAATGGTTCTCTCCTTTTGTAATGACAAAAAAGGATACAAAATAAAGTGTATATATATATATATATATATGTGTGTGTGTGTGTGTGTGATCATATATTATGATATTGAAAAATTAAAGTATATAAATTTATTGGGTACCTATGTTTGATTGACAAAATTTTGAATTTCGTGAGATGTGAAATTAAATCCCAAAAGAAAACTTTTAATTTCAAAAAAGAAAAAAAACATCAAACCCCACACATGAATATTCCCAAAAGAAATGAAATCGATAAACAAGCCCGAAAAAGAAAGAAAACACAAAAACAAACAAAATAGGGATAAGTCTTGGTCTTTGTTCTACGCATTGGAAGAAGGGGGAAAATTAACAAAAAGACAAATAAAACAAATAAGTAATTCTAAAACAATAACCTCGGGAGTGACTATTGTTGTCGCTGGTGAAAGCATCGAGGACAACACCAAAGGAAGAAGGAAACGATGTATGAACGGTCGAAGACTCATCGGAGGCGGCGGTCAGATTGTTATAGTACTCCCCGGCAACATCTACGGCTGTTATGGCAGTGGAAGGGTCGACGCCCGTACGGTGGATATTTTGGTCATAAGGAGAGAGAGAGAAACCTAGCCAGTTAATGTTCATCGAGTTCTTGAGGTTATCTAAAAGGTTCTTGTGAGAGTATTAGAGAAGAAGAACTTAGCTAGGGTTCATGCATGAAGAGAAAGAGAAAAAGGTTTCGGTCTTAATGAAGAGAAAGGAAGAAAAGTCAACAATATAATGTTTCATTTCCTCCGAGGCGACATATTGTGCGCAATTATATAAACGAATTTTGAAATACATTCAGAGAATGAAAAAAAATAATTCATTTACTTGAAAAATGTGGAGATGTATTGAAGGGTAGGGATAGTAAGATCATCTGCATTGATTCATCTATTTTTTTACTTCAAAAAGATTAATTTTATAATAAAATTATGTTTTATTCCAATAATATTTTATTCTAGAATGAAAAAATAGAATGATAACAAAAAAAAAACAAAAGGATTACTCTATATAGTATAGAATGAAAAATAAAATACCATTAGAATATTTTTAACTACTTTTTACTCTATAATAAAGTGAGATAAGAGATATTCTAACTAATTTAACTTCCTAATCTATCATAAATATCAAGTTTGGTTAAATGACATTTTAAATAATCAATCAAAAATGAAAAACCCTTTCAAATCAAATCTCTGGTTTAATGAGATTAGTGTCAATTGTAAGGACAAAAATATAACAAGAGTAACACGAGAACCAATAGTAAAACTCCAAATAACAAAAGTAACACGAGAACCAATAGTAAAATCCAAAAACCCACTAGCTGTCGAACTAAGGCCAATGATGCGGTGTCTGGTAGAGATATGTGTATGTGTGAACCTATGACCGACGAGCAGATATTTGAATTACATAGATCCCTGTTTAAACGAAACATACGTAACTAAAACAAAATAAAAACATACGTTCCTGTTAAGATAGACAAGACTAATAGTATGTAATTAACTTCACAGGTGAGGTGAGGTGATCTTATTTCAGCCATAATAATCATTTTTTTAAAAATGCAGTACGTCATTTTTTTTAAAAAATGCAATACGTCATTTTAAAAAAAATGCAATACGTCATTTTTGTTGTTATTTTTACTAGCTATTTGAAAATATATAAGAACAAACTTAAATATATAACAGAAACAAATAAATGTCCAGTGGCTGTTGTTCAGCCAATTAAAACGTCCCAAAAGTTTCACAACACAATATAATCCCGTCCTCCAACAATAATACTCCCTCTGTTTCAAAATAAGTGTCACTCTAAGCTCGTGCACACGGATTAAAGAAACAATTAATTTTGCATATTTTCTATATAAAAATACAATTACCCATACACCTAACCATATTTCAACTAATAGAAAAATAAATTACATAATAAAATTAATAAATTTTGCCTTGAAAACCGAAAACGACACTTATTTTGTGACGAAAAATTTTCTCTACAACGACACTTATTATGAAACGGAGGGAGTAACATTGTAAACGCAAAAAGTAACTAAATGGAGTAATACTTAAAACTAACAATTACATAAGAGGTGGATGATTAGTAGGGAATGCTAGAGATGTGCATCCTAAGCGATAGTTGCAAAGTAGTTGAGCTTATCCGATTAATATCGAATTAAGAAATGATTTCGAGGAGTTAGGGTAATGAGGGAGGAAAGTATAGGTATACACATGGATCAATGAAAAGATAATGAACATGTGCATGTGTTTATAATCTTTCAAATGTTTAGACAAATTAAAAAGTTTGAACTTTGTTTGGTAAGATATGATTCTGGATCCTATTTTTCTATTTTATAGTTTGTTTTCACTTTCCTCCATTATTATGCTTACGATATCTAACACACCACCAACACACGTTCGAGAATTGCCTCGTACCTACAAAACCATACTATTGTTTTCCTATAATTTGTTCATATCCGCAATAACCCCGAAGCCTTTGGTACCCAATTATTTCAACATGTCCACTCAATTAATGAATTTATACGAATTTAAAGGCTCTTACACTTTCGATGTGTTTAATTACTTTTTCTGATCTCTACTAAAAAAACGTTATTCATTTACTTTATGTTTGGTGAAGGGACAATATTAAATGAAAGAAGTATAATTGGTTTGGTTGTAAACATATTCTATCATTCACCCGATAAATTCCTAACTTCGTCGCATGTGTGTTATTTTGTTTGGATAAGATTTCATAGCATCCACGTATAGATAATGGTAAAAGGAAAAAGCGAATGACGGATGAGGGTTTGCCTACATCATGATCAGAGTTTTGTGTAAAACCATTATTTCTTGTCAAAGCCAAACGAGGATTATAATTAGTTTTATGCTGTGTTTTTCTAAATAGGAAATTAATGTGTTGAGTGTAACTATATTGAAGTGAGAAACACTTGTAGATTCCATCTGAAAACAAAATGGAAACATCTGTAGATGATGATATCTACAACTGACAAGAGCGTGTGGCCAAACATACTAAGGAACCGTTAATTGAATAAACCAGATGGATGAGTTTGAGGTATTTGTCTAAATGCAATGCAAGTTAGGCAACTGCTGCTGCTCTACCATTTCCCCACACCTATACCTTTTACTTTCCCCCATTCATTGTGCATTTGCATGCACATTTTTACTCTATATATACACATTAACATTAGTAACATTCATGTTCTTATTCAGATTTCAGAAGTATTTTTATACTTCAGTCAGTTATTTCTTCGTCTAAGATATACACAAGTTTAGTTAAATCAAAATATCCTTTCTTGTTGATTAACATGTTAAATATTTTAGCCCTTTTCTCTGGAAAAAACATTTTAAATCTTTTTAAGCAAAAAAAAAAACATTTTAGATCAAAAGAGTTCTTGTTGATTAAGACTAGGGTTTATATTTTTTTTGGGGTGTAAATATTAAGGGTTTATAGTGTTTTCATATTTTAGACCTGCTATGTAAGGAATTTGTCATATATCACTACAAAAAAAGAGTTGAATTGTATCACTTAAATTGTATCACAAAATTAAGTGATTCCATTTTACATTACTTATTTATAAATGAAGCAAATATATATAATTTTACATCACTTATGATAAGTGATGTTTTTATTAATTTATTTGACATCAGTTTATCTAAGTGATATATTTTTGTTGTAATTTGTATCACTTAAACAAAAATGATACTATCACATAATGTTATATCAATTAAATAAATGATGTATATAATTTCTTGTTGATATCACTTATTAAAATGATCAAAATTTACCATCAATAAAAAATCGATGCTAACAAATTAATTAATCGGTTAAATTGATGATAAATGAAACAACGCATTTAAACTAATCAGTTACACAAAATATTCTAAGCTTCAAAATAGATATTACAAGAAGTTACGATTCTTATGGCTTTGATTTTTTTTTTTTTAAATGTGACTCTAACTTAATTGGATCTTCTTCCGATAGTTATATCTGTTTCACTTCAATAAACCCACGTTCTTTTCTATCATGGTCCTCATTCTTGGCTTTCTCTCTTCTTAATTTCTTAAACTGTCTTTTTATCAGTTCAAAAGCTATTTAATTCAAAGCAAATTTTCATTAACGTTTAAACATTTTTTTCATAGATGAGTCTTAATGATGGATTCTGTTTCTTCTTATGCAGATTTGAAGGGAAACTATGACACACAAATCTGATCAAATATTTCTGAAAGGTATTTATTTGTTTCTCTTCTTATTCTCAATTTTGAACTTACAATATTTAGAACCTTCGTGTACGACTAAATAATTTTTCATTGTTAGGATCAGGAACGTCCGCAAGTAAAAGAGACAACAATATTTTGTAAAATAGAAGTCTTAAGGAAAAGTGATCGAAGGAGAATTCATCGATTGATCTCGTCAGTTTCACTACTTAATCGATTAATCTTCATGCACTTACAAGACTGATGATCGAAATAAACATGAAGGGAAGGAGAAGACAAAGAAGAAGAATCACAACTAAAGAAAGTTCATAGCAAGTCTATTTATTTGTGTTTACTATTTTTATATGAATTCATCTTTTCTTCTTGCTGTTGTTAAAGCTGGGATCTATATATATTATTTCTTCATCGAGATATTGTATTTTAATGGAAAAATAGTTAGTAACAAAAGATTTTGTTTAATTTATTTATTTACATAAATTCATCTATTAATTTTATTTAACATCAGTTACATACAAATAATAATAATAGTATTTTAAAATATTATAAATGATTAAATTAAATTATTATAAGTACGTGATATTAATTTAATATCAGTTATTAATAAATGATATAAATAATTAAAATCAATTATTTTAATTGATACCAAACTAACATCATTTAGAAAACTGATGTAAATATTAATATCATTTTCTTACAATTGATGCATCATCTACATCATTTACAATAATTGATACATGTTTACATCACTTAGAATAATTGATGAAAATATTTAATTTTTTCACATCAGTTTTGAACAAAATGATACAAATTATTTGTATCACCAAAAACTAAGTCATTTGTTTAAGTGATGTAAAATATTTTTACATCATTTATAACTAATACAAATATAGAAAATAAATGATTCAAAGTAACCTTTTTTTTGTAGTGTATTACAAAAAATTTCATATTCTTTGATGTAAAGACAAATGTGGAAATGATAATGGTCTGCAAGAGTCTGCCTTTAACGTACGAAAACCCTATTTTTTATCAAAAGACAAATAAATCAACCATTTCACTTTTCATATTTATATACAATACCAGCCTTTTTCCCCGGTTAAAGCGGGGGAGTTCTTGTATTTCCACTCCACGTCAAAACCATTCTTTGCATGACTGACACATCTCATTTTCTTTTCCATAACTTTTTCTTTTCGTATCTAACTTTGGTTTTGGAAAATTCTTTCTCTCGTTCAGATTTTTCATAGTTGACCGAATGTTAAATAGGCGTGCGCATACATAAGAAAAGGTTATGATTGGAGTATTTTTTTTCTTTCAAAAAGTTGAACTCTTTATGATGAAACATAACGTTAAATCTCCACTTCTTAATTTGGCATGAAGTTTGTTTTTGAGAGGAATCTCACTTGTGACGACAAAATTCACGTCAAGAGCCCAAACTAAAAGGCTATAATGTAGGGGAAATTAACTTTATCACAAATTTGATATTATTTTTCAAATTTATCATTTATAAATACTTTAAATTTGTGATGAAAAAATAACAGTTATAAAAAAATTAAAATAATTTATAAATATTTGATAAAACTTTATAAATTCAACCCATCTCAAAATATTAAATTCTAAACAATGATCATTAAACCATAAATTGACATGTCAAAATATTTGACTAAATGAATTTTGAAAAAATGATCCCAAATGATAATCAACTTATGATATTTATCAAAATTCACCCAAGGAGCACCATTATTATTTTTTAATTAAAAACTGCAGAATATAACTATGATAAGTCAAAAGCCCAAAATGCTTGCCTTAAGGTCAGATTCGGGTCCATTCGAGTAGCTACCGGGTTGGGTCTACGATAAGATCCGGATAATTGCCGAGTATGGGTCTTCTGTTTCGCAGAAAACCACAATGTTTCGCAGATAATTGACATATAATCGAAGTTGTTAATTTAGTCAAAGTTGTTCTAAAAATTAAATAACCAAACACTGTCTGAGAAGTATTTTTGGGCAAGTGGTTTAGTCCATTTCTTTGAGTATCTTTGTTTTTTATCCGAACAAAACAAAAAAGCATTTGTATTGTCATATTCGTAATATAAATTAACAGTCGACTTTACTTTAAAAAAAAACTACACTATCTTGTGCGATTATTCTATAACAAAATAAACAAATTTTGTGGCGATCTTTTGGATACGAGTAATAGCTAATGACAAAGATCAACGGTTGATTTAAAGCTGTCAAGTTCACAGAGTCAAATCAAGAACTGTCCAACACAAGTCGCTTAGATTCTACGAGTGATTTAAAAAAGAATTTTTTACACTGAGGGACACTTTCTCACTTTGCAATTACACCTCAAGCCACATAGCACTTGTGACACACTTATTTACGTCGAAAAGACAAATTTGACCTTGCACTAAAGAAAATGGAACGGAACGGAACTGAACATGTTCCAAATTGTTGTTCCACGGAAGAGTTCCTCTTATCTTCAATCTGATACAATAATTCTACAATGGAAGAGTTCCTCTTATCTTCAATCAGATACAATTTCGGTGTAGATTTTAACTTTCCAACAGCATGTCGAAATGGAGAGTCCTTCGATTGAAGAATCCCGACACCCAAGGTCAGTTTCATATGATTTTTCTTTTGTCTTTGTAAGATTTTTCTTCTCTCTTCCTGGAGATCCAACCGATTTTACTAATCCCAACATACATAAAGTTAGAGTTTTTTCTTCAGGTGTGATGGGCTGTGTGGTCAGGACTGATTGTTTCAAAATTTTCAAGACCGTCGTATAGGAGGTGATGGATTTCTGGGCTGTTTGGATGATCGCATAATCGATGGAGAATTTAGTGCCTTTAGAAAGAGGAGTTGTTAGGCTTGTTGATAAAGGTGGAACTTGGGACTCATAGATGGCTGAGTTGTGTTCAACTGAGGCGTGTTTGGATGGTTTGTGTTTAGGAGATGTGGTTTGAAAGGAAAGAGAAGCAAAAAAATGAGGAAAGAGAAGAGACTTCTTTGCTTAGAAACAAAAGGATTTAGGTAATCTTTTTAATTTGATTCTCTTTGTTAACTTTAAAGTTTTCTTTTTTCTGTTTATGAAATCATAAGAGAAGATGAATTACTGATAGTAGCGAGTTCTTGTGTAAGAATCATCGTTAGTTTTGTTTCTTGGGTTTTAGTTATTCTCTGTTAGGAATTAAATCGAACATTTGGTGGGTATCATCATGTTAATAGTAATAGTTGTGTAACTGCAGCGTGTTTATCTTGGGTGTTATTAATCAAGCGTGTTTTATGAGTTTCACCTTGGATTGAATATTGTTTTTATTTTTATCAAGAGGAAGAAATGGATAGCCAGAAGATTCAAACCGAAAAGGAGCCAAAAGCTTCTGTTTTTACATTTTCTTGCAGAAAGTATGTCAATGACGACAATGCCACTTTCCTTGCAAACCTCAAATACTACTTCAGAAAGTTCATCAATGCCTCCATGGATGAACACAAGACTTGCTTGAAAAACACCATTGACAAGGTTCCTTTCTCTCTCTGTTACTATCTCCTAAGAAACTGTCCTTCACTCAAAAAAAAAAGATGTGTGGACAGGGTGAGGTGTGGACGGATGTTGTATGTACAGGTGAAAAAGTAATAGGAGATTTTGGCCGAACAATAACAATCTCAGCCATTTAATTTAATAGTCATGTCTTTTTCATACTGACATATTCTCCCAAATTCAATCTCAGCCATTTGTTTTAATAGTAACCTTTATAATCTAACGGTCGAAAACATTACTCATTTGGAGAAATACAGCCCAAAATCCCGTTTCTCTCTAGGGTCTTTTTTGTCAAACAAACCACTTGGACCCACCAGAAAGTGTGCTACATGTGGTATGTGCCTTTCTATGTAAGAGAAAGACAAAATGTGTCCTAATATGTTATCAACTCTTTAAAAAATGCTCTGATATGTTTCAATGTTGAGTTAGAATATAACAAATCTTAATTTATACAGATAAATATAAGTATGGGTTTCAATGTAAGTCAGCGTATGATGTAGTTCTCTTGGCAAGTTGGCATATTTACTGAAATTCATTGTCGATTGTGATCATCAATATCATAATATATACATAGATGTAGTTCTCTTGGCAAGTTGGCATATTTACTGAAATTCATTGTCGATTGTGATCATCAATATCATAATATATACATATCATATGATATGGTACGATGTAAATATGTACATGTTTATACTATAGTTTTCATGAGCAGAACAACCTAAAACTCACGCAAACATCAGTCACAAACTATATACATTCAATCATAGAAAAAGGGAAGGTCAAAAATCACTGGTATCTCAACATCACACTGTATCACAAAGCATCTAAAGTTTTAGCATTTTTTAGTGATTTTAGTCAAAACAATAAATAAAGACCATCGTTTATTTAGTTTTATTAAAGCATCTTATAATAGTGTATATATATAGTTTAGTAGTTTCTTGGCTGATGGAATCATCTTGGGCAATTGTTGGAGCTATATTTTAAATAGATAATTGTGTAACAAAGCCATAGTGTTTGAATCGAAACCAAAGCAAAGGCCAATAGAAAAGGAACGTTGTTTAATAAGGCCACTGAAAGAGCTTTTTAGCACATTATTTCTCACTACAATAGTATGGAAAAAAGTACCACTTTTATAAAGCTATTTAGCTTATTAGATTACTGCTATTTTGGTTTTATCAAATTCGAGTTCGAATTGAAAACTAAGTTTCTGGAGAAGGTTCATTGTGTTTCAAAAAAAATAAACAAGTGTTTCAAAAAAAAGGAGAAGGTTCATTTCTTATACATTAAAGTTTTATTTAAATTATGTATTTTCTACTTCTTTTCATCATTGGTTTATAATTGTTTATTTTCCTTATCACCTTCTGTTCCTAATACACCTTTTCTTCTACGACGTCTCGTGGAAAATAGTCACATTCTTTTAAATGAAAATGGACCACTAAAAATATTCAAGAAAGCTTACCTATATAACATGGAATCTTGAATGCATGTCACGTAACTCTCTTCTCTTTCTCTATATAAGAAACTCGTTCTCCTTCTCATTCTCCTTCTCTCCCTATATATACACACACATACATCCATACACATATATACATAAACAAACACATAAAAATATATATACTCATACCCATTTGATTAATAAATATTTTATTTCTTGGCGAAGAGAGGAATGGGTGCATTTGATTATATCTCTAGCTTTTGTTCTTATACATACTCTAATGCCAAAACCAAGCGTAAGCCATTGCAGGTCTGTTCTTCTCTTAATATATTTATCTCTCTGCTTTTTGGTTCTACGGTATATCTCAATAATACTTATCTATATGCATATATATACTAATCAATTTGCGTTAACTTCAAAACTATATGCTAGTAGTGTCTTAGAACGTGAACATGTATTTTTTTTAACGTGAACATATGTTTCAAATGTTATATTTAGAACGTAAAGATTCATTTCTTAAAACATGTTTCTTCAAAACTTCATCAACTTTTTCGTGTGTATAATATGTATATCGGTGCATCACAGACGATATTGATGATGAAATATCATTATAAAATAAATTAATCTATAAAATAATGGTAATGTCGTTGTAAAAAAAACATTAGTAATGAATGGGTGTTGATGTTACTTAAACAATTTTGGATGTTTAATTTAGTAACGGTAATGAATGTTTTTTTGTAGACGGTGGATATCAAGGTGAAAATGGACTGTGATGGTTGTGAAAGAAGAGTTAGAAACGTGGTCCGTCGCATGAAAGGTTCTCTTTATCATCTCCTTGGACTTTTGAATCAAAACTTTGCACCAATTTCTCTTTTTTCTTTTCTTTTTTTTTTTTGTTTCATTTTCTTTATTCTCTCTAGCTACTTTAATTTCTCTTTTAAAGATTCTGTTTCTTCTCTTAAAATTTCAAGTTTATAGCTTTCCCAAATATAACTTTTACTAATCATTTGCTTAGACAAGACTACAAAACTTCTGTTTGAAAAGATTTTGATTTAAAAAGTTCAGGAATGCATGCTAAACTAAAAAAAATTCCAAAATATATTTATACACAGAGTAATTAAAACAATTTGCATATAATTTTCTACTAAATTTAAATTAAAGAAATAATGAAAAGATTTCTTTTATTATTTAAAAAATCATGATGTAGTTGAAAGTTGTAAACGTTTATTCATCTTTGCTTTTGTTCAAAATACATATGTTAGACCACTGATTACTTATTTTCATGTTTGGAACCAACTACAGGCGTGAAAACAGTGGAAGTAAACCGGAAACAGAGCCGGATAACGGTGAACGGTCACGTGGACCCAAACAAGGTGTTGAAGAGAGTGAAGAGCACAGGGAAGAAGGCAGAGTTTTGGCCATACATACCTCAGCATATGGTCTACTACCCTTTTGACCCTGGCATGTACGACAAACGTGCCCCCGCAGGCCACATACGCAACCCCACACAAGCCTTTCCAGCTGCAAACACACCTGGTGAGAACTACGTTTCCCTCTTCAGTGACGACAACGTCCAAGGCGCTTGTTCCATCATGTGAATTGTGCAGAACAAGATACATATATATAATATGTATTTTCTTTTTGTGTGTGTGTTGTTATACACATCTACTTTTTGGTTTTATTCTCATAATATGGTAAAGCTAATGCAGAGATTATGTAATAAAATTATAGAGACAATTTTTGAACGGAATCTATAGCTAAAAATGATACAAATATATATTATGATTGCTTTTTTTTTGGAAGATAGGTGTTGATTATATAATTTTTTGCTCGTTTTGAAGACAGTCTCATACATTGGCTTAAGATAAAATCTATTAAACTCCCATTGATATTTTTCACTTGTGAAACAGATTGTTTTGTTTGATTAGAAAACACTGTTTTTAACATGATAATCAAATGTTGTCATATTTTGGTCCTCCAGGAATGTATAAAAAAGAATCTAACCTTAAACCACCACCAAAAGTTCAAGAACTGAGAAAGTAAGTTGTACCACGGATACATGGTTTATTATTCCATTTGAGCAATATTTATTTCATACTATTTACTTGAGTAATATTCGAAGAAGTCAAATCAACAACCCATAAGCCAAGTGGAATACCAAAAGTGAATATTTAGACCAATTAAGCATCCAATGTTGGTGAAATTTGTTCTAATGCTTTTACTAGAATACAAATTAATAATAAATAAACAAAGAAGAATATTAGGAAAAGACCCAAAAAATCAGCATCTTGTGACTTGTTAAGCTTCAAATGGCAAAAGAGTGTCAACATTACAAGTTCCAACTTTTTAACACCAAAAAGGAGAAAAGAAAAGTTTGGAAGATCAAAGTGCCAGAAAAGTTGTATTCTCCCAACAAAAATGTCCAATAGGGACCAAAGCATCTTTAGCTTTTCGTTCAAAAGCTTCTTTCTTAAGTAGAAGGAATATAAAAGTCTCCCCCAGAATCACTCCAAAGGAAACGATTATTGGCATCAGAGGATTAAACAGTCATAACACTCTTTTAACTCATTCTTATTGAACATAGCAGCAAGAACTTACATGATGTAGATTTGGTAATATGATGAGTGGACTTACCTATTAAAATACATTAGTATTGCTTTTTTTTTACCGCTTCTGAGCTTTCCTTCTCCTTGACTGTGCCTTCTGCCATTTCTTCCTAGGCACTAGTTTACTCTTAGGCTTCAACTTAATCTCAGGCGTAAATTTGAAGTTAGGATCTCTCATACGTGTCTGTATATCCTTAAAAAACTGCATGTTCAACCTCTTAGGTCCACCTTTCCTCAGCTCTTCATACTCAGGCCCTGAGATAATATTCTCAAACGCTCCAATCAAAATGTCCACATCACTCATCACTTCCCACACGTTTGTGTAACGCCCATCAGGACCTTTGTTCAGCTTCTTCAACGCGTTCTCAACAGCTAGCTTCCTCGCCTGTTTACCTGGCGAAAGCTCCTCAGGCTCGTTTTCGGATTTCAACAGCTCAGAGATTGTTCTGTACTTTGGCTTCTCCTCGAACTCAAATAACTTGTCTAAGTACTTATCAGATGCTTCGTTTGGGTGTGGTTCTGTTGGAATATCGTCGTCGTCATCACCTTCATCGCCGGTCCATAACGTTTTTTCTTCATCACTTCCTGACCAAACACTGTATAGCTCGTCACTATCGTCTCCATCGATTAGATCAGAGGTGTTTTTAGCTTGTTGCCTAGCTTTCTTAACCTCTTTCTCAAGACGGTTTCTTCCATTATCATTGGTTTCGTCTTCACTTCCTGACCATAGAGTATCATCATCATCATCATCATCATCATCATCATCATCTTTCTCCCAGGCTTTTCTGAAGTTATCATCACCAGGTTTCACATTATTAAAGAGATTGTAGTCTTTACGTCCTCCACTTGCGTATGAACGAGTTGCTGCAAGACATTGAAACAACTAAACTGTGAATAAAGCCACTAATAACCAACACAAACCAGTATTAACACTCTACCTATAAACAAATCCTTTAACATTACAACTAACGATGTAAAAATACAACTAATCCTATATTAAAATCGCCAATCTTGTTAACTAATGAGCGTCTAACAAACAATAACATATGATGCAAAGTTTAATCATCTTCAAAAAAAAAAAATCGAAACTTTAAAAGAGCCGTAAACAAATTAAACTTTCTCTGTGGCATTTCCACGAACACCTTGTCTACAACTAAACTCTTAAGACACGAAGATACGAACAGAGTCGAAGAATGAAACCTTGTAAGCTGTGGCGAAATACCCAATTTTGAGTAGAGTTAGCCGGACTCGAAAGGAAGCGACTTTGTGATCTATAATCAAAGATAAAACAAACATCCGTCAGCTTCGGACATATTTTGGTTTTGACTGAAAAGAGTTTTGTTGTCGGTCTTTGGAGTTAAAGTCAAACTGGAACCAACCTTTTGGCTATGGTAGAGAACAGAGGAGAGACTCTTCGCAGGAACATCCCTTTCCCTTTAACAGCTTTAGTCAAATATTATTTTGTACAATAAAATTGAAGTTCATAGTGACAAGAACAGATTTGTTCATAGGTCTGACAAGTTATAGTTTTCTTTATAATTTATACTAAAATATAATAATTACTCCATTCGTTTGTCATTCTAAGTTTTTTACACATATTAATAAAACATTAATTTCATATTTTCAAGATAAAAATATAATTACCTATACAACTAAGCACTTTTCAACCAATAGAAAAATAGAATATCATAAAATGTTAATAAATTTTGTCGTGAAACTCTAAAACGACACTTATTTTAAAACGAATTTTTTTTCTCTAGGATGACAACTAATTCGAAACGGAGGGAGTATATTATAAAGTAAATTTTGTTCAAATAGTTTATTATATAACATAGTTATTTCGTTATAGAATAAAAATGATTTTTTCACTGTAAAATGATATTTTTCTATATTTCACTCTATTATAAAATAAAATATTAAAATAAATTTACTATAAAATAAAACTACCTTAATTTTAAATTATATAGAAAAATATAGTGTGGAATGCCTAACTAAAATATGATAGGAGTGTGGAGCTAGGATTCGAAAGTAGCACTTTAAAGCATGATTAACTCTGTCTTTTAGAGTATCTTCAAAAGATACTATATAACTTTAAATATGAAATTTTTGTCTCTCCAAAAAAGAATTTTAAAATTTTAAATTTGAAGTTTCATATTTTATTTGCATTTTGGTCTTTACATATACACATCATATTTATAATAATTTTAAATATTTTATTTTTTATCTTTAAAAATTATTATTTCATAAATAATTCAAAATTATTTTTATAAATTTAAATTTTATATATTAAAAAACATCAAGATAATCTTTAAAATATTTTAAAACTAGAACTAGACAATAACAATATTACATGATATAATGTGGTATTTTGTTTGTACTTTAATATTTAATTATATATTTCTATTTAGTTTTATATTTTAGTGTAACATTTTATTGAATAATATTTCTATAATAGTTTTATACATGATAGTTATTTATAAAATTTTTATGAATTTGAATTAATTATGATAAATATAAAGATCATTATATAAAATATAAATTGTTTTAAAGTTAGATTTGAAATTTTATTTTGGAGTATAACATCTTTAGACTTCAAATATAGAATTTTGCAAACTATATAATAGAGAGTCTTTTTGGAGATGTTCTTAGCAATGTTATTAATTCAATTTGATATTTTTTATATATTTTTCAGTTAAGAAACAATTTTTATATTTCTTATTTAAAAGACGGTTCTTAGTTTTCTTATTTAAAACCTAAAATAAAACAAAGAATCGTCTCTTAGCTGAAATTAAAATTTTCAGTTAAAAGATTGAATTTAAGTTAATATGAAAACATTAATAATGTTAGAAACATTAAATTGATCGTCTGATGGATCCTTTATTGGGCCAAGAGAATAACGAGTTCATAGCCCAAGTTCATATAGTTAATTAGAGTACAATAAAACTAAAGTTGCCTAGCTAGGCTACTTGAATCTAAAATTTGTGAAAGACCAAGTCACATCCTAATTCTGGTAAACTAATTAGTTTTAACTCGGACCATTTGAATTCAATTGTTTTTCAGTGTTATTCCTCCAAAAGTTCCTAACTAAAAGCACATCCTCAACTTTTTTTGTCACTCAAATATTTATATAATAGGAAGATTCTTTATTTTCTCAACCAAACAAGGAAGATCATCTTTTAAAACACATAGACACACATTATGGCTGATGCGGCGGAGAAAGCTGAGCACGAGCGTATATTCAAGAAATTTGATACTGACGGCGATGGTAAAATATCAGCAGCTGAACTTGAAGAAGCTCTTAAGAAACTTGGCTCAGTGACCCATGAAGACGTGACTCGTATGATGGCTAAAATCGATACTGATGGTGATGGAAACATATCCTTTCAAGAATTCACCGCTTTTGCAAGTGCTAATCCTGGACTCATGAAGGATGTTGCCAAAGTTTTCTAAGATGGTAGTCTCTGCTGCCATCGTCTTATTTTGAATTTTTTTTCTTATGATTTGGTTATAAGCAACTATCCACACTACAATTCATGGAATCGAACATAGGACTAGTATATCTCTCAGTGAATACTCTCTAGTCCTTTCCATTTTTGTTCTTTTCCCAATAAATTTAACATTTGTTATTGTTTCTACGTTTACACATTCCTAAGCAAAACGGTTTCACCCATACGATCAAAAGCTGACAATTTAGACCTCATCAACCGAAAAGAGTAGACGTTGGACTTATACTCTGTTTAATACCCAAGCAGCTCCAAAATCCTTGCATGCCTGCATGGGTCATTTATTAACATCTTTTAAGTGTAATTATAATTTATTATGTTTTATATTTTCAAAGAAATATATTTATATTAATTAAAATTGGGTGAAAATCTCAAAACTTAAAATATCCTATAATATGTAATTAAAAAAAAAAAATCATTTAGAGACTATGGATGACGTTGCTCTGAGTTTTATTAAATAAAGTCAGTTCTTCACTCAGCTAGACACTATGAAAAAACACTAGCACGTTCTTACATTCACACATTTTCCTCGTTCTCCAATCTCGACCACAATTGTGTCCTAAAGGGTAAAAAGTACGAAAATAAATGGCGTACTTAGATGATGTTTTAGTAGTATCATAGTATGATTCAATGAAAGTAATAGCATTGAATATGCGTTTTATACATGAACTTGGACAGAATATAGTGGACTTGGTCCTTCACACAAACAAGTAATCTCTATGTACTTGCTATAGCTTTAAGCAAACTGCGTTTCAACTCTATTTGAGTTATGGTCCAAAAACAAGCTCCTTCAGTGATCTTAATGGCGAGTTGTGACCATAGGCTATTGTATCTCTCCACAAAGCAAGTCCTGTTTTACACACAATAAAAACAATCAATGTGTTTTCAGACAAATGTTTTACAAACATTTCACATTTGGGTAACAAAGGATGATATGATGTAAGAGAGTTTTTTAGTGTTATGAACCTATCCATGAGATCAAACCAATTGTGGCCGCCACAAAGAATGACTTGCTGGTGCAGTTTAACCTGTGGTGGAGAAATCACGGATTATTGATAAAACTCATGTACTCAACAGAGGTGCAAAGATTCTTACATGTATAAGCAAAGAATGTTCCCGTATCCATAAAAGAGAGTTGCCCACATTGAACCGGTGAACCTGCATCACAGTTTGATGAACCAAAAAAAATCGTTTGTTAATACGGGTGAAATATTTTTTGTTAGTTTAAACTGAAAGGCTTTTTGCTGAGAGAGCTTAGCTTTACCACATCAAATCACGGATAAATAGTGCTCGTGGGATCATAAGCCCGTTTCCCATCATCGCAAGTACCATTGTGATTGGTGATAAGCCTTTTACGTTGTCTGGGTTTAGGAAGTTTGTCCACTGAAAAGACAAAGAAGAACATCAGATATAGCATTTAGGACAGAAAAATGCATAGAAAGAGAGAAAAGAAGCAAGTTCGTTTTTACCATTTGGGAAACTGGCATCCACATGAACATAAGTGTTGCTGTCCATCCAGATAACGACCCCACAAACCTAACAGCTTCCTCTGAGAGTTTCCCGGTCCTAGCCTGCATTCTTAGCAGGGAAAGTTAAGAGAAAACAAGAAAACTTCATCCAGATAAAGAACAACTACACATCTTAAGAGGTGTTTTGAAGGAACTATAAGCTCAGGAATTAGATGTTAGAGAAACCAGACACATAGTTAAAAAGCATCTGGAAAAAATCATTAACAGCGACAAGCCACCCTTTCCTTCTTTCTATTACTGAAAATTCCTATATCCTGAAATCTTTGTTTTTTGTGTACAAAGCCAAAGACAGAACACAGGGAAAGTTGCAACAGAAAAGGTTTGGCGTCTGCAATTAGAACAACTCAGTCCCTGCGACCAAGAATCTGTCAATAACTCGGTTTCTAATCAAAGTACAATTTGCCTTTCAACTCCTGTGGACATTATCCAAGCTACGAACATGACAATTTGTTGACTGATACGATCAAATAATGTGTACTCTACTTAAGGGGGGAATGAAAACTGAAGCAAGAGTACTTGAAAGCTTACCATAATTACAGCCGCTACAGCAATAACAAAAGCAGTTGTCGCAGGCAAGATACTATTTGGTACCAGAGGGACAAAAGTTGACCACATGATCTGCAACCTCAAATTCACATATACATATGATTAAACATCCATGGAAACTATCAAAGAAAGCTAAAACTTGAAGTGGATGGTAAAGAAGCTCACTTGAGGAAGAACGGAGAGTCCACCAACAGTTATAAAGTCTTCCCAAAGTCGCCACACAGTAGTACCAAGCTTCCCAAAATAGAACAAACAATTCAACACCAGACCAACCGTCACAACGGCGGAAGTAGCAGCAAAATACTGCACAGGCATGGCTCCAGCCATTGTGAGCTGCGCAAGAACAACGTAGGTGGAGATGACTCCAAGTGTCTGCACCACAGCAGCTTCTTTCTCTCTCTTCTTTGCGAAGTATGAAAGCAACGAAAGGTTCCCTAACAAACCAGTCAACATCCCCTGTGTATTCCATAAAAAAAAAACTTAAAACTTTCAGATTCTACAGTACTTCTTGCTTACCCTTTGTTTAAAATTCCATGAAACTACCAACGAACTGTTGGTCTAGTAGGCACTCCGCCACTCTGATTCAACAACACTATTTACATTGGTTGGGTTAATTTCATGAAACTAGTGAAGAAAATCCATTTCACTCTAGTTATGGTTTTAAGTTTCTTCATATAGATTAATAAAACATTTAATTTTGCATATTTTCTAACTAAAAACATCATTCCCTGTAAACATAACCATCAATAAAAAAAGATTCATATTAAATTAATAAATTTTACATAAAAATCATATTTTAAAACAAAAGTTTTACATTATAATTACAATATAAACTGAGGGAGTATATCTGATTAAACAGATGTTTTTTTTAAAACTCTGACATAATTGGTTTCATGTATCAAAGAGTTTTTTTTTTTTACCAGCCAGGGGACGGCGGAGAGGGCGGTGTTGTTACCGGCCAAAAGATTCTGAGCATTGAGGATTATCTGTGGCAGCTGCAGCATCAAAAAGGGGATGTTGGCTCCACCAGAGAACTTGGCCGTCCACGAGTCCCATTCTTCGTATTCCTTGCTATGGTGAGGAAGTTCTGAGTCAATTGCACGGACCGGGAAGAGTCGGCGACGAGTTGAAACGATCGGGTTACACCGAGTCAGAGCTAAGACACGGCAGTTATGGACGGAGGCAACGCCACCGATAGAAGCACGCTTCAGCGGCAGGCGAGGTGTAGAAACAAAGAGAGAGCGAGGAGGAGGAGACTGGAGAAGCAAGAAGCGGTGACCGGTGAGAGACATTGCGACGGTTTTAGCTTCCACTGGAACAGAGAATACGAGAGCGTTCTAGTGAAATGAAATTGTATAATTTGTTTCTATTGGGGCATAATTTAAATTGTTCAAATCATTAGGGGTAGAAAACAATTCGAGTATGTTTGAATGAAATGAAACCCATAACTTTCGCGGGAAAAAGCCTAAGCCCATAACTTAAGCCCATTATGATAAAACAATGTATGATTTCAAGCCTGAATCTCTTCTCTCCCTTCACCAACTTCCAAAAGCTTTGGCTTCATTTCCAGAACACACTCTCATATCGTCGCCTGATTCGGTGAGAGCTATTCAACGTCTCCAATGGAAGGTATATAACTTTCTAAAATAATATTTACGTTTTTTTGTGCAATTTTTAAAATCTTCACATGTCAATAAGTGTTACCTCCTTGCTCGTATCGCCTTCTTCAACAGTTGGATCCTGTAATTTTCCTAGTGTTTTTGTTCTTATTGGAGTTTGATTGATTCAAACTCAAATCAAAGTGATTTAGAGTAGACACAGTTAATAGGAAATCAATTATCTGTTAAAAAAATGTTATCATTTTGATGAATTTAGTTTTCCTTTTGCATCATCACACCGAATTCGTATGATTTTAGAAACATAAGTAGTTTAAAAGGCTAATAGAAGTATGAAATTTCCGTATGTGCTACGGCCTACGGGTTTATTTTGTTTTTACAGGAAAGGTTTTACAAAAGTTTAATGTAGAACAGTGCTGCTACTACTACCTTCAAAATAAGCAGTTTAAGACACGATACCAAAGACAACCCACCAATCAATACATATCTGCTTTACTTCCCTGTCCCAGAGGGAGGAACCTCTTCTCTTCCATGCGTGTCTTGAAATACCACCAGACTACTCCTATTTCCAAGCAAACATCTTTTTACTGCAATGGTCCGTTCTAAACTCTTGTTACCAAAGGTTTAGATCATGGAACATGGCTTCAGCTTTTGTCTTTGCTTCTTTTCTTACGGCATCAACACTTTTCATTTCCTGTGTTTTGTTTTTTTGTTTTTCCCATGTTGCTTGGCAAAGAGTTGTGTGGTGTTTCTTGAATCTCTTTATTTTTTTTAAATGGGTGTCTTACTTTGGATCCTCCATTTTCAGCTTCTTTGTCAAGTTCAACGGTGCCAGCTCTTGACAAAACTGATTTTCTGAAGCTTCAAAACGGCAGGTAGCCCATCATTTACACAGCTAATCATCATTACTAATATTCTCTTTACCAAAGTACATTACATGTTGACTCACGGTATGTTTTTTATTGTTCTTTCCACAGTGATATTCGGGGTGTAGCAGTCCCTGGGGTTGAGGGGGAACCTGTAAGCCTTCCTGAACCAGTGACTGAAGCCATAGCTGCTGCGTTTGGGCAATGGCTATTACACAAGAAGAAGGCTGGATCCCGGAAGTTGAGAGTATCCGTTGGCCATGACTCTCGCATTTCTGCACCAACCTTGCTCGTATGTATCTGGTTCATTGATTTATTAGAAGTTTTCCATGTGGCAATACTTGAGCCTTTTAACTTACTTTACCTCTCTAAACGATTGGTCTACAGTTTTAGCACAAGGCGTACTTTTTTTGTCATTTCTGTAAGCACTGTCTCTTTATGCAATGAGAAAAGTAATTTGTCCATTGTATATATTGTAGGAAGCGGTTTCTCGAGGTCTCGGTGTTTCTGGAGTAGATGTTGTTCAGTTCGGGTGAGTGATGATTAGCCTTTGTTGTTCTAGAATATTCAATATGTGCAATTTCGTATTATAATAGCTACATATTACAAAAATTATATTCCCACTTTTCAATGGAAACAATGCAACATTCAATAATAGGTTGATTGAATCAGGTTTCATATAAACTTACCAAAGCATAACTCTTGAATATCGATTTATGTTTGCTTTGCAGATTAGCATCAACACCGGCAATGTTTAATAGCACATTGACTGAAGATGAATCATTCTTGTGCCCAGCTGATGGGGCTATCATGATAACAGGTTTTCTTATTGATCTCGGTTTCAATAATAAGTATTCATCACTTAGTGATACCTTTTTCTATTCTGTACTTCATATGGTATTACGCTTTTATTTTGAGCAGCAAGCCATCTTCCTTACAACAGGAATGGTTTCAAGTTCTTTACCAGTGAAGGAGGGCTTGGGAAGGTTGACATCAAAAACATTTTGGAGCGAGCTGCAGATATTTACCAGAACTTTTCTGATGAAAATCTTACCAAATCTCAAAGAGAAGTTTCTGTTAAAAAGGTTGACTACATGGCAGTGTACACCTCTGGTCTTGTAAAGGCAGTTCGGAGAGCAGCAGGAGATTTAGGTACTACTTCTTATTCCATAATCAATATTGAATGAACCAATCTTAATATATGGCGTTTATGAATCTTAGAGAAGCCTCTAGAGGGATTCCACATAGTTGTTGATGCTGGAAATGGAGCTGGAGGATTCTTTGCTGTAAGTCAAGTGCTCACGTTTCTTTTACACTTTCAGTTGTAGTTGATAGGATTCCAAACTGAATTCAAACAGTTTTGAGATTTGTTCTTAATTTACTAGGCCAAGGTGCTGGAGCCTTTGGGAGCCATTACTTCTGGCAGTCAATTTCTGGAACCAGATGGTAATATCTACACAGATGGGTATATCCTGGCCTACCTTCTATCTTAATTAATATCTGATGAAACAAACAAACCTTCTGGATAATAGGTATGTTTCCAAATCATATCCCTAATCCGGAAGATAAGACGGCAATGCAAGCTATAACCAAGGCTGTTCTTGATAACAAGGCGGATTTGGGTATCATCTTTGATACTGATGTTGATAGGTATATTAACTAACTGCAGCTATCTATTAGAGATTTTTTTTTTTATATTTGCCTCTTATTAATAATGTTTATGAAAGGTCCGCTGCTGTGGATTCATCTGGCCGTGAGTTCAACCGTAATCGTCTTATTGCTTTGCTTTCAGCAATTGTTCTAGAGGAAGTGAGAGATATGCTCTAACCATTTCACCACTACCACGATTTTAGTATCACATATATTGTATATTACCAGTTATTTTTGTGTGTCCTGATGTTCTGTCCTTGTCCTTGTAGCACCCTGGCACAACTATTGTTACAGACAGCGTCACTTCTGACGGTTTAACCTCATTCATTGAGAAGAAGCTCGGTATGCTAACAATTTACCATCATTGTTGTTATATTCTTATGTCATAGTTTCCATTTACGCAATCTTGTTGTAGGGGGAAAGCATCACAGGTTCAAAAGAGGATACAAAAATGTCATCGATGAAGCTATTCGCTTAGTAATAAATCTAAATGATCATATCTTTCTGACAGTTGATATTTATTATCTGATATAATAAGTTGTAACGTGGTGGCAGAACTCCACTGGAGAAGAAACGCACCTGGCTATAGAAACCAGTGGCCATGGAGCTTTAAAAGAAAACCATTGGCTCGATGATGGAGCCTATCTCATGGTTAACTTGTTTTTCTCAGTTACATTGATTGCTATGGTCTGAAGAAAATATAACAAAAGAAAGCTTGGCATTTACAGGTAAAAATATTGAATAAACTGGCTTCAGCACGAGCTGCTGGTAAAGGAAGTGGCAGCAAAGTTTTAACAGATCTCGTTGAAGGTCTTGAGGAGCCGAAAGTGGCTTTGGAACTGAGGCTTAAAATCGACAAGAATCATCCCAACCTTGAAGGAAGGTATATGATTAGTGATGACTTCACTTCGGTTCTTTACTAGTTTTTATGTCTGTTGCAATTCACTAAGCACTAAAAATTGTAGAGATTTCCGGGAGTATGGAGAGAGAGTCCTGCAACAAGTTTCGAACTCAATAGAAACAAATCCAAATCTTAAAAGAGCTCCAGTTAACTATGAAGGGGTGAGTTTTTAGATTGCTCTCTGTTCCTAATCATAGTGTAATAATGAACATTTTTTCTTATAGATCCGTGTTTCGGGCTTTGGTGGATGGTTTCTTCTCAGACTTTCTCTCCACGACCCTGTTCTTCCCCTTAACATTGAGGTAAGAACAGATACGTATAAGAGCTTGGCTCATAGTTTCTAATTCAGTGAAGGAGTTAATTATATGTTAACAATTTTTTGGCGTGCAGGCGCAGAGTGAGGATGATGCTGTGAAGTTAGGCGTTGTGGTTGCTAATGCAGTGAAGGAGTTCAATGCTCTGGACACATCTGCCTTGTCCAATCTCACTCGCTCTTAAAAGATTGGTTTACGTGGATATCACGGATGCTGTGGAGTTCCTAGTCCCTTTTTTTCTTGTTTCTTAAATCGAAAACAACACCACCATCTCCTTTTCATGTGAAGTGTTGTTTCAGACTTTATAATACATTTTGTTTTACATATTCAGCATGTATATTTAATCAAAATTTTAACTTTAATGTTACTCTTTGATCAACACTTGCAATGTTTTTTTGGGAATAGTTTTTTGTTTAAAAGTTTTTATCACAAAAATAACCTTTAATAAATAAAATGATCAAAATAGTCTTTTTTATTTTATTTTGAAATTTGTAATATTTATTTTTTATTTTATAAAATTTGAAAACTTAGATCCAATCTTTAACTCTAAATTCTAAGTGTAGACTATGTGCATATTTATTTTTTAATAAAAAGATCATTTTTTAAGATTATTTTTGTGAAAATAAATTAAAAATGACTATCCAAAGATTTTTTTTTTTAACTATTTTTTTTTTTTAATTTGGTTTTAAACCCGAAATACCGAATGTGAACCAAGTGAAAGTGGGAAGCCCATTAAATACTGTTGTGGCCCTGATGCCTCTCTATTAAAAGTAAAATCAAGAGGAAAAAAGAGAGATGAGAGATAACTAGGGTTTATGTTACAAAAGAAAAAAAAAAAAAAAAGAGAGAGAGAGAACTAGGGTTTACGACATGATCACCAAAAGTCTTCATCTATGCGAAAAGAGTAGAACCAATGATGTTCCATTGGATCTACAGATCGAGATTCTTAACAGGTTACCTTTAAAAACCGTAGTTAGGTTTATGCTCGTATCTAAATCATGGCAACAAATCATCCGCAGCAAGAGTTTCATCAGAACATTTCCCTTTCGACCCTTGACTCAGCCTCCTTTGCGTTTCCTACTTGCTTTATGCAATACAGATGACCAAACTGGACGCATAAATTGCAGCTTCTTCTCGTCTTCTTCGTTATCGTCGTCATCAATATCGCTATCAACCACTTTTTTATCCAAAATAACACTTCCTCTCCGTCGTCAACTCCCGTATCCTAGTTATTACGTTAATGGTTTGGTGATGATTGGAGATATCATATGTAACCCTAGCACCGGAAAGACCATATCTTTACCGAATGGATCAACCTATGACACATGCTTTTTCGGATATGATCATGTCAATAATCAGTACAAAGTATTGGGCATCCCCGAGTATCGACGCGCAACACCGAATCACTATCAGGTATTCACATTGGGAGCTAAACCCAAAACATGGAGATATATCGATTGTGACATTCCTCACTGTGGTTGGTCTAACGGTCTGTGCATTGATGGGTTTGTGTACTACATTGCGAGCACGCACACAGGAATGTGTGTGATGAGATTCGATTTGAAGTCTGAGAAGATTGATATCTTTGCTAGAGTATCTGACGAAATGAAACCTTCAATTCTTAAACGTTCTAAAACTTTGATAAACTACCATGGTAAAGTAGCCCTAGCCATTCAGCCTTTTGGTCCAGTGCGTTCAGTTGATTTGTTTGTTTTCGAAGCAGGAAAACATGCTTACAAAGAAAAGTCTTTCTATAATCTTCCCCATCTTCCTTTACGTATAAAAGGTGTTATGAATCATACGGGTGGCATTATTTCTACACCTAGCGATTTCGGAAGTGAGGTTAGTGTTTTCCACCATGATATTAAGGGAGCTAGTTTTAAGAAGATGGAGTTTGAAGTTGTCGCAAAGCATGATTGGCTTAGTGCATCAAATTGTTTCATGGGTTACGTAGAGAGTCTCATGCTGATTTAAGCTTTAGATAGAGTTATATTATTTCTTTCGTTTGTTGTGGGATGTTACCACTATAGTTTATGTCTCTTGTCTCAACATGTTATTCTCTTTTGGTTGCATTCAATCTTTCCTATATATTATTCAATTAAATTCGATATGTCGTTGCTAAAAAGTTTTGTCTTGTACAATGCACAAGAGAGTAAAAAACATGCTCTCGAATGGCTTGTCGAGGTCACTAAACATATTTCGACCTTCACATTACACAATAGTTCGTTGAACACTGAAGCATGTCTGGCGACCTGTGAACGTATATACAAAAATAATGCATCTATTTAGCTGCTTGATGAAGAGAGTCAAATGATGCAGAGAAGAACCACTGTGAAGACGAGAGATTCTTTCCCGCCAGATGAAGGTGATTACAGCTTGTGAGATATAATGAATGTAAAGTGTGTGTTTATTGATCAACCAACTTAGAGTATTTATACAACATAAATCACATAAGCCATCTAAGAAGAGGAAACTATAGATTAGTCTAAATCCCTAAGATAATGTATCCTTATCGTATTATGAGACAACATTTTAAGGAAGCCCATTAACGATACTACTGCGTCTCTATAAAAACAAAATCAAGAGGGAAAAATATGTAAAGAGAGAGAAAAAACTAGGGTTTCCTATCATGATCCGAAGAAGTCTCCGCCTTAGCAACAAGAGGAGAGCCATTGTTGTTATTCCTTTGGATCTACAGGTCGAGATTCTTTGCCGGCTGCCTTCAAAATCCGTGGTTAGGTTTATGCTCGTATCGAAATCATGGCGAGAAATCATCCTCAGCAAGAGTTTCATCAGGCTACGATCATTGGCTCAACCTTTGCGTTTCCTACTCGTTTTTTGCGATAAAAATAACCAAACTGGACGCACAAGTTGTAGCTTCTTCTCTTCTTCTTCTTTATTGCCATCATCAACATCGATATCAACCACTTTTCTATCCAGAATAACTTTCCCTCTCCGTTATCGACCCTCGTACTCTAATTATTATGTTAATGGTCTGATGAACATGGGAGAGATCATATGCAACCCTTTAACCGGAAAGAGCGTGTCATTACCAAAGCTTGTCAAATTAACAGCCGATAGTAAACCAAGGCTAGCTACGCGCTTTTTCGGTTATGATCCTGTCAATAATCAGTACAAAGTATTGTGCATCACCCCAAATCATGCACGAAACGCAACATCTCCGTTTAATTACTACTATCAGGTATTCACATTGGGAGCTAAACCTAAAACATGGAGATTTATCGATTGTGACATTCCTCACATTTGTTTGTCTAACGGTTTGTGCATCGATGGGTTTGTGTACTACATTGCGATCTCGGGCCAAGGCATCTATGTGATGAGATTCGATTTGAAGTCTGAGAAGTTTAATATCTTTGCAAGAGTATCTCAAGAAACGAAAGCTTTGTATTTTCGTGACAACGGTTGTAGAACTTTGATAAACTACCATGGCAAAGTAGCCGTAGCCATTCAACCTTCTCACTCAGTGCCTTCAATTGATTTATATGTTTTCGAAGCAGGAGAAAAGGATTACAAAGAAAAGTCTTTCTATAATATTCCTCAGCCTCATTTACGTATGAAATGTGTTGTTAATCATATGGGTGACATTATTTTTGCACCTAACAGTTCCAGAAGTGAGGCTATTGTTATCCACCATGATCTCAAGGAAGCTAGTTTTAAGGAGATGAAGTTTGAAATTGATCAACAGCCAGATTGGTTTCATGAATCAAATTGTTTCGAGGGTTACGTAGAGAATCTCATGCTGATTAAAGCTAGGTAGAGTTATTATTTCCTTCGTTTGTTTCGGATGTTGTTTTCTTTTGGTTGCATTCACTATTAATTTCCTCTTTCCAGATTTATATCTATAACGTATTATTTAATTAAATTACTTCTAATCCCATATGCGGTTTCTCTATATTATGTTACAACCTGTGCTATGAACACAACTTTCAGCCAAAGAATTTTTAACGTTCTCAAATTACTTAAACAAACGCTAGTTAGAACAATCTAAGATATAGCATTAAAATTTATTAATACTATTAGAGTTAAGAAAATGAATAAAGCTAATGAAAATTTGATTTTATTTATATAGTTAAAATAGCATAACACTTTCTTATTTCATAACACATCATATAATATATATAATATAACAAAAGAGTCAATCAAGATAGTTAAATCGCGACATCGTTGGGTGATGAATGACTTCCAACTTCAGCAGAACATCTATTCCAAACCTCATTAATTTTGAAAGAAGCCTGATTAGCAAAGCGTTTGAGTTGATACAATCGAAACATCAACTTATATATCACCATGTGGCATTCTTTTCCAGATTGTACTACTTTCTCACAACACTCTCTTGAAACATGTTCATTCGTAAGCATTTCTTTAAGAATATCAACACTACATGTCTCAATACTGGGTCCCATCTTGTCCTTGCAGGTTTTGAAATACATTTTGTATTTTGGTGGAAGGTTCTCTAACATATAAATATTGTAATCTTCCGAAGCCGGCGATATTGTATCTAATACATCAAACTCACGACCGGGATTAACTAGTGGTTCATCGTCAACACCTTCTTGGTCTAAACTTGGATATGCATATGATACCAAAGTGGTGATTATGAAAAATGCAATGAAAATTGTCTTAATCTCCATTATGTATGATTACTTTTTAATTTTTGTTCTTTGAATTGTTTTGTTTTCTCCTATTACCATGATTTATTAGTGTATATATATAGTAATCAAGTGGTTTTGAATGTTATTGATAGTGATTTGTAGTAATTAATAAAATAACATTTTAGTTGTTTTGAAACAACATAATTCCTTTATTATTTTAATTACCTCTAACAGTAACATTTTAAAATTGATTTCTATGTTTCAGGCATTGATTGTTGGTTAATATAGATTCACTACAATATAACATCTTTAAAGTAATACTCTATAAATTGACATACACTAAATATTTTTATAAAATAATATAATTTTATAGTCCCAAATTGAGTTTTTGGTTCAATTAGTGTATCGATAAATTAATAATCTTTATAAATTAATAAAAAAATATAGTTTTGGTGTAGTCCCAACATTATTAATTTATAGAGGTTTCACTGTATGTTTCATATGTATTTACAGTTTTGCATATAAGAAAATTAGTAATTTTTGATGTAAAAAGAAAAGAACACATGCTTAACAGCAATGTTCCAATATTATACTCTGCATTTTATCTGAATGAAAATTTTAAAAAACTTGAAGAAAAAGCTTTAGTTCAAGTTGAAGAACCAATTACACAAAAAAAATTCCTGTTGATGAAGAATACTTATTCCAAATAAAACTGCAGCCGGTGGTACATTTCAGCTTCTGTATGTGTATTTTATATATCTGATATCAATAATTTTTTTTTATTTCTAAACCCTGGTATACAAAACATATAAAAACTTAAAAAGACTTAATCAAGGGTGAAATAGATAATGTACTAAAAATTTTAATATGTAAACAATCTTAAACTACCTTAATTTTAAAAACTAAGAGTTTTTTTTTTGCCAAATATGTGAATTTTCATATGAATGATAAAGTTTGTAATGTTACAAAAGTATGAATTTTATAGGATAATCAATCGAAGCAAAAAAAGAATAAAAACAAGGTTAATATTTCTTCAAAAGCGCTAGATTAAGAGTTAATCATAGCGAAGCCAATCCCCTATATATTATTTGAGAATCATTTAAAAAGTTGTAACCTTAAGTTTGTAAGAATTAATAATAACCCCAATCCTATGTGGCATAGCTCTTTGGCTTCTATTTCAAATTCCAAGGATTCTAGAGCATGTGATATAATGTATAGTTTAAAAATTATACTCTCTAGCAATATAATATTTTGTATAGTTGGTCGCATATATCAAATATTTATTGATTCGCATGCTTTCCTTAAATAACCTACGGAATTACCTAATATAATTAAAATATATTTGACAATTAATGATTTAAAAAAATAAAGATTTGATAACAATCTTCATACATTTTTCTCATTTTGTTTATTTATTTATTATTAAATAAATTACACAATTAAATTAATCATTTAATAAAAATCTAGATTTTTTTGTGTGTATGTTGTATTTCGAATTTTTCAAAATGAGTATAAACTACTAAAACAGTTAAAAGTTTCACATAAACTTTTAGGATCAAGGTTTTAATTTTTTCTATATTAATATATAATGATTATAAGACCATATGAAGAAATAATTTTAGTTTATATATATTTCATATCGTTTTAATTAAACTATATATCGTATGAAAATACATACTTATATTTTGATAATTGCCTTGAACATATATTGAAAAGTTAATATTTTAATTTTGAAATATGTCATTGTTTTTTTAAAATGATTATAAATTATTGAAACTACTAAACATCTCACATTAAAAAAAAAATTGTTGGTGTAAAGTCAGTTACACAAATATGCAAATAATCATAAAATCATATGAGTAAAAACCTCATTTAATAAACATCCATATTAAAAGTGTTCTATATTACTATGTTTATATCATTTAAATTTAATTATATATCATATATAATATATAAGATTGATTATTTTGATCTATTTACCCTAATTGCGAATAAACAAAGTGATAGTTAAATTTATATGCATACGTCAATTTATTACATAATAGTAATTGATTTCTTAGTTATTTAATATATATATTTATTAATTTATTATTTTATAATATGCATAAAAATATAAAATAAATAACAAATATAAAATACCTATTGTGCATAAAGTGCAGATCTTAACCTAAGTATGTATCTCTTTAATTATTTTAAGTCTTAAGTATTTTCTAAATCTCAGGTCAAAACAAACAAACGAAATGAGAATAAACTTCAAAATAAATATTTATCTCGAGTAATAACCAAAATATAAAAAACACAACAAGAGAAAAAAAAGATAAATAGGATTGACATGTGAATGTAAGCTTCTCATAACCATAATTAATTTTTTAAATTATTAAATCATGATAAAAAAGACTGAGTTAATTTTTTAATTTGTTAATTTTTTTAATTTTTTAAATCATTATGGTTATGTTAAATCATAACCATAATTAATTTTTAAATTATTAAATCATGATAAAAAAGACTGAGTTAATTTTTAATTTGTAAATTTTTTTAATTTTTTAAATCATTATGGTTATGTTAAATCATGACCATAATTAATTTTAAATTGTTTATTTGTATTTGAAAAACTTAAAATATCGTTTTTAAAAATAATTTAAAATTTAACTTAATTTTTTTATAAAATTAAAAAAAAAATTGTAAAAAATATAGTTTTCTTATATTATTAGAAAAAATAAATAAATTATATTAATTTAATTTTGAAACTTTATATCTTTTAAATGCAAGTATTTTACCAAATGCTTCTTACAAAAACATTAGGAAACTTGCTAATACCCTACCAATCAAGTCCAATGACATTCCGTTTATTTTCCGTCACTCGAACACTGAAAAGTGAAAAGATATATGAAATCAAGTCCACTAAATTCTAAGATTTGATCTAAAGTTCCAATTACAATTGTTTCTGATCCTACGTATAAATAATTATATAAAAATTCCAAAATTCTAAAATTTCAATACATATAAATACAATCATATATAAATTTTAAATTTGTCAATATTACAATTTTATATTTTAATTACATATATTCACCCTGCGCAAGGCGCAGGTATTATCCTAGTGTTGCATTATAAGTTGATAGAAATGCCTGTCTTTTCTGTGTCCTAGAATAACACCCATAATGAACCGATCAATCTGCTTGAATAATGCTGCTGGTGTTGAGGAGATACCATCATGTAGCCTTTCGATTCCTCTCAGACCAGATACCGAGTACTTTTTATTTGATTTTAAACATAACCCGAGTTATCCAAACCGAACCGCATGAATTTGGGAATCCCGTTAACCAGACAGATCGGCCTGCTGCTTCTACTAAAACAATATCAGGAAAGAAAAAAAAAAAAGATGTAGAATGTGAGAGAACTAGGGTTTCCGACCATGAGAAGAAGAAGTCTCCGTCTTTGCAACAAGAGGAAAACCGATGTTGTCCCCTTGGATCTACAGAACGAGATTCTTAGCCGGTTGCCAGCAAAATCCCTAGTTAGGTTTATGGTCGTATCCAACTCATGGCAAGAAATCATCCGCAGCAAGAGTTTCATCAGATCATTTAACTTTCGATCATTGACTCAGCCCCAGCCTTTACGTTTCCTACTCGCTTTACACGATACAGATCTAAGTTGCCGCTTCTTCTCTTCATCTTCTTCGCTATTGTCGTCATCAACATCAATATCAACCACTTTTCTATCCAAAATAACATTTCCTCTCCGACGTGCCTCGTACCCTAGTTATTACGTTAATGGTCTGATCAACATGGGTGAGATCATATGTAACCCTTGCACCAGTAAAACCATATCTTTACCAAGGGTTAAAAGACCAACCTTCTCCAGACGCTTTTTCGGATATGATCCTGTCAATAATCAGTACAAAGTCTTGTGCGTCACCATGAATCCGTCAGGACACTCAACACAGGGTCACTTTCAGGTATTTTTTTAATTGAATGTAAAATCTATATTATAATAGTAGACTTTCTAGGCTCCACAGCGCGCCACGTCAGCATTTTATGGGTCTCATAGGTATTTTTTTAAAACACATAGTCTTGATAAGATGATTACAAACAATGAAATACACTTTAGCCAAGTGGTATAAGGTATCTAATTAATCATGCAAGATCGTGGGTTCAAACCACGCAACTAACATGTATTTTTGATTTTTTTATTTGGGCTATTATCATATGGGCTTTTTGTTTATAAGGTTTTATGTTTATTTTTTGGGCTTATTGTTTTAAATATCAAAAGATAAACCCTAAAGCTTAACAAGTTCAAACCCAAAATATTTAAAAATGGATCCAAAAACGAACAATAAAAAAAGAAAACAAAAGCAAATCCCGCGCGGATGGCTTTAAAAGCCTTAAAACTATTCTATTATACTATAGCTCAACCCAAAAATATAAAAATGGATCCAAAAACGAACAGACCAAAAAACAAAAAAAAAAGTAAGTCTCACGCGTCTGCCTACGTGAATGGCTTAATGAGACTTGAATAATATTGATTAAGAGTTCAAAAATTTAAATCATTGCACATATTACCTAATATATATTTTCAAAAAAAATTGTATGTGAGATAAAATAAAAATAACAACAAAATTAAATTATTTTTCATTATTTGTTAAATGAATATGTAATTTCTCTTACATTTTAATAACTACTATAATTTCATTGAAAACATTCATCACCACTGATTCCAGACTCCGACGAATGGATTCCCACAGTCGATGACGCCGTAGATAAAAATGCCACATCATTTATCATCCAAAAACGAACAATAAAAAAAGAAAACAAAAGCAAATCCCGCGCGGATGGCTTTAAAAGCCTTAAAACTATCCTATTATACTATAGCTCAACCCAAAAATATAAAAATGGATCCAAAAACGAACAGACCAAAAAACAAAAAAAGTAAGTCTCACGCGTCTGCCTACGTGAATGGCTTAATGAGACTTGAATAATATTGATTAAGAGTTCAAAAAGTTAAATCATTGCACATATTACCTAATATATATTTTCAAAAAAAATTGTATGTGAGATAAAATAAAAATAACAACAAAATTAAATTATTTTTCATTATTTGTTAAATGAATATGTAATTTCTCTTACATTTTAATAACTACTAAAATTTCATTGAAAACATTCATCACCACTGATTCCAGACTCCGACGAATGGATTCCCACAGTCGATGACGCCGTAGATAAAAATGCCACATCATTTATCTATATTATAATAGTAGACTTTCTAGGCTCCACAGCGCGCCACGTCAGCATTTTGTGGGTCCCATAGGTATTTTTTAAAAAACACAGTCTTGATAAGATGATTACAAACAATGAAATACACTTTAGCCAAGTGGTATAAGGTATCTAATTAATCATGCAAGATCGTGGGTTCAAACCACGCAACTAACATGTATTTTTGATTTTTTGATTTGGGCTATTATCATATGGGCTTTTTGTTTATAAGGTTTTATGTTTATTTTTTGGGCTTATTGTTTTAAATATCAAAAGATAAACCCTAAAGCTTAACAAGTTCAAACCCAAAATATTTAAAAATGGATCCAAAAACGAACAATAAAAAAAGAAAACAAAAGCAAATCCCACGTGGATGGCTTTAAAAGCCTTAAAACTATCTTCTTATACTATAGCTCAACCCAAAAATATAAAAATGGATCCAAAAACGAACAGACCAAAAAACAAAAAAAAAAAGTAAGTCTCACGCGTCTGCCTACGTGGATGGCTTAATGAGACTTGAATAATATTGATTAAGAGTTCAAAAAGTTAAATCATTGCACATATTACCTAATATATATTTTCAAAAAAATTTGTATGTGAGATAAAATAAAAATAACAACAAAATTAAATTATTTTTCATTATTTGTTAAATGAATACGTAATTTTTCTTACATTTTAATAACTACTATAATTTCATTGAAAACATTCCTCACCACTGATTCCAGACTCCGACGAATGGATTCCCACAGTCGATGACGCCGTAGATAAAAATGCCACATCATTTATGAACAAAACTCAAACTTACAAAAAACCATATTTAAAAACCTATCTAAAGAAACTTAAACAGCGAATATTAACTTAATTAAGGTTATTTCCAAATTGATAAATCATTTAATACAAATACAAATACTATAAATATAGAATTATATCAAGTTTTGACCTACGATATAAAAACTATTTACAGCAAAAAAAACACACCTACTTTTACACACTAAAAACTATATTATAGCCTAACTATTCCTATAAACCTTATTTCGCATATAAATAACATTTAACACATTCCTAATATATTTTCAAAAAGTTGTATGTGAAATAAAATAAAATAAACAACAAAATTTAAGTATTTTCATTTTTAATTAAATGAATATGTAATTTCTCTTACATTTTAATAACTACTATAATATCATTGAAAACATTTCTTACCGACTCCAGTCTCCGGCGAATGGATTCCCACAGTCGATGACGCCGTAGATAAAATGCCACATTATTTATGAACAAAACCCAAACTTACAAAAAACCATATATAAAAACCTATCTACTGAAACTTCAACGAATATTAACTTAATTAAGATTATTTTCAAATTGATAAATCATTTAATACAAATATAAATACTATAAATATAGAATTATATCAATTTTGACCTATGATATAAAAACTATTTACACCAAAAAAAAAATAGACACCTAATTTTGCACACTAAAAACTATATTATATAAATCTTACTTCGCATATAAATAACATTTAACACATTATATATACAATATTTTCACTTTACACTCTTACTACATTCTTTCCATTTCATTATTTTTTGGTGTCATTAGAAGAATCCACTAAACCAATAATAAAAAAAAATACACGCAAACATAATGATTCCAGCCCCGCGCTTGCGCGGGGAATATGCAACTAGTTAATAAAAAAATACAAAATAATACATCCAATGTTTTTCTTTTATATTACATTTCTCAGGTATATTTTTCCATAATTTATGGTCTTGTAGAAAACCAAATTTGTAACATTTCAGGTATTCACATTGGGAGCTAAACCAAAATCATTGAGAATTATCGATTGTGACATTCCTCACAGTGTTTGGTCTTAAGGTCTGTGTATAGATGGGTTTGTGTACTACATAGCGTACACGGGCGCAGGAACGATGAGCCTGATGAGATTCGATCTGAACTCTGAGAAGATTGATATATTTGCTAGAGTATCTGAGGAAATGAAAGCTTTGCGTTACCTTGACAATGGTTCTAGAACTTTGATAAACTACCATGGCAAAGTAGCCATAGCCATTCATACGTATCAAGGGCTATCTACGATTGATTTGTTTGTTTTCGAAGCAGGGAAACAGGATTACAATTTACAAAGAGAAGTCTTTCGATAATTTTCCTCAGCTTCATTTACGTATAACATCTTTAAATTAATACCTTATAAATTAATATACACTAAAAATCTCTACAAAATAATATAATTTATAGTTCCAAATTGAATTTTTGGTTCAATTAGTATATCGATAAATTAAAAAACTCTATAAATTAATAAAAATTATAGTTTTTGTGTATTCCAACATTATTAATTTATTGAGGTGTCACTGTATATTTCATATGTATTTACAGTTTTGCATATAAGAAAATTAGTAATTTTTGGCTTTCCCGTTACAACGTAGCCTCATTTTATAAGATATTCACATTTTGACCCCAAAAAAAACATGAAGCTTTTGATGTAAAAAGAAAAGAACACAGGCTTAACAATAGCAATGTTTCAATATAATACTCTTCAAATTGGATGAAGAACCAATTACACAAAAAAGCCCCTGTTGATGAAGAATACTTATCCTAAATAAAACTGCACCTGGTGGTACATTTCAGCTTCAGTGTGTATTTTATCTGATATCAGTTAATTTTTTATTTCTAAACCCTAGTATACAAAACATAAAAAAGCTTAAAAGACTTAATTAAGGGTGAAATAGAAAATGTACTAAATTTTTTAATATGTAAGCAATCTTAAACTACATTAATTTTAAAAACTAAGTCCTTTTTTGTGCCAAATATGTGAATTTTATATGAATGATAAGGTTTGTAATGTTACAAAAGTTTGAGTTCTATAGGATAATCAACCGAGGCAAAAAAGAATAAAAAAAAGGTTGATATTTCTTCAAGAGCGCTAGATTAAGAGTTAATCATAGCGAAGTCAATGTTGCATTAGTTGATGGAAATGCCTGTCATTTTTGTGTCCGAGAATAGCATCCATTATGACCCGATCAATCTGCTTGAATAATGCTGCTGATGTTGAGGAGAATCAGAGATACCATCGTGTGCCTTTTGATTCCTCTCAGACCAGATGCCGAGTACTTTTAATTTGATTTTAAATATAACCCGAGTTATCCAAACCGAACTGCATGAATTTGGGAAGCCCATTAACCAGACAGATGCAGAAATCATTGTAAAAGAGATTTAGACAATTAATTCATAAACTATTATTAGGAGTTTTCATATTAGACCCTAGCTAAGATCATAAAAATGAGATTAATGTTTTTGTTTTACAAAAATAAAAGTTACCTACTCTTTTGGACCTATATTGTTTTCTCACTTATTATTTGCTTCATAAATTTATTTGATTTTCAAACAGTATAATTTATTCGAGTTACAAAGAAAGAAATATATGATATTATTTAACAAGATTCATGTGCAACTAGGTGTTTTGCCCGCCATGCGGGCTTAAGCCTTTTATAATTATTTGTTAGTAAATATATTAATAATAAAAAATTAGAAGCATAAATTATTATTTGTGTTTTCATTTTGAAATTTTATATTTATCTTAAAAATTATTCAATATTATCTTTTCAATTATATAAAATTAAGAATTTTAATTAATTAATATGTAATTATTTGTTTTCTGCTTTTGAATTTTTAAATATTTTATCAAAAGATAGTTTTCTGATAATAATACAATATATATAGGAATTATCTTTAAAAATAAAATATATTTTTAGATTTTGGATAACTCTTATTGTTATTATTTAAAATAATTTATCTAATTAAATAAAATTTTAATTCGTTTTTATATTTAATTAATTCATATAATTTATTCATTAAGGGTATAAACGATATTAACCGCTCTAACTTTTAACGTGGAAGCTCCGTTGCGAAAAATCACTTCGCAAATAATAGTATAGATTATGTTTTATATTTGATAAATTAAAAAATTATTTTAAACAAACACTAGTTAGAACAATCCAAAATATGGCATTAAAATTTATTAATACTATTAGAGTTAAGAAAACGAATAAAGCTAATGAAAATTTGATTTTATTTATATAGTTAAAATAGCATAACACTCCCTTATTTCATAACACATCATATGATTTCCTTTGTTTGATGTGGGATGTTGCCGGTACAATTCATGGCTCTTGTCTCGACATGTTTGTTCTCTCCTGGTCGCATTCACTCTTTTTAAATGTCTATTTATAATTTTATATATGTTGTTTTGGTTAAGGATTACTTTGTAAATTCAGAAAAACATAAGTAAATCAAAATAAAAGCTACAACAAAACAAATTCTTTTATGGATTTTTCACATGGTGCATTTCCACACGGACTCTCCTGCTGGTAGGAGTCACGACCAACAACAATTTTCTTGACAATCATCCTATTTATCTTTTTTTTTTTTCATCTTCTTCTTGAACTGTAATGTGCGGCTTTACCATCTTTCTACCATTTGTAATTGATAAGCAGCCTTAACTGAAATTTAGATTTTTTGTTCGTAGAGAAACGCACGAGAAAGCTTTTAAGAAAAGTGTTTTTCTATGCATGCATGACTAGAATTATTTATTTGATTTTATACCGAAAATTATCAAAACGAAAGTGGGAAGCCCAATAACCATACTGATGCGGGCCCTGCTGCTTCTCTATAAAAACAAATAACAAGAGGGGAAAGAGAAAGTAACTAGGGGTTCCGACCATGATGAATCTCTGCAACAAGAGTAGAACCAATGATGTTCCATTGGATCTACAGATCGAGATTCTCAACAGGTTGCCTTTAAAAACCGTAGTTAGGTTTATGGTCGTATCTAAATCATGGCAACAAATCATCCGCAGCAAGAGTTTCATCACATCGTTTCCCTTTCGACCCATGACTCAACCTCCTTTGCGTTTCCTACTTGCTTTATGCAATACAGATGACCAAAATTGCAGCTTCTTCTCTTCTTCTTCGTTATCGTCGTCATCAATATCGCTATCAACCACTTTTTTATCCAAAATAACACTTCCTCTCCGTCGTCGAGTCCCGTATCCTAGTTATTACGTTAATGGTTTGGTGATGATTGGAGATACCATTTGTAACCCTAGCACCGGAAAGACCATACCTTTACCAAGTCTTAATATATATTCCTATGCCACATGCTTTTTCGGATATGATCCTGTCAATAATCAGTACAAAGTATTTAGAAACACCCCGTATCTTGCACAACATTGGAATCGCTTTCTAGTACTCACAGTGGGTGATAAAAAAAAATCATGGAGATCTATTATTTGTGACATTCCTCACAGACCTTGGTCTAACGGTCTGTGTATAGATGGGTTTGTGTACTACACTGCAATCACGTACACAGGAATGTGTCTGATGAGATTCGATTTGAACTCTGAGAAGTTTGATATCTTTGCTAGAGTATCTGAGGGTACCATAGCTTTGTTGACTTCTTTTGAGAACGGTTCAAATAATTTGATAAATTACCATGGCAAAGTAGCCATAGCCATTCAACCTTCTCCCTCAGTGCCTTCAATTGATTTGTACGTTTTCGAAGCAGGAAAACAGGATTACAAAGAAATGTCTTTTGATAATCTTCCCCAGCTTCCTTTACTTATGAAAGATGTTATGAATCATCATACTGGTGACGACATTATATTTGCACCAAGATTTTCAAGCACTGAGGCTATTTTTTTCCATCACGATCTCAAGGGAGGTTGTTTTAAGAAGATGAAGTTTGAAGTTGACGCAAAGCATAATTTGTTTAGTGAATCAATTTGTTTCATGGGTTACGTAGAGAGTCTTATGCTGATTTAAGCTAGTGAGAGTTATTATTTCCTTCGTTTGTTGTTGGGATGTTGCCGGTACAGTTCATGTCTGTTATCTGAACATGGTGGTGCTCTCTTTTGGTTGTATTCAGTCTTTCCCATATATATTTATGTTGTTGCCAATAAGTTTTGCATTGTACAATGCACAAGAGAGAGTTGTTATTATTTCCTTTGTTTGATGTGGGATGTTGCCAGTACAGTTCATGACACTTATCTCAACATGTTTGTTCTCTTTTGGTTGCATTGCATTCACTCTTTGCTCTTTTCAAATCTATATTTACAAAACTTGGTGCCAATAAAAAAAAAAAAAAAAAAAAAAAAACTTGGTGCCAATAAGCTTTGCATTGTACAATGCACAAG